CGTGCCGGCCTGCCCCACGAGTGCGAGAGAGACGGAAGCGGGCCGCCGGCCGGGCGTGGCGAGCCCTCGGAGTATGGTGATGCGAGATGGAGCGACTGGAGATTCGTTTTCGTCTCTCTTTGAGAAGGACTCGAATCAAACTGATAGCTGCCGGCCCCTTGGTGCGCGCATGCGCGTGGCGGCGCGTCTCGTTGAGGGAAATGGAGTTAAAAAGGCGCCCAGAGTGGCGCCACCTCGACTGACGGTCTCCTCCTGGTCCATTGTGAGCGTGACTCGTCCGCTGTGAATCAGTCGCCGGCCGGTTCCGCACGCTCTGTCTCTCTCGCACTCACGGCCCGCTCCGCGGCGGTGCGAGAGAGAGAGCACGGCCGCTATGAGTCGATGCCGGCAGGCCGAAGGAGTGAGTGTGTGAATGCCGCAGCGACTACTCTGCCTGTGTGCGTGCGTGTGTGTGCCCTGACGCATTCGTTGTCGGTTTCGCTTTCCGAGAAGCAGGTGGATTCTTCTGCGAAGCGGCCCCGGGAACGGCCCTCGGCGGCCCTCGGCCTCGCAGCGGCCGGCGGATACGCACCAAAAGAAAAATGTGTCAGTCCCAGAGCGGCCGAGAAGTAAAAAACAGCGTTGCGTCCGCGAAAAGAAATGATTATTGCCAAATTTGTGCGGAAAGCTGTTAAAGTGTCGGAAATTCAATATTGGTGACTTTGGGCAGCCACTGCGTCAAATTTAGTTGCGGTCATAGGCCTTCCTCGACGCCTTACTATTCTGAAGACCCTACTCTTTCATGCCCCGCCTCGGGAAGGCTTTGACCGCTGATAGTTTGGGAGCAGTGGTCTCGCAAAAATGGTCAAACAGTGAATGAATTTCAGAAAATCACCGTTTTTGCTGACTTTGAGCGGTCACTGCATCCAATTTAGTTGCGGTCAAAGGCCTCCCTCGACGCCTTACTATTCTGAAGACCCTACTCTTTCATGCCCCGCCTCGGGAAGGCTTTGACCGCTGATAGTTTGGAAGCAGTGGTCTCGCAAAAATGGTCAAAAGTGAATGAATTTCAGAAAATCACCGTTTTTGCTGACTTTGAGCGGTCACTGCATCCAATTTAGTTGCGGTCAAAGGCCTCCCTCGACGCCTTACTATTCTGAAGTCCCTACTCTTTCATGCCCCGCCTCGGGAAGGCTTTGACCGCTGATAGTTTCGAAGCAGTTGTCTCGCAAAAATGGTCAAAAGTGATTGAATCTGCGAAAGTATGGTTGTCATTTCATTGGATGATGTTGATTATTTCACTGATTACCAACTAGACGCGTAATGATTATCTTGAGTTGGGTACCCCTTGTTTTGAGCTCCAGAGTCGCCAAGTGCGACTCGAGCCGAATGTGTGACCCCAGCAATGGTTTCCTCGTTGGGAGAGAAATCCATTGGTGGGGTCACACGTTCGGTTCGAGTCCTGTTTAGCGACTCCTGCAGCTCAAAACGCGTCCAGAGGTTTGGCCGCCTCCACCGGTCTTCTGGCCCACTGTGCGGCGGGGAGGCCGTGTCGGGGTCGCCGGGGGCAGCCCTGGGGCACCGTCGGGACCTGGCACGGGCAGCGCGACACCGCGGGGGTGGGGGAAGGGGGGAGGGCGTACGTCGAACGTGCAGTGGAGTGGCGCGCGGGGAGGGAGCAGCAGGGAGCGCCCGCGGAGTCGAGGGTAGGCAACCCTGCCGAGCACCGAAACTCACCGCGTGGCCTGCCTCGCAGGCGCCTCTCTTGTAGGAGAGAGAGAGAGAAGGAGGAAGGGAGAGCAGGAGAGAGAGAGAGAGAGAGAGCGATGCGTAATTGTCGCGCACGGTGAACGCCCTCGTGGTGCAGCGGAGCGGTTCCGTGCGCAGTGTCGCAGCGTCTGTCTGTCTCTCTCGCACTGGTGGTCGCGCCCCGTGGGAGTGCGAGAGAGACGCACCGACGTGCACTGCAGTGCGCTGTGCGGAATGGCGAGTCGCTCTGCTGACCGCGCGTCGACACACTTTGCACTGCAGCGTGCGTGCGCGGCGTGGCGGCCAGGGGGTTGGCGCGTTTGGGGCGTTCGTCTGCAGTCGGCCGAGCCGTCCCCGAGCGCGCACTTCGACGCCCCGCCCCGTCCGCTCGTCGCGAAGCCCCGCCGGGAACGCCATTGGTCGTGATCGGACGCTGCCCTCCCGGAAACCGGAACTTGCGACCCTCGCCTTCCAAGTGACTGTGTTTTGGGCGATCTGCCGGCTCCCGCTTCCCTGGTTGCTGCTGCCTTGCCGCCGCCTTGCCGCCGTCCGCCATGGTGGGGTGCATGTGCAAGCACATCGCGGGCTCGTACCCGGTGCACCGCGTCGCCAAGATCTTCTTCGCCATCGACGACCGCCTGGACGTGAACCGGAGTGAGTCTCTGTCTCTCTCGCGCCATGCGGGCTTTGGTTTTGGGTCTGTGCCGGCCTCCGTCGCCCGTTCTGGTTTTGATGGATTTGCCAGTGTGGCGGCGGGCTGGCCCGTCTGGAGGGTCTCCGCGTCGGCGCTGTTGTTGTTGTTTTTGGTAAAGTCGTGTGTTGTCGCTGGCGATTCAGGTCGCAGTGTGTGCGTACACTGCGTACGTGGGGAGCAGTGCGGAGCGGTGCGCTATTGCTGACGTCGCCTAGCTTCGCCTAGCTTCGCCGAGCTTCGCGTAGCCTCGTAGGCGCGGGCCGCGGCACAGCCGAGCCATTGCCGAGTCCCCCGCGCATTGTAACCCAATGCGGCTCGCTGCTGAGCCATTTCTAAACACTGCTTGCCGTCTTGGTGCAACGCCAGATAGTCAACTTTAAAAAACAATCGAAAAAAGTATTGAGCGAAAATTGGAAATTTAAAAAAACTGATGCCGTGAATTGAACCCGCGTCCGCTGCGCTGGCCGCGCCGGAATGAATGGCTGGTGAAAGGCGAAGCGGCGGCGTGCGCGGCTCTGGGAACGATGACGTAGCCTCGCTGCCCTGCCGGCCCGGCCCTGCCCTGCCCTGCTCGGTGCGTCATGGCGCGGTAATCCTCGTCCCGCCGGATTGGAGCCTCGCCGATTGGATTACTTCCCGCGCCGGCATTGTTCCAGCCACAGTGGGCCAGAAGACCGGTGGAGGCGGCCAAACCTCTAGACGCGTTTTGAGCTCCAGAGTCGCTAAGTGGGACTCGAACCGAGCGTGTGACCCCACCAGTGGATTCCTCGTTCGGAGAGCAATCCATTGGTGGGGTCACACGTTCGGTTCGAGTCCTCTTTAGCGACTCTGCAGCTCAAAACGCGTCTAGAGGTTTGGCCGCCTCCACCGGTCTTCTGGCCCACTGTGCGCGGCGAGGATTGTGTTTGGGCGTCTGGCGCGAGCTGGTGCGGGTTCGATCCCCGCCGAGTCGAGTCAGCCTCATTCCAGGCAGTGATGTCACGGAGCCTGGAGGGTCCTGGAGGGTCCCGTGGGATGGGCCGTAATCGCTCCGCCCGCTTGGCGGCCGGGCTTTGCGTCGTCTCTCTCGCACCCCTTTGCTGGACGAGGCGTGCGAGAGAGAGAGAGACACGGGCTGCTAATGACTGCGGCCTCGGCCGTGGCCTCGGCCGGCATGGCGGCGCCGAGGCGCGGCAGCGGGCAGAGGCCTCTGGCGCGTCGCTCTCGCTCTCCGCTCTCATGCTGGAGTCCAGCAAGTCCAGCCCGGCCCCAAATTTGACGTGTCTGCGGCCTTTAGGCTTCTGGAGCGCTGCCCTGGCGGTGCAGGCATCCGGCTCGACTGCCTAACTTAGTCGGCCTTAGTTGGAGTCGCGGTGTTCCCGGCCAGGCCGCCTCGAATTTTGCCCGTTTGGTACAACAGCGTTTTTCTATGCGTGCCGTCGGCCCTTCCTGGCCGCAGGCTCTCCAGCCGAGTCCGTCGGGACGGTGGACGGGCGGTGTTGGCACCGTGTTCTCATGGCGGTCCGGTTTCGTCCGAACATACATATCTCTGCGGCCGTGGCCGTGCCGTGTTGGCCGTGCCGTGTTGGCCGTGCCGTGTTGGACCCGTGTGTCTGTCTGGTGGTTCTCGCCTGTACGCGTTTTCGCGGTACTGCAGCCTCGGCCAGCCTCGGGCAGCCTCGGCCGTGTCACCGCCATGCCGCGCGTTATCTCAGGGGCGTCGCCTTTCTGCCTTTCGGCGCCATGGCAGTGCACTGCGCGCAGTTAGGCCCGCGGAACCGCGCGGCACTCGAAGCGCCGGCACACCGGAAAGTGGCCAGCCACTCTCCTGGAGAGCTTTTCCCGGGACTCGTAAAGAGTTTTCCAGCGGCTCCTGGAGAGCTTTTCCAGAGACAATCCTGGAGAGCTTATCCAGTGACTCTCGTGGAGAGCTTTTCCAGTGACTCTCCTGGAGGCTCCAGTGGGATATCGCGCGGCAACGCTGTGGTGGCAAGGTCGCCACGCCTGAAGGAGCGCCGAGGGAGGGGGAGGCGTCTTCAGCGCGGTGCCCAGTGGTGCCTGGGCCGGCCGGGGCCTGGGCCTCTGGCCTGGGCCACGCGAAGGACGTTGGGCTAGGGCCCTTCCTAGGAGGGAAAGGGGGGGGGGGGTCTAGGCGGCTCGAATCAGAGCGGCTTTAATAGCCTTATCCTCTTTTTTCTCCCTTTTCCTTCTGCTGCTGTCCAGTAAAATTACGGACAGGCCGCCTTTTATTTTTCCCGAAGGTAGCCGGATGGATAGTTTATAATATGAAGTTGTAGCCCCGGACTCTGGGACCGTCCGGACCGGGCCAACGAACGACTCCCGTGGCGCGGCGGCGCGGCGGCGCGGCGGTCAAGAAGGCCAAGAAGGGGCTGGCGGAAGTGGGGTCGGTGGGAACGGCCCGGGAACGGTGCCCCGACTTGCCCGTCGTCGGAATGCTTTTGGCGGCGTGCCTTCGGGCCTTCGGGCCTTCGGGCCTTCGGGCCTTCGGGAACGGCCTCAACCGATCGCCGTTCTCGCGCCCTCGACTCAGCTTTGCCCCGCGCGGTTCTGACGTTGTGCGTTTTGTTTTGCGTTGCAGGGGAGAGCATAGAGGAACTGAACGGCTATGGCACCTTCCGGCCGAGAAACCTCATCTCCTCCATCCTCGGCGGCACCCCGGGCAAGTCCTCCAAGACGTACATCCCCATCTCCAACCCCCATGACTTTCGACAGGCAAGTTCTCCGCGACCTTTCATTTTTCATTTAGTTTGATCGTATCTTTTTTAAAAATGTTTGAAAGAAATCAAAACTTTTTTTTTTTTCAACTTTTTGTTTCAATTTTTTTTTTTTGAATTTTTTTTACTTTTTAACTTTTTTTTTCAACCTTTTCCAAACTTTTTTTCACCTGTTTCATTTTTTTTTTGCCTTTTTTTCAACTTTTTTCACCTTTCATTTAGAAACAATTTTCAATCATTTGTCTGACCTCTGCCTATTATTCGCGCTGCAGGTGTCGGCCATCATCGACGTGGACCTGGTTCCTGAGACGTGCCGCCGCGTCAAGCTCATCAAGTACGGCTCGGACCGGCCGCTGGGCTTCTACATCCGCGACGGCACCAGCGTGCGCGTCACCTCGGCCGGCCTCGAGAAGGTGCCCAGCATCTTCATCTCGCGGCTCGTCCCCGGCGGCCTGGCGGAGAGCACGGGGCTGCTGGCCGTCAACGACGAGGTGCTCGAGGTGAACGGCATCGAGGTCACGGGCAAGACGCTGGACCAGGTAAGCCATTCAATCATTCATTTTGTTTTTTTTTTGGAACTGCGCTCTCAAAAGACTACAAAGCATTTGCTTCAAAACTACGAAGAAAGGGAAGGCATTGTTGAATTGCTTCGTATTACGAAGGATTTTGCTTCATAATACGAGGAATTTCTTCGCAGATTTTACAATTCCTTCATTGTCTTAGCAATTCTTCGTAAAGTTAGAATTTTTTGAGATAATTTTGTATCAATGTGAGTTATTTTATTCAGGTTGTGTTTCTTCCCTTTTCTGTTTGTTTTTCTCTTCTTCTGTTTGTTAAATTTAATTTAATTTTTTTTCTGTGCAGGTGACGGACATGATGCTGGCCAACAGCTCGAACCTCATCATCACGGTGAAGCCGGCCAACCAGCGCTCCCTGGCGGCGCCGCGCCGCGGCTCCTTCTCCAGGAACTCGCAGCTGTCGTCCGGGTCGCACCAGTCCACGCAGTCGGCGCTCTCGGCCGCCACCACGGGCTCGGACGAGGACCGCTTCGACCAGGACGAGATCGTCGACTTCACGGGGGTGGCCCTGGACGACTCGTCGTCCACCGCCAACGTGCCCGCCGTCAGCAACACGAGCGTCACCACCATCAACACGACCATGAACACGACCATGAATACGACCGTCACCACCATCGGCAGCAACAAGGAGGAGGCCGTGCTGCACTTGTGATTGGCTGCCCGACCTGCGAATGCTGTCGTTGTGGACTGATGACGGATGATTCCGTTGTAGAGACTGCTAGAGTTTGGAACGCAAACGAACAAAATTGTTTGGCTGGAGCTGAGACGTTGGTAGCTTTGAACCACTGGAAAGGTGAGTTTGTATTATTGACCAACTTGGCTCACCTTCTGCAAAGTAAATAAATGCTCATTTTCAGTGATATTGATGTAATTTTAAGTTATTATGTTGCTGTAGTTTCTCTGTTGTTTTCTTTTCTTTACACAACTGTTTGTTAAAAGTTTAAATTTCAATCAGTATTCTAAAAATATGTCACTGTTTATTTATGAAAGTCATTACTAAGCTAATTGTACACACAAGCTCTACCTGAGCTTTCTTTTCTCCTGTCTTCTGTTTGCTGGTTTGAACATTCATATCATTCCTTGCAGCAATAGGTAGTACATTAGTTAATTCTGAACCAACTGGTTATGAACCAATCATAACTTATACATTTATGTTGTTGATATTTAGGAGAAGTCCTGCTTTCTAACAATCATTGTCTCCCTGAAGCAGGGTATCCTAAACTCTTCTAATTGCTTGGTACTTCCCAATATACTATGTCACTGGTGATGATTGAATTGAGGTACATGCAACTGCCATGATTTCAGCATTTTCGAGTTGTGAGAGTGAAGTATGATGTAGTATGAAGTAGTTGTTATTTGTAAATCACTTTAAATATTCTTATCAATCTTGAGATATCAAGGACCTTGTCTACTTATATTTTTATGTGTACATATTGTTAAATGGATAATGAATTTTTATGCCTGTACTGTATTCCTCATTTCCTTGTGATTAATTTGTGTAGGTCTTCAAAGCAGGTTACTTATATAATGTTAATGGTACGTAATGTTAAGTACTATTGTGGTGCTCAGAAAGATGAAAGTTTGTTGTTACAATGTACTGTCATTCTACTTAAACAAGCACCATTTGGTTCTGCTTTGTATGTACCAAAGAGGGAAAATTATTAATTGAGTCAAGACAGCTGAAGCAATGTACTTATTAAGTTCTTAACCATTAGAACATATTATGATGCTGCACCACTTAACAATTAGTGTAATGAAAAACTATTGCAGTTTTGAGACACTGGTGCTGATGTTCTCCAGGCTTCCGAAAAGCTGTTAGAAAGCTATTCTGAGTAGTTTGGATCAGCCACTGTTTTAGAAGTTACTTTGTCTTCTCAGCATACATAAAAAATATTACAGAATGACCCAACAGTCTTGTAATATTAATTAATATCACTTTTATCTCAGTCAATTTTATGACTGCATTGCTTCATAATATAGTTAATTATCCATTTTCTCAAAATTTAAAGTTTGATCTCTTTGTTGTTTTTAAAGTAAACAACAATATTGGCTTACAGCCTTTACAGTTCTTGAAGCACTGCAGTCATAAAATTGATGTATTCATTTTTTAAATGGTTTTGGACCACTTTGTGTACAAGTCATAATTCCACTGTGTACATTCACATTGTTAACTCTTGCTGCACTGGCATTTTTCCCCCATATCATATTGTGTCTCTCATCTTGTCATAATTTGGCTGTTATCTAGTGAATCTGTATTGATAAAGATGTACATTCCAGTGTTAAACTTTCACTGTGTGATTGTTCTTCCGAAGCTTGATTGACGTGATTTCTGATGAGTGCATGGTTGGTTGTTAAATATTAAATAAGCATGTTTTATTCTTTGCTTGTGTGGGAAACACTTCCTGCAATGTGATTCAAAAAGATTAAATTACGTATTAGTGGAAGTCTGAGTCCATGTCCAATGTTTTGGTTAAATTATTCGGAAGTGTAGAAACATGAAGTTGCCATCCATTTTCTATTCTGAGCAGAGTTTTTAAACCAGTAAACCTGTATGTATTTTTGATAATGCAAATTGATTCCTGGCATGACTATGATAGGGACCACGTTGGCTCACTTTCCTCTGGTTGAAGCTCTTCTGTGTCGTCATGGTTTGTCTGAGAACCCCTTGTCTTGTTTGGTTGTGCCTTTGATGTACAACTTGGAAAGGATCACAGTAATCAAAGGAAATGATTGGTAATATTTGGAATTTATGTAAGTGGTAAGAAGACCATTTCTTTATGTTATTAGATAGACAAAGAAAGAGAGAGTGCTAAAATCTGTAGATCAGACAAAGTGTTATTTAAATTTGAATCATGTAATGAAATACTTTTTACAATCTATGAAACTTCCTTTCCCTGGTTACCTTTAAAACAATTTTTTTAAATTGTTTGTATGCTTTTTTTTTTTTTTTTTGCTTTTTTTTTCTTGTAAATTTTCAGAAGGGTTTCAAGTTAATGTTACTGTTTTCAGTATTTAAATATTTTTCTTACAAGCCCTGGATGGTATAAAGTATTTCAATGTTGAATAGTGAAAGAAAGTTTATAGTTCTTAATGATCTATATTTTTACAAGATTATTTGTATTGTTGACAAATGCGTTCTTGACAACATTTTTGCTGCACTCGTGGGGTATAATGTATTGGTGCATTTTCTGACTGAATATTTGCTAACATCGGTTGTAAAATGATTATAATCATTTGTATCTTCTAAAGGTGGTATCCAAGTTCTATATGTCTTGTGAGTTATCTCTTCTTGCCAAAACTTAATAGTCTCTCAAAAGTTTCTACACAGACTCGAATTGCCACCTTACGGTGTTAAGTGGATTACAATTTTCTAATGAAGTGTATCAAGATCAGATGTTGCCAGTTTTGAAACCTTCTGAGTTCTCATGTTGTTCATAATTATGATCCTTCAGAACACATGTTATTTTAAATTCTGCCAATGAAATGTTTTACATTGTGTACTGTACATATATAGGCCCTATTGCCTCTATATTGCTAGAACTGACATATTTTTATGTTTGGAGTTATGTGAACCTATGAATTGGTCCGTCCTATTGCATATTACTCTTAGTTAATAAAACAACACTCCAATCAGACTACTCTCTATTTTTTTCAAAAGCCCCTTATACCACAATACTAATTTGCTGCGTACGATGGGTTGCCTATCTCCCCGGCGCCGAATCAAATGATTCCACTTTTTCATTAGAAAAAGACAGTTAGGGCCAACATGGACCTCAAAGCAGTGGTGTGTGCAAGGGAGTGCTGCAGCAGGTTCGGCCAAATATAATGTTGGTCGAAATCATCGGCAAAATGATGGTGTTTGATGGGCATGCTAACTCGACAGATAACAACCTGTGACCGGAAAAAATTTCACACCAAACAAGTCGAGGGAGTCGCGTGTCTGGAGTCGCGTAGTTGCGATGTCCGCCGCTAGAGCGCGCCAGCAGGCCTTGGGGGCGGTGGTCGCGTCGCGACCGCGTCTCGGAGCCCCACTCGGCGATACACCACGCCTGTAGGACTGTAGCCTGCTCCGACAGTCACAGTCCGGCGATACGCCATGCCTGCAGGCTGCTGACAGTGACAGTGCTCTCTTCGTCCTGTCGCTCTCGCGCTCACAGGACGTTCCGTTGTCGGAGGAAAATATTGAGAGCTAAACAAGATTTCAGCGCACGGGCAGTACCGGGAAGCGCCTCCCATTTTGCCCCTTCTCGAAGCCGCGCCTCTGAGATCGTGGACGCGCCCCTAGAGCCCCTAGGCGTGCGCACAATGGCTGCGCTGCTGTACTGCTGTGCGCGCACATTTCAAACATTTCAGAGATCGTTTGAAGACTCTGTGGGGCCGCTGGGGCCGCGCGGCCGCGGTGGCGGCGCCGGGCCGGATGGGGACTCCGTGCCAGGGGGCGGGGGAAGGGGGAGGGGGCAGGGTCTTTGCCATGTAAACAAGGCATCCCCCTTTCCTGGCCTATTATTGTTCCCACGAGGTCATTGTGACGCGGGGGCATAGTCCGTCTCTCTCGCACTCACGGCTCGTCCCCCAGGGCCTCAGTGGAGCGAGAGAGACAGACAGAGCGACGGAGCGTACTGTTGGGAGTCAAACTGCAGGAGCCGGCGGGAGCGCACCCCCCACGGGGCCTGGGGGCCTGGGGCGGCTCAGGCGTTCGGCAGGGCGGGCCTACGGAGCCTACGGGCTACGGGCCCCACGGCGCCGGCATGTTTTCAGGCCGCGTTCGTGCATCCAGGAAATCAGGCGGGAAATCAGCCCGCTGGGCACCATGCCGGCCAATCCGCCCATATTTCATTCGGATTCATTGTTCATTAAAAAAATAAAAACTATTTTTTTTCCTATTTTTTGGCAAGCACTCAATTTTTTTGCTTCCATGTAGACGGTAATGCTGCCAGTGTATTCCTGGCAGCAGCGAGAGCGACTGTGTTCGCGCGAATCGTGTGGAACGCTCTTTTCGTCCGAATTCGCGTGGCTTCGCACCACTACACTGCCAAAACTTTTTCATCCCTGACGTCAAAACGCAAAACAAAGATAGAGGCACGTTCCGGCCGGCTCCGGAGGTCCCTTAATCAAGCTGCGCGGTAACGACCGTGAAGATGTCGTAAGTATGATGGATCGGTTGACCGTCGCCGGGCTATACTCGCAACCGTTTGTTGACCGCTGCAGACGAAAAGTCATCCTCCAGGTGAGTCGTGCCCTTGCGCGTCATCGCAGGAATCTAATAATACCCTTTTGAACTTCGCCACGTGGCAAAACAAAATACTTAAAAAAAACAATTAAAATCTTTAACAGATTTTGTGTTTACTGCGTTGTCGCGGCCGTCTACCTGTGATGACTGTCACGAAATTGGTGGTTCGCGTTTAACGCGTGGGGACGTTGTCTTCCTGAAGGTCTTCCTCTACACTGCGGAAAACAAAAGAGGGGTGACAAGGGCTGCCCAACGCTTCATCTCCGAAACCTTCCCCCTTTGGATGCAGTAACGGCGATCGTCCACCGCCTCTTACGACTGCCCTGCCCCACCGCCTTGCAGACTGTCCCTAATCACACCGTAACCCGCTGGCTATAATGAAAGCGTTTCCGAGGCGGGGCATCAAAGAGCAGGGTCTTAGAACGCCAGGACGTTCAGGGAGGCCTTTGACACAGCTGGATTGGATGCAGTGGCCGCCCACAGTCAGCAAAAAGCGTTACTTCAAGGCAGCGCTTTTGTCGCTGTCTAATTCCGTGCACCCCTCAGGGACGCCCAACGCGTACTCTGCCACTCATGAGGGGTCGCGTGGGAGCGAGCGAGCGAGACACGGCGACGAAGGCTCATCGCTCGGAGCCAGCGAGCTGCAGGCGTCCGCGGGCGTGGACCTCATGTAGTGCCTGTGGGCCTGGTGGGGCTGGGCTGGGCTTGCAGCATGGCTTGCAGCTCGGCTTGCAGCCCCGCCTGCTCCTGGGGCCCAACCGGCCGCCCCCTCCGCGCCCCCACCGCGCCGTTCCCCCTCCGGGCTCCTCTCTGGCGTGCCAGTCGCCGGCCCTTACGGCCCCCACCCCGCGCCGCCCCCAGCGCGGCGGGCGGGCGGGCAGGCAGGCGGGCCACAAGGTGCACAAGGTGGCCCCCACCGCGGGCTTGGCTGCCTTGGCTGCTTCGGCGTCGCTGCCTTGCAAGCCTCTCTGGTTTACCGAGTCGGACCGCGACGCCCCACGACGCCAGACGCTGGCCAGCCGCTCTGGTGCACCGAGACTCGCGCCGCACCGCCACATCGCCGACCTGGACCGTGTGCTGCGAGGACGTCGTCGACGCCATGTCCTGCCTCGAGTGAGTGTCCTCGGCGACCGCTTGCTGCAGCAAGGCGCTTGGCTCGCGGCCTCACCCCGCCGCCGTCTAGCACCCCGTCGTTGCGTACGCGCCCCGATTTGGGTCATCGCCGTGGCCATGCTGCCCGAGACGGCGGCAGAGGAAGTGCCCCCAGACATGGGACCGCCATGGCGCGCCCGGGACGGCGTTCTGGAAACGCTGCCAAAGGCGAGGCGCCCTCGCTGCAGTTCCCTCACGTTCGACTGCTCGCCAGTCTCAATATCTGAATCTCGCTCGACGTATCGAATGTTATTGCCTCGCGAGTTTTTCTCGCTGTGTCGTATACTTTGTTTCTTGACGTTTTCCCCCCCATTGATGTTTGCGTCCTATTCGTGTTTGTCTCTGTTTTTCTCCCTGCAGGTTGGTTCTCCTCGTTTCAAAACTTTTTGTTATTTTTGTCGGTGGCTGTCGGTGGACTGCTCTTCTTCCTTTCCGGCTGTCAATGGTTGGTAGACTGTCGCACGTCGTGTTCCTGCACTGGGGGCGACGCGGTGGCGATCTTCGCTTCATCGACAGCGGGCTCGGCGGCAAGCGTGCGCTTCTAATTGAAAGAGGTGGTGCTGGGGTGGTTCGCCGTCATCAGCTTCAACTTGTACGAGCCCGGCTCGGCTCGGCTCTGCGGCGGGGCTCGGCGGGGCTTGGCTCGTCACCATCACGATCAACATGTACCTGTCGACTGATGACTGCAGACAGGTGTGGGAAGGCAGGGCTAGGCAGGGCTAGGCAGGGCCGAAGCACGGCATCACGCAGCCAGCCAGCAATTAGACGCCCAGACCGAGCGACCGAGCAACCGGCTGCGGCCTGGAGCCTGCCGCCGCACAGTGGGCCAGAAGACCGGCGTTTTGAGTTCCAGAGTCGCTAAATAGGACTGGAACCGAACATGTGAGCCCACCAATAGATTGCTCTCCAAACGAGGAATCCATCGGTGGGGTCACACGCTCGGTTCGAGTCCTGTTTGGCGACTCCGGAGCTCAAAACGCATCTGGAGTTTTGGCCGCCTCCACCGGTCTTCTGGCCCACTGCGTGCGCCTGCCGCGCGTCGCTTCGTGAATCCCGATTTTATTTTTTTTCAGATTCAGATTGGGGTTCTGTGGTTGCCAAATTGTTCCCAGTGGACGACAACTTCCAAGAAAGAGAAATTAAAAGAGTTCTTGTCAATTTTTCCTTTATTTTTTTGTTTCGCGCGGTGTTAAGAGCACATCCGGGCCGTGATACAACCATTTTGGCCTTGCCTGACGGCGCACGTTTGTCCGTGTGACGTACAGTATGAGCCGGCAGGCGGAGGAAAAAACTGCCGGATGTGCTTAAAATCGCAGCAAATCCTGGAACGAAAAAACTCCGGTGGCGTCTAACGTGTCAGCCACTGTGTAGTCGGAGCACGGAAACGTTATGCACCTCAATTGCCCTACAGGAACAGGAGCTTCGAGATGACGAGCATCGACCATCGAGTATCCACGATTTCGTCACAAAAGTGACATCAAACTTTTGCAGTGCCAATGGATTCCCAGTGAAATGAGGTCCGTTTGTTTGTGTTGTTCGGTCGGGGCGCATCAAAGCCAATTCAGATGTCCAAGAAGAGCTTTGAGAGGGCTTCGTGGACTGACGGTTCTATGCGCTGCTGGCCGTGCCGTGTCGGGCCGGGCCCCGGGGTTCGAAAAGCGAAACGTAAACAAATCTATAACAGCTTACGCCCCGCACGCGCACGTGCCAGCAGCGCCATTTTTCCTCTCTTTTCTTTCCTTCCATCTCTTTTCCTCATGTTTTCTCTCTCTCTCTCTCTTTCTTTCTCTCTCTCGGGCTCCCTTTGTTCTGTCTTCTCTTGACACGAAGGACAGTGCAGGCTCTTGCTGCTTGGCGAGCTGAAGGAGCGCCCGAGCGATCGTGGGTAGGCCACCCGGAGGACAGCCCTGCGCGGCGGGTCGGTATCTGGCCGTGCTAAGGGGCTCCCCGTCGGAGCTCCCTGCAAGCGTCGTCGGCCTCCGGAGAGCCGGCCGTGCCGTGCCGTGCCGCACAGTGGGCCAGAAGACCGGTGGAGGCGGCCAAACCTCTGGGCTCCAGAGTCGCTAATTGGGACTCAAACCGAACGTGTGACCCGACCAAAGGATTCCTCGTCCGAAGAGCAATCCATTGGTGGGGTCACACGTTCGGTTTTAGTCCCATTTAGCGACACTGGAGCTCAAAACACGTCCAAGATTTTGACCGCCTCCACCGGTCTTCTGGCCCACTGCGTGCCTTGCCGTGCGGGCGAGGCGGGGCTGCTCCACCCTCCGGGCAGACCTCCACGCACATTCCTCCCTGCCTAGGCGTTTGCTGCGCGCGTTGTCTAGCCCAACACCTGAGGAGCTTCGCCGATATCCTCCCCCTGCCATCACTGCGCCACTGTACGTCAGCCCGTGCGTGCGTTGTCTGGTGTTGCAGGCCTGAGCGACGCTGGGCCTAGGCAGGACCGCCGGACCATGGACTGGAGGCCAGGGCCACCCCTTGGGCCACCCTGTCCCCCCGAAGGGCGCGCCGAAGGGCCCCACCGCGCTGAGGCCCCCGCAGCTCCGACTGGACCATGAGCAACAAGAAGCCACCGGGGCCACCCGGAGGCAACGGCGCGGACGACAAGAAGGCCAGCAAAGATGACGACGGCAACGGGGCGGCCGCGGCGGGCGACGCGGCCGCCAAGCCCGGGTCGGCGGGCGCCACCAGCAGGGACGCCGCGCTGCGCCTGCTCGCCATGTGCCAGAAGGGCGAGTGGCCGCCCGTGGACCAGGCAATCAAGAGTCTGGAAAAGGCCGTGGCCGCGGCCCAGGCGGCGGCGCAGCCCGGCGAGGACCCGCCGCACCTGCCGCTCATCGGGGTGGCGGACCCGGTAAGACCACCTACAGTGCACCAACACGTGGGCAGCCAGCGCCGGCGGCCAAAACTCTAGGCGCTCTTTGAGCTCCAGAGTCTTCAAATGGGACTCAAAGCAAACATGTGACCCCACCAATGGATTCCTCGTTCGGAGAGCAATCCATTGGTGGGGTCACACGTTCGGTTCGAGTCCCGTTTAACGACTCTGGAGCTCAAAACGCGTCTAGAGTTTTGGCCGCCTCCACCGGTCTTCTGGCCCACTGTGCGCGTGCGGGGCAGGGCTGGCCTAGGGCAACCTAGGGCCAGGCGGCTATCGGGGTCAGCGCGGCAAGGCCTTCCCCTCCACGGCGCTGCAGTCTGGACTGCTCTAGACCGGCGGTTTCTGTTTTCGGAAGCAGCCCGCGTCCTTGTCGGTAATCAGTGACAAGAACCCCTTTTTTCGGACGCCGCCGTCCCGAGTGCCGCGCTAGATAATGACCTAGGCGGAGGGCTAAGGCATTAGGAATGGCGCAACCGCTTCTCGGAAGTGTCAAAGGTCAAGCCTGCACGCCTTCCAAACCGTGCGTCAACGATTCGCAGCAAAAATAAATTAATTTCGTTTTTCAAAGGCAGTTTTTAATGTGCCCGTATTTTCCGTTGATTATACTTTGCAAAACGTGGGACATGACAGAAAAAGAGCATCTCCATTCAGTTAATATCGGTTAATATACATAAGGAAAAGAAAGAAATACTGAATTTATTCGCTCTTTTACGTTTTGCGCGCTTTGTCAACGTCGGCCTTCACTGCTTTTTTCCCCAGGCGACCGGTATGACCCCGTTGATGTACGCCGTGAAGGACAACCGCACGGCGTTCCTGGACCGCATGGTGGACCTTGGCTGCGACCCAACGGCAAGGAATCAGGTGAGTCATCCGAAACAGAGGGGCGCTGCACAGTGGGCCAGAAGAGCGGCGCCGGCGGCCAATACTTTAGACGGGTTTTGAGCTCCAGAGTCGCTGAGCAGGACTCGAGTCCCATTTAGCGACTCTGGTGCTCAAAACGCGTCGGGGGTTTTCATCGCCTCCGCCAGTCTTCTGGCCCACCGGGGGCTGTGCCAGTGCATGCCAGTGTGCCTCCCCTGCAGCGGCGCTGGGTGCTGGGTTTGCCCGCCGTCCGCGCGAAGGGCGCCTTGCACTTGACCGGTGAAGTGGCGTCGATTGCAGCCAGGCTGCACCGGTGTTTCCGTCTCTCTCACCCCTACGGGACGCGACGGGACGCCCCATGAGTGCGAGGGAGACAGAGCGACGCCCAATGTCCGCGGCGGCCGCTCTGATGAATAGCCCCGGGGCATTACGCCTTGCCGTTACGGTGGGCCTGCAGGCCTGATGGCCTGATGGCCTGATTGAGTGGCTATGTGGGTTTTTCTGCTTCGCCGGCGCGACTCTCGCTCGGTCTCCTTGGCTTGACCTCTGGCCTTGCCTTCTGCCGGACTGCGGCTACCTGGCCGACCCTCGGTAGCGTGCGGCGGGCCGCACGGCGGGTAGGCGAACAACTGTAAAACAGAAAGGGTCGTTCAAATTAGAAATGTGGGCTGTGTGAGAGATCGCAGAGCACACGCTTCCTTAGTTTTTTTAGATTTTATGCGTTGGTGTCATTTTTAACATTGCGTAACTTTCACTTTTTTTCTGATGGTTTGCCTCGCCTTCATTCAACAACGACGTGCGTCTTAGGTCGATGGTTTGAAGTGAGGTATTGGTGGGTCCTCCAGGACGCGCGCCGACCGCAAGTCCTGAGGACCCTGGCTAGCCTCGGTCAGTCCACGGGGGAATTCCTTGGGTCTACAGCAGCGCGGGGAAAGCCCAGACCACCACAAGAGGCCTAATTTTTTCCCACCCGCGGCCCCAGGCGGCCCCAGGTTCGCAGTGGTCGGTCCGGTCCCCTTGACTTGACCTTTGGGCGCCTTATCAGACCATTGCCTACGCCACTGGGGCACCGCGGGGCAGCACGCCATGCACGTCCAGCTCAAGGCTCCGGCCGACACGTAATTTGCATGTTATCGCCGAGGAAGGGGGTTAGACCCCGCAGCGTGCCGCGGCGTGCCGTCTCTCTCGCACTGCCGCCGCCAGCCCAGCGCCCCCTCGCTCGCACCACCGCCCACTCAGCCGGCAGACTGGGTCCGGGGAGCCGGCGCTCTGTCTCTGTCGCACTGCTGGGCCGCTCACTCGCACTGCGGCCACTCGGCCAGCCCCCTCGCCACGCCACACCGGATCCTTGGGGTAGTTTCACCGAGGGGTGGCGCCCAGTGCCGCCCAGCGCCGCGGCGGGCGTGACGTCAAACTCGGCGTGCTTCATGGCATCCGGTCAGTGGGGCCGGCCGGAGCACCACACTGGGAGTCGTTTTCGTCGCGCTGTCCCTCTCGCACCGGCAAGGAACGCCCCATGCGTGCGACAGGGACGGCGCGACGAAAACGACTCTCAGTCTGCAGCACTTCTCGGAGGGGGGGGGGGGCAGCACGCGCGGCACAAGTGCCTCCTCATTGCGGCAGAGCCACCCTGCCTTGCACCAGCAAGGCGCCCCAAGAATGTACAGTGTACAGTCAAATCTACCCAATTTTTATGAGATTGAACGGTCAAATCGTCAAATCTATTTTTTTCTGTGACTAAACGGAGTCACCTTCATTTTTCTGGGCGTGTACAATAAGAAACTTTTTTTTTCTGAGAGTGCCTAGTACAGTCGACTTACTTTTCTCCGAGAGTGTACTCTGTCCAGTCAAACGACTAAGAAAGGGTTGTGCCTCAAAAGCACCCCGGCTGTTCGAGAGACGAGTTTTTTTTTCCTGGGCGGGTGCTGCGTACATTGTCTGCCGGGGCTCGGCTCGGCCGGCGGCCTGGCCGATGATGCACTGTTTGGACGCTTCGGACAGTCTCGGCTTGGCTGGGTTGGCGTGCTGTGGCGTCGGGTAGCCGCGCGGTGCTCGGCGCGCTGTCGAGAGAGAGAGAGAGAGAGAGAGAGAGAGAGAGAGAGAGAGAGAGAGAGAGACGGCGCTTGAGGCCAAAGCAGCCCTAAAGGCGGCAGCCCTAGGCCGGACGCTTTGTAGAAACGCGGCTCCGAAACGGGGTCAGTGTTGAGCGGCACGCACCGCACCGGGGGTCAGCACCTTCATGGCCATCTCGACGTTGACCCAGTCTCTCTCACTCTCTCTCTCTCACTCTCGCTGAATGTCCGCCCGCTAGACAGCCAGACAGTTTAGTTTATAAAAAGAGCGTTTATCAGGACAATTTGAATTGGCAGTAATTAGGGTGATGTAGGATTTTGCTTTTTGAGCTTTCTTATCGGTCAGCACAGCGTTTGTGTGTGTGTGTGTGTGTGTGAGAGAGAGAGAGAGAGGGAGGGGAGGGGGGATATGCGGCCCTAACTCATCATGCCCCGCATCCGCACCGGTCACTTCCCGCACCGCAGGGCAACAACATTCTCCCACAAATTTCCCCCTGCCCATTATTGGCACTTAGGGAATATTGCAGCCCCTTTCTTACGGGGCACGGGCCCTTCCCGTGGAAAAGGAGGGGGAGGGGGGGTTACTGACGCGGAGTGGGGGCGTCGTCGGCCAAGGGATTAATAGCCGTTTTACCTCCGTTCCCCCCTCCCTCTCTCTCTCTCGCACCCCCATCCCGGCCCCATATCCCTGATGTCCTGATTTGATTGCGCGCCAAGCAGCCTTACCGGCAATCATGTAATCACTGCCCGGCCTGTTTGGCGCTGGCAAGGGGATGCGAGGGGACGGGGAGGAGGGGAGGGGAAAAGCGGGACGGAGGGAGGAAAGGGGGGGGAAGATGCCGACGTTGTAAAGTTTTTGCAATCTGGTGTCAAGTCATCTTCGGCAAAACGTGACGGGGGGTTGAACAACAACTGTCCGACGCCGATCCGACGACACCGAAGAGAAATTCGTCACTGGTCCAAATTGGTTCCTTTTTGGCGACTGCCGCCATCGGTCTGAGTGTAACCACGGTGTAAGCCGCACTGCCGGGCCGGCCGTTTGTTTAGTTCGGCTGCGTGTTGCGCCACGTTGCGAGTGCCCGGCCCGGCCCGGCCTGCCTTAGCTTGGGTCGACTTCGGTGTGGTAATTACAAACAGCCGTTACCGAACCTCGGGAATCTAGAGCTCGCCGAGAAGTGGGTTAATTGAACGATTTTCTTTTCATAATTTGCCGCAATCTGGGTGTGTGTGTGCGTGTGTGTATGTGCGCACTGCACTATTAAGGGCGGGGTCGGTCGTTGGCTTGTTTGGGTGGCGCTGCACTGCCTGCGTGCGTCGCGACGCCGCAAGTTCCCTCCAAATTCGACAAGCGGCCCCCATGCGAGCAGTCAGTCGCCCCGCTGCTTCCGCGTTGCCACGGAGCGCCCCCACCCCTTCCCCCTCCCCCACCCCCTTCCTTTGCTGCGCCCATATCCCGTGGTCCCCACCGCCTCCCCCACCCCCGCACCTTCCCCCTTTCTCCTGAGCCATCTTCCCATCTCCACCCCACCACCGTCACCCCCTCCCCCTCCCCCTTCCGAATTCCTCCCCCACCCCCTCACACACAAACAAGTCCCTGGCGTGCCGTCGGGGCATAACTCCAGTCATGCACCCTCCCCTCCCCGTTCCGCCATTCACACAGACAGCCGCACACTATTTTTCTATATCCGCTGCACCTCCTTTAACAGATTGGAGGGCCCGGCCGGCGCGCAGTGGGCCAGAAGACCGGTGGAGGTGGCCGAAATCCTGGATGCGTTTTGAGCTCCAGAGTCGCGAAACGGGACTCGAACCGAACGTAACGTGTGACCCCACCAATGGATTCCCCGCTCAGAGAGCAATCCATTGCTGGGGTCACAAGTTCGGTTTAGGTCCCAATTAGCGACTCTGGAGCTCAAAACGCGTCTAGAATTTTAGCCGCCAGTGTTCTGGCAAATCCACTGTGGAGCGTGTCCCCACGCCGTGCTCGCGCTTCACACTGTAAAGCCTCGTCCTCTGGCGTGTGTGTTGCGATAGCGACCGCCACTCCACTTGCGGCGGGAACACATACTTTGGCTGTTTGCGGAGCCGTAAATCGCGGCGCCTGCGCAAAATTTACCACACCAAAATTTAAAAAAAAAATAACAAAAAAAAAACAAATATTTTATCTTTTGTGTGCAACGCTGTGAGACAAATCACGACAAATTACGACAAATTCTGGCTTTTGATTAGGGTGTTGTACTGTATTTCTATAGCAGAAGCGGTTGGCGCAATTCATTGCAATCGTCAGAAAAAAAACATCGACCATCGGACGAGACAACTTGCAATAAATAATTATTTGACGGCATTATTAGTGTGTCGAGTCCATCGAGTGTGTCGAGGCGTGGGCGTAGTCCACCTTTTCTGGTGGCGTGGAAGTCTGCGGGGATTTCCCTCATGCCGTGGGGGGGGGGGACGCCCTTCGTCATTGCATAAAAGATGGCCGCCTCGTCCACTCGGTAAATGGACGCCGTGAATATGAATCACAGGCTGCGGCGCATATTACTCAAGCCGGCCGACACATTCAGATCCAGATTCGGAGGCCTCCATTAGGCCCGCGGCCTTCGCGATGATACCCTATCCCACCCGCAGAAAAGGTTGTTTTCTTTTTAAGAATGCGTTTTTTGTTGTTTTGTTTTGTTTTTGTTTATGGAAACGAGTGTCTCTACGACCGGACACGTATTCGCGAGGCACGAAAGGAAGCGCGGGAAATAGCGCAGGGTCCTGGAATAGTTTTTTTACGACCTCTCGAAGTAGAGTCGCCTTAGCAGATTGCCAATTTGCGGACCCTCGTTACACTGGTAAATCACTGCCTATGCAAAGAAAGCCGAGGTATGAGAAATTGGGCAGCCGGCCTTGGGCCTTAGAAAGGGCATCGCTCACGCAGTGTGTTAAGGGATCCAAGAGGATGACGTCATGGCTGACATCAGTTTGTCCTCTGACGTCATAGGCTTCTGCTAAAATGCGTTTTTCATATTGGTTATTTTTTTCGTTACACATTTTGCATTTACAATTCTTAGAAAAACATGAAACCCTCTGCATCGTTTCTCTCTGTTGCAGGACAACTACAATGCCCTCCACGTGGCCGCCATGTACTCCAGGGAGGAGGTGGTCAAGCTGCTGCTGCCGAAGAAGGGCGTGGACGTGTACGCTCCGGGAGGGGTGAGTGAGCAGTCAAACCTCTGGACGCGTTTTGAGCTCCAGACTCGCTAAACAGGACTCGAACCGAACGTGTGACCCCACCAATGGATTCCTTGTTCGAAGAACAAGGAGCAAGGTCGCACGTTCGGTTCGAGTCCCAGTTAGTGACTCTGGAGCTCAAAACGCGTCCGGGATTTTAGCCATCTCCACCGGTCTTCTGGCCCACTGTGCTGTGGGGTGAGGGACGGCCCGGGGCCGCGCGTCAAGGTCTCTGCAGTGGAAGACCCCTGGCGTGTCAAGCTGGACACTGACCACTCGCATCCGCGCGTCAAAGTCTCTGCTCCGCGGGGTATCGCCGGCGCGTTACGTAGTTCTTGGACACAGGCACTAATCACCCTCCACGGGGCTCAAGGGTTTACGTCGACGACATTGTGAGGCGGTATGAAAGGGCGTATTCGGCTCCAAGGTCGCCTTGCCACCGGGCCCCGGCTCCGCCCCGCCGCCTAGAGTGGCCCCACGGCGCGGCGCCGAGACACGCGATTTCCGTACGCCGCGTTTTTGTCAACGGCGACCTCTCATTTGTCAAACGTCTAGGTGCGCCACCCTGAACAATGAGGCCGTCGTTTAAGTAACGCCGCCGTGCACGAATTACGTAACACGCCTTGCAAAGCAGGAGGCCCGGATTTCGACGTACCCCTCCAGGAACTTTATACTCAGTGGGCCAGAAGACCGATGGAGGCGGTCAAAATCCCGGACGCGTTTTGAGCTCCAAAGTCGTTAAACGGGCCTCGAACCGAACGTGTGACCCCACCAATGGATTGCTCTCCGAGCGACGAACCGCCTCCACCGGTCTTCTGGCCCACTGTGCGGCGGTGACGATGAAGATGGTGGCGGTGATGACGAGCTCGTTGCTTCGCTATCACGCCTTCATCCATCACTGCTAAGCAGACCAGCTCCACAGACCTGTTGGACTCGCTGCAGACCTGTTGCCCCCTTCCCCCCTTTCCCCCTTCCCCCTCCCCTCCTCCCTTTGGAACCCTCCGGCCCTTCAGTGCCACTCACTGTACTCATCATCGGCTGCTATTATGTGTGAACGCGGTGCCGGCGCGTCGATACTCCTCGTTTGCCAGCCGAGGGCGCGAGGGGTGTCAAGGTCATCAATCCCAGGGAGGCCTTGCTACACTGGAAAGTGGAGCGACATCGATCGGTCCATTGTTGTCACGTACATTTTTCAGACATCACGACTTTGAGACATTTGACGCCGTTTGGACCTACACGTTCGGTTCGAGTCCCATTTAGTGACTCTGGAGCTCAAAACGTGTCCGGTCTTCTGGCCCACTGTGCGCCGTCAGGACCTTGCAGTGTGCAGGGGTCCGTTGACCGATGTGTTTGTGTTGGTTGCAGCCGCGGAGCCAGACGGCGGTGCACCTGGTGGCGAGCAGGCAGACGGGCACGGCCACCAGCATCCTGCGCGTGCTGCTCAACGCCGCGGGCAAGGACATCCGCCTGCGACCCGACGGGGTGAGTGAGCGCTCACTGCGGAGCGCGTAACGCGTACAGTGGGCTGCTGCTGCCCTTGAAAGCTGCCGCCCTGTCTCTCTCGCGCCCAAGCGGGTCGCCACGAGTGTGAGAGAGGGCTAGAGAGTGTCGCTCCGGTTTGGAAGGGGTCCTCTGCTCGTCCAGCCTTTCTCCAGGGCGTCCCGCGTCGCCAGTGACTCGTCGACTCGTCACAGCGGCCTGCAGGCAGCCTCCCCCATTCAAGTCTCTGCATGGTCAGTCGCGTCGGCCACGTGTGGGTGGTTCGAGAACGGCCGCACTGTAGGTGATGGTCTGGAAGACACGCACTACCAGTGGAGGGCACGGACTCGCCTGCCTCGCCCTGACAGCGTCTCACCCCTCGTCCCCCCCCCCTTCCGAAACACAGCCCCTGCGCTCTCTCATTCGCGCGGAGACAGGTGAGGGGTGTTTCGTCTCGTCATTTTTACTTTCTTTCTCTCTTCTTCTCTCTCTTCGTCTCTTTCTCTTTCTTCCTCTTTTCTGCCGGTGCACCCACCGCGCGTCGACACAACTCAGCACTCGCGGTGCGCGCGGTGCCCATAATGTAGCCCAGTCCCGCCTCGGTCCCCTCGGGCCTTCCCTCCCCGTTCGAAGCCTTGCCTCCGGCCCAGTCTCTCTGTCTCTCTCGCACCCCAGCGGGGCAGCGGGCCGCCCCGTGAGTGCGAGAGAGACAGAGCACCGCTGGGAGGGCTGGGAGGGGCCGGGTCGATGGGAGGCGCGGCGAGAGGCTGCAGCCAATGGCGTGATGCCGCTATTTTAGCTCCACGAATATTCAATACCTTCGAAAGGGCCTCGAAGACCTCGAAGACCTCGAAGGCTGCGCCGCGCTGTCCGGCCCGGCGGCGTGCTCGCGGGGGGCGCGTCGGCGTGGAGGGCGGAGAGCGCGGTTCGATCCCCGTCCCCGGCGCGCCCTCTCCCTCTTCCAATCTGAAGGCCTGTCACCCGGACGTCTCCCCCACACGCCCCAGGAGCGCGGGGCCGTCGGGCGCCCCCGGGAGCTCCCCAGCGCCGGCAGTGCCTCCACGGCCGCCGCCAGCAGCGCCAGCAGCACAGCGCTCCGGGCTCCAGCACCTCGCCGTCGTCCGCCACGTCGCCGCCGCGCCGCGTTGCCTGGCGACCGGATGGCGCGGTGGGCTGGCCCGGGCGCCCCGGGCGCGGCGATGACCCCCTCGGCGGGGATGCGCGCTCCGCCAAGTTTTCGCGGGGGGAGGGGCGCCCCGCCGACTGCGGCAACATCCGAATGAGTCTTTGTCAGTCGACGGCCACGTCCCGCCGCGCGAGTGCTGCTCGCTGGAAAGCCCGGACGCCGCGGGAAGCTTCGACGCCGCGGGGGCCTCCGGACGCTACAAGGCAGCTTCCGCGCGGGGAAAGCCCGGTCCTCCGGAAAGCCTCGGCAGCGCGGGAAAGCCCAGGCGTACCCCGGAAGTTGCGTGGAAATCCTGGGCGCCCGGGCGTCGTCGCGGGCCTCGTGGCGACGCGGGCGACGCCGTCATGGAGCCAGCGAGGGTTCCCGACGGCCGGCCCCCGGGCGGCTAGAGCGTGAGGCGGACGCCCTGCAGTGTAGGCTGGCACGGCCGCCATGTCCTCCACCAGCGACGGCGCGGCCGGGCCGCCGTCGTCCGCGCGGCGCCTCAAGGCGGCGGTGTCGCGGGAGCAGCGGCTCAGCGCCCGGAAGAAGGGCGACGCCAAGGCCGACCCGGGGGACGCCCTCAACAACACCACGGCCTCGGCCACGGCCGCGGCCTCGGACTTGGGCGCGTCCCTGCTCAAGAACTCCAACCTCTTCTCCAGCTTCGTGGTCAAGAACAAGCTGCAGGCGGGCGTGCCCAAGAAGACCGCCGCCGGCACCGCGGGATGGCAGCTGGTGCTCAAGACGGCCCTCTCCTCCCTGCAGAAGGAGGAGGTAACAGCCCGCGCCACTCGAGCAGTGTAGTGCGTTCAAACCGTGCGTGTCTCTCACGTTGTCGTCGCTTGTGTTCCTGACCCGCAAGGTTCACGCGGAGCACGCGGAGATTGCATCCTCATAAAATACTTTGCCCATAAAAGCTATTGCGGGAACGGTTGCCCGCAATCACGTTGGGAAATCTACATTTCCTAAAAGCAGTATCCGTCAGTGAATTTCAATCACAATCCACATGTTTTCTTTCATTGAAGACGTAGCACAATCAACGACATTCACTTTTCAAAAAAAAAAACATTGTTTTCTTCTCTTGTTTTCCTAGGTTTATTTACCAAAAACTTTTTTCTGCGTGTAAATGAACCCTTCCCCAGACGGGCCGTTTTCGTGCGAAGAAGGTGGCGGGCCGGGCGTGTTCCTAAACGGGGTTGCCGGACGAAGACAGATCCGACCGTCAGCGACCGACGCGACAGAGCATCGATCCGGAGTCTCGCGAGACGCGGCGAGGCGGCGAGGCGCGTTCGAGACGACGGCGGACCTACCAACCCCGCCGCGGAACGGAGCATCGCTGAGAAAAGCACAGCTGCGCGTTCGAGATCTCGAACGCGCCCCTCGGAGGGGGCTGGGCTGGCTGGGCTGGCTGGGCGCCGCTCACCTGTGGGTGCTGCGTTGGCCGGCCCGGCGCACCCGAATAGCCTCGAGAACGATCCGAAAACGGAAGCGAAGCCAAGCGAAGCCAAGCGAAGCACTTTGAGCCGGCGGGCCAATCGTCCAGTTTCGAAAGTTCCCGCCAAAACGGTCTTGGCGGTGACCGGCCGCCCAACAGCCGCTCCCAGGAGTACAAACTTGACAAAACAAAATTCAGATAACATTCAAAAGCGCGACTTTCCTTGTGGGTAATCTTTAGCAGATAACACCTTTTACACATTCAATTTAACATGATACAAGAATACAAGAAACGTAAGGTGTCAGGTAGCTTGTTTTTCTAAAGTTGGCAGCTTGCGGCAAACAGCTGCGGTAGCAAAGAGGTCCTCGCGGTGCTCGCGACACCGGCCCGCGGAATTACTTTTTGATGACAACTTTTTTTTTCAACTTTTTCAATCTATTTACAGCACGCTAGTCCCCGTCGCGGTGGTGGTCACGGCCGCACCGTGCTCGCTGTCATCACGACGATTTAGGAGTAGTTGTACAATAAGTAGCGCCAGACAAACGGTTTCTTTCGTTTCATTCACTGGGGCCGGAAAAGTAGTCGTACGTAGAACTTTCGGTCCATTAAATAGAACTTTTTCATTTTATTTTTACGCTTACGGTTATTTTTATTTCCAGTTCAAAGGAGTATTTTTCTTGCACAGAGATAAGATCAAGAAAATCAATTTTTTCGATACGAGACCGGATGAAACTTTCTTGAAAGCTCGACCTGTTGATACGTTGCCGTTTACTTTCAAACATGTCGACTGCGAAACAAAATGATTTGGCTTGGAACGCTTCTGAGTGTGTGGCTTTGGTCCGCAGAAGGGCAAGATCCCCCTGCTGCTGGCCGTGGAGGCGGGCAACCAGTCCATGGTGCGAGAGCTGCTGGGGCAGTCCTCGGCCGAGCAGCTGCGCGCCACCACGGACCACGGCGACACCGCCCTGCACCTGGCGGCGCGCAAGAGGGACCTGGACATGGTGCGCATCCTGGTGGACTACGGGACCAACGTGGATCTGCCTAACGTGAGTAACGAACAAACCTAAAATTTTAACTTAAGCAAAAAAGAAATTTAATTGCTTTTAATTTTTTTAACAAACCCGATCAGAAACACTAAATTGACAAAATGTTTGGTTACAAAAACTTCCTACGCCACACTGTCGGCTAGAAGACCGGCGCAGGCAGCCAAAACTCTAGACGCGTTTTGAGCTCAGTCCTGTTTAAACTCGACTAAGTAGCGACTCTGGAGCTCAAAAAGCCTCCACCGGTCTGTCTGGCCCACTATGCGCCTGTCTTTGCATCGCCTTGCATATACTCCCAATTTTCGTTCTTACTAATTTTCGTCCCATTCTCCTTGATGGCGGCGTGGCGTGGCCATGCCACGACCTCCGCCGCCTAAAGACTGACGTGGATCGCCTCCACGGTACACACTCGGCGCATGCAAGCCTGTCCAGCATGATACGCTGTGCTCACAGTGCTCAAATTTGCCCGGGGAACTGTCCGAAACGAGTTGACGCATGTGAAAATGGACGCTCGGCTTGAATTTGACGCGGTTTCGACGACCGGTTTGCGTCGGGGCGCGTGCGCAATCCCGGACTTGAAAGCGAAAGGGCCGAAGGGGGTGCAGCTACACTAATAAAAACCCGCAGCGGATCGAGGCTGTCGCCACGGCGGGCACCGCCTCGGGCACCATGACCGTCGATGGTAAAAAGGGGCAAGTTTACGGTGCGGGGTCCCCGTCAGTCTCATTGGAACTGCATAACCGAAAGGCGGCGAGGGGGAGGGGGGTCGCGAGGTGGCGGCAAGCCGCGGCAAGCGGGGCAGCAGAGGGTTGCCCCATTTTTTGAGAGTCACGCTGCGGGTCGCAACTGCACGCAATGCTCCCCCCACCCCACCGCGCGGCCCCCCACCACCCCCACCCCTGCCAACTCCGAGACGTTTGTTTGTTGTTGTTCCGTGTTCCTTCACCCCTCGCGACCCCACCCCTTTCCCATTTTCCGCGCCCTGCCGGTGTACAATACGGACGACGGGGGTGACAATGAGGTTGGTACCATTTTGAAACCGTGTCTTGTGTTTGTTTTAATTGCGTGTTGTTGTTGTTGTTGGCAGGGAGAGGGACAGACTGCGCTGCACATCGCCTCGGCGGAGGGCGACGAGACCCTCGTCAAATACTTCTACGGCGTGCGGGCGAGCGCCTCCATCGCCGACCACCAAGGTACAGCGAATCCAGTAATGAGTGATGGACCCTTGCGCAGTGGGCCAGAAGACCAGTGGAGGGGGACCTACAGTGACCTATACTGTAGACGCGTTTCGAGCTCCGGAGTCACTAAATGGGACACGAACCGAGCGTGTGACCCCACCAATGGAATCCTCGTTCGGAGAGCAATCCATTGGTGGGGTCACACATTCGATTTGAGTCTTTCTTAGCGACTCTGGAGCTCAAACCGCGTCTAGAATTTTGGCCGCCTTCACCGGTCCTCTGGCCCACTGTGCCATTTTACATTTCTCGACATTTCTACATTGTTCTGTCGGCCTAGACCGCACGCCGATGCACCTGGCGGCGGAGAACGGGCACGCCAACATCATCGAGCTGCTGGCGGACAAGTTCCGCGCCTCCATCTTCGAGCGCACCAAGGACGGCTCCACGCTGATGCACATCGCTTCGCTCAACGGCCACGCCGAGTGCGCCATGATGCTGTTCAAGAAGGGCGTGTACCTGCACATGCCCAACAAGGTGGGCGTCTCGTACACTGCCAACGCTGCATTGTGGCCCAGCACACACACAGTGGGCCAGAAGGCCGGTGGAGGCCGTCAGACGATCGGTTCGCGTCTCATTTATCGGCTCTGGAAGCTCAAAATGCGTTTAGAATTTTGGCCGCCTCCACCGGTCTTCTGGCCTACTGTGCAGCACTGAGGTTTGAACGTGTCTGTGGTTCCTTCCGCAGGGCGGCGCGCGCAGCATCCACACCGCGGCGCGGTACGGCCACGTCGGCATCATCAACACCCTGCTGCAGAAGGGCGAGAGGGTGGACGTCACCACCAACGTACGTGCGCAGTGTCATTTCCATTTGCCGAGTGTCGTGAGAGCGCTCGAGGGCGAGAGTGACTCCTACCCTGGCCCCCTACCCTTGCCAAGTAGCCGCCGGACTGACAGACTGCTCTGTTCCAGGACAACTACACTGCCCTACACATCGCCGTGGAGTCGGCCAAGCCCACCGTCGTAGAGACGCTGCTGGGCTACGGCGCGGAGGTGCACGTCAGAGGTACGCCACGACGACGCGCACCTGAGCCCCAACAGCAGGCGATCGCAATGTGAATGTGCGGCCAGCTGCTCGTCGCGAATCCGAATCTGAATTTGAAAATGGGTCCGCAGGCGGCAAGCTGCGCGAGACGCCGCTGCACATCGCGGCCCGGGTCCCCGACGGCGACCGCTGCGCGCTCATGCTGCTCAAGTCAGGCGCCGGGCCCAACCTGTCCACGGACGACGGCCGCACCCCCGTGCACGTGGCGGCGCAGCACGGCAACCTGCAGACGCTGCTGCTGCTGCTGGAGGACGGCGGCGACCCGCTGCTCAAGGCCAAGGCAAGGCCCGCACAGTGGACCAGAAGATCGGTGGAGGCGGCCCAAACTCTCGACGCGATTTGAGCTCCAGAGCCGCTAAACGGGACTCGAACCGAGTGGGTGACCCCCACCAATAGAATCCTCGTTCGGAGAGCAATCCATTGGTGGGGTCACACGTTCGATTTGAGTCTTTCTTAGCGACTCTGGAGCTCAAAACGCGTCTAGAATTTTAGCCGCCTCCACCGGTCTTGGCCCACGGTGCAGCGGCGATACTCCGCGCGAGGGAGACTCGCCGCCGCGGCGTGGAGTATTGACACGCCGTGCCTCGCCGTGCTGCAGAGCGGGGAGACGCCGCTGCACCTGGCGTGCCGGGGCTGCCGCGCCGACGTGGTCCGGAACCTGATCGGCTTCGTGAAGGCGCGCCAGGGCGACGAGGCCGCCGTGCGCTACGTGAACGCCGTCAACGAGGACGGCGCCTCGGCGCTCCACTTCGCCGCGCAGATCACCAAGAGCGAGGTGGAGCACCCGCTGGAGGACAAGCAGGTCATCAAGCTGCTGCTGGAGGCCGGCGCCGACGTGTACCTGCAGGCTAGCCAGGTGAGGACCCTCGACGCGCAGGGGTGCACGTCGAAAAGGGCTACTTTCTCTTGCCACTGGCGTCCTGACCACTCCCCCCTCCGCAGACCCTGGAGACGGCCTTCCACTACTGCGCGCTGGCCGGCAACAACGACGTCCTGGCCGAGATGATCTCCCACATGTCGCCGTCCGAGGTGCAGAAGGCCCTGAACGCGCAGACGGCCGTGGGCTGGACGCCGCTGCTCATCGCCTGCCACAAGGGCCACATGGAGCTGGTACGTGGAGGGGCCTGGGTTCGAATCCCGCTGCCGGCGCTTTGTCGTTCTCACCGCGGCGATCCTTGCAGGTGAACACGCTGCTCAACAACCACGCGAGGGTGGACGTCTTCGACACGGAGGGCCGCACCGCGCTCCACCTGGCCGCCAACCAGGGCTACCTCAACGTGTGCGACGCGCTGCTCACCAACAAGGCCTTCATCAACAGCAAGTCGCGCGTGGGCCGCACGGCGCTCCACCTGGCCGCCATGAAGGGCTTCACGCACCTGTGCCGCTTCCTCATCCAGGACCACAACGCCATGATCGACGTGCTCACCCTCAAGAAGCAGACCCCGCTCCACCTGGCCGCCGCGGAGGGCCAGCTCGCCGTGTGCAAGCTGCTGCTCGAGCTGGGCGCCTCCATCGACGCCACGGACGACATGGTAAAGTATTTCGCAGAGGACCGCACAGTGCGCCAGAGGACCGGTGGAGGCGGCCAAAACTGTAGACGCGTTTTGAGCTCCAGAGCCGCTAAATGTGACTCAAACCGAACGTGGCCGCCTCCGCCGGCCTTCTGGCCCACTGTGGACCGTGCCTGGGACTCCATGGCAACGAAAGACCTTCCTCGTCGAGATTTTCCCTGCGATTTCGAATGTCCAATCTGACGGCTGTTGGTTGTCTTGTCTTCCACTCGCAGGGCCAGAAGCCAGTACACGTGGCGGCGCAGAACAACTACCCCGAGGTGGCGCAGCTGTTCCTGCAGCAGCACCCGTCCCTCGTGATGGCCAGCACCAAGGACGGCAACACGTGCGCGCACATCGCCGCCATCCAGGGCTCGGTGCGCGTCATCGAGGAGCTCATGAAGTTCGACCGCGCGGGGGTCATCTCGGCCAGGAACAGGGTGACGGAGGCCACGCCGCTGCAGCTGGCGGCGGAGGGCGGCCACGCCGACGTCGTGAAGGTGCTGGTGCGCGCGGGGGCGTCGTGCACGGACGAGAACAAGGCCGGGCTCACGGCGGTCCACCTCGCCGCGCAGAACGGGCACGGCCACGTCCTGGAGGTGATGCGCTCCACGCAGTCGCTGCGCATCTCCAGCAAGAAGCTCGGCGTCACGGCGCTGCACGTGGCCGCGTACTTCGGCCAGGCCGACACGGTGCGCGAGCTGCTCACGCACGTCCCCGCCACCGTCAAGTCCGACGCGCCCAACGGCGGCGGGCTGGTCGGCGAGCTGGGCTCCGAGTCCGGCATGACGCCGCTGCACCTGGCAGCCTACTCCGGCAACGAGAACGTCGTGCGCCTGCTGCTCAACTCGGCCGGTGTGCACGTCGAGGCCATCACCAACGAGAACGTGAGCATGGCGGCAGGGGGCGACTGCACAGTGGGCCAGAAGGCCAGTGGAGGCGGCCAAAGTTGTAGACGCGTTTTGAACTCCGGAGTCGCTATAAACAGGACTCGAACCGAACGTGTCACCCCACCAATGGATTGTTCGTCGAACGAGGATTCCATTGGTGGGGTTACCGCTCGTTTCGAGTCCCATTCAGCGGCTCTGGATCTCAAAACGCGTCTAAAACTTTGACCAGCTCCGCCGGTCTCCTGGCCCACTGTGGACTGGGGTGCGTGTCGAACACCGCCACTTACACTGTGTCCCCACAGGGCTACAACCCGCTGCACTTGGCGTGCTTCGGCGGCCACATCACGGTGGTGGGGCTGCTGCTGTCCAGGGCGGCCGACCTGCTGCAGAGCGCGGACCGGCACGGCAAGACGGGGCTGCACATCGCCGCCACGCACGGCCACTACCAGATGGTGGAGGTGCTGCTGGGCCAGGGCGCCGAGATCAACGCCACGGACAAGGTGGGCGGTGCCTTACTGCACTGTAAACGTCTCACGGTGGGAGTGCGTCTTGACAAGCGATTGCAACCGCGTTACATTGCTGTGCTCAGAACGGGTGGACGCCTCTGCACTGCGCGTCGCGGGCCGGCTGCTTCGAGGTGGTGCGGCTCCTGGTGGAGTCGGGGGCGCACCCCAAGGCCGAGACCACGCTGGGGTCGTCGCCGATCTGGTTCGCCGCGTCCGAGGGCCACAACGACGTGCTGGAGTACCTCATGACCAAGGACCACGACACCTACAGCCTCATGGAGGACCGGAGGGTGAGGGCGCCGAGGATGCTGGCGGTTTCTGTTGCGGCGGTCACAGTGGGCCAGATGCCCGGCGCAGGCGGCCAAAACCCTAGACGCGATTTGAGCTCCAAAGTGGGACTCGAACCGAGCGCGTGACTCCATCACTGGATTGCTCTCCGAACGAGGAATCCGTTGGCGGGGTCACACGTTTGGTTTGAGTCCCATTTAGTGACTCTGCAGCTCGAAACCCGTCCGGGATTTTGACCGCCTCCACCGGTCTTCTGACCCATACGGTGGAGGGCGGCCGGACTCACACTGTTGACGCGGTTCCAGTTCGTGTACAACCTCATGGTGTGCGGCAAGAACCACAACAACCGGCCCATCGAGGAGTTCGTCCTGGTGTCGCCGGCGCCGGTCGACACGGCCGCCAAGCTGTCCGCCATCTTCGTCAACCTGTCCACCAAGGTGCGTCCGTCCTTGTCACTCCCACTGAAGGCCCTTTGTCAGCCCATGAGAGCGAGAGAAAGAGGGAGAGGTGCAAACAAAGGCCTTGTTAGTTTGTGTTTTTCAAAGTGGTTGGTTTGGCCATTGAGGCTTTCAATGGTTGATTTTCCCATTCGGGGAAATTGAAGCTCAGGTTAGGTTCGGTGAGGTTATGCGTGCCCCGAGGCGGTCTGTCCTGATTGGCTGGGCCCCCTTGCAGGAGAAGGAGCGCGCCAAGGACCTGATCGCGGCCGGCAAGCTGTGCGAGATGATGGCCACGGAGCTGCTGGCGCTGGCGGCGGGCGCGGACTCGGCGGGCAGGATCCTCACGGCCACGGACCGCCGGGGCACCGAGTTCCTGGACGTGCTCATCGAGAACGAGCAGAAGGAGGTCATCGCACACACCGTGGTGCAGAGGTACCTACAGGCAAGTGCGGCACACTGTAGCGCGTTTTCGAAATGTGTAGCATTCGTCATAACGGCGTATTTAACGTGGGATTCCCCATAAAGATACGTTGGTCTGTCAGATGATCACTCGAATGTCCCAGTGTTGTGTGCGCGGAATGCAGGCGTCTCGCTAAGTTTCTCATACCCGCGTCTCCCGCAGGAACTCTGGCAAGGCTCCCTGAAGTGGGCGACGTGGCGGACCATGCTCCTGTTCATCTCCTTCATCATGTGCCCGCCGGTGTGGGTGGTGTTCACGCTGCCGCTCGGCCACAAGTACAACAAGGTGCCCATCATCAAGTTCATGTCGTACCTCACCTCCCACGTGTACCTGATGCTGCTGCTCATGCTGGTGGGCATCACGCCCATCTACCCCATCATGCGGCGCACCCTCATGCCCTACTGGTCAGTGCTCTGCCGTGGGTGGCCATAATCCTAGACGCGTTTCGACCTCCAGAATCGCTAAACAGGGCTCGAACCGAACGTGTGACCCCACCAATGGACAGCTCTCCGAACGAGGAACCCATTGGTGGGGTCACACGTTCGATTCAAGTCCCATTTGGCGACTGTGGGGCTCACAACGCGGCCCACTGAGGGCCACCACCTATCATGATCAAACTATGGAGGGGGTAAGCCCTGGCGCCCTCTCTCACCTGGCCCACCCTCCAGGTACGAGTGGGCGCTGCTGGTGTGGCTGTCGGGGCTGCTGCTGCTGGAGCTGGAGCAGCCCAGCGACAAGAGCGGCCTGGGCTGGATCAAATTCGCCGTGCTGCTGTTCGGCATGGTGGGCGTCGGCGTGCACGTGCTGGGCATGGCGGCCATCGACCAGCTGTACTGGCCCACGCTCATGTACGTGCGCAACCAGATGTTCGCCCTGTCCTTCCTGCTGGCCTGCGTGCAGATCCTCGACTTCCTCTCCTTCCACCACCTGTTCGGGCCCTGGGCCATCATCATCGGTGACCTCATCCAGGTGGGCCTGCACCCACCACCCCACAGTGGGCCAGAAGACGGCCAAAACTCTACACGCGTTTTGAGCCCCAGAGTCGTTAGACAGGACTCGAACCGGTCGTGTAACCCCCACCAATGGATTCCTCGTTCGAAGAGCAATCCATTGGTGGGGTCACACGTTCTGTTCGAGTCCCATTTAGCGACTCAAGAGTTCAAAGCGCGTCTCGAATTTTGGCCACCTCCACCGGTGTTCTGGCACACTGTGCACCACACGCACGGTGTCCGGGAGGAAATCTGCCGTTTTGTTTATCTCTCTCTAACTCGACGTGTCTTGGCGCGCAGGACTTGTCCCGGTTCCTCGCCGTGCTCGCCATCTTCGTGTTCGGCTTCTCCATGCAGATCGTGGCGCTGAACCAGCCCATCAAGATCCTCAACAACCAGAAGGCGCTCAACGACTACTTCAGAGTGCTGCGCAACCACAAGCCGTTCGACGAAGGTAAGGCCGCCTCCAGTCGGGGAGTGGATCCGTGTCTCCAATTGTGTTGCCAAGATCAGTCAAAAGTCCTGGAATATTTTCGGGCTGCTGTCTTGAGCCTGGACTTAATCAACGTGAAGCGAAGTCAAGAAAAGCAGCTCCCGTGGTACAAAGTATAGAACACGTACCGAACAAGTACAAGTACAAGACACATTCGAACCATAATAGAAACAAGATTTCGTTACCTTAAAATATACTTAACTTTATCGCTGGTCTATTTGCAGTAAATAGAACAAAAAATTAGAAGATGTAAAACAGAAAACATTTTTGCAAAGCTCTGTTAAGAAAGGGTAAAAGTGGACGTGGACCGAGGCGAGCGCCTGTGGGGTAGGCGGTCCCGTTAAACAGCGCTGTGCGCCGGGTTGCCTACCCGGCGGTTCGCGGGCGCTAGGGTCCCGCCGGCTCGGTTCCCCTTCGGGCAACGATACGGCTTCAGGTCCGGGTAAATGTCGCCCAGTGGAGTGAGTCCCTGCATTCCGCCGTGAGCCACGCACCTTTATACGTCCTAGAACCTCCCCGACTCGGATCCAGGACGCCTGCGCGGTGGCGGTCCAGTCAGACACCGGTGCACCGCGAACTGCCTACCCTGCCTTCGTTGGGCGCCTCGCCTCGAACCGCGCACAGTGGGCCAGACGACCGCCGGAGGCGGCCAAAACTCTAGACGCGTTTTGAGCTCCAGAGTCGCTTAACTGGAGTCGAACCGAAAGTGACCCTACCAATGGATTCCTCGTTCGGAGTGCAATCCACTGGTGGTTTCACACGTTCGGTTCTAGTCCTGTTTAGCGACTCTGGAGCTCAAAACGCATCTAGAGTTTTGGCGGCCTCCACCGGTCTTCTGGCCGACTGTGCCGCGCTGCTCTCCACTGTAAAAAAATGACCCTAATTTTGTGTAATTTCTTAGTTATGTCTTTTCGACTGTAGAATGGCGTGTCTTGACTAAAAGTTAGCCGACACGGCTGAGGTTGTCCTTTCATGGTTTTATGCGAGACCCTTGGCGATTCCCAGCGTGCGTCGACAGGGTCCTCCGAATGAAAAAGTGTTTCTAACTGTGCCTCTGCATACACGCAGTTAAAATTAGCCCGCTGGTGGCGTTCGAGCTGCTGTTCTTTGCCGTGTTCGGTCAGACGACCACGGAGGAGCTCCAGAAAAACGCCTCGGAGCAGCCACCCTGGGTGCTCGTCATCTTCAAGATTTTCTTTGGCATCTACATGTTGCTCTCGGTGGTCGTGCTCATCAACTTGCTCATCGCCATGATGAGCGACACGTACCAGAGGATCCAGGTATTGCACCGACCCACGCGGAGTGGCCGGGGCAGGGAGAGGCGTCCGCTTGTTTTTGTTTTTTGTTTTTGTTTCGACCGCCGGACCGTAACGACGCCGCTCCTTGCACCCCGTCCGCTCGGCGTGGCCCCTTTTCTACTCCTTTCCAATCATGTTGGTGTTTGTTCTTCCAGTCAGGATGAGCCCCTTGAAGGCGTTCGAGCTCCTGTTTTTCGCCGTTTTCGGTCAGACCACCCCCGATGCGATTAACGAAAAGAAAGATCAGCCGGCATGGACTCTGACTCTCTACAAACTCGTTAGTGGCATCTACATGCTTCTGTCCGTGGTGGTCCTCATCAACTTGCTCATTGCCATGATGAGTGATACCTATCAGAGAATCCAGGTACCAGACGAGTACCAAGTTGTAGTCTTGAGGGCTTTGGAATGACCCACTCACCCCCGTAGTACTGCCCCCACCTTCACCGACAGGGCACCGACAGGGTTGTACGTAGGAGTTGAGTTGCTGCTGCTGTTGTTGTTGTTGTTTACTGTGTAGATGTTGGTGTATTTTGGTAAAGTAATGATGCCTCCCTCGTGTGTAGTACACACCATGTACACACCGTGTACATTGTGGGCAATGTATTTAGAGGCCGTTCCTTCTGCCCTCCCAGAGGATTGTCCAGGAATTGTCGAGAAACATTTTTTTTCTTTTTTTTTTCATTTCTTCGCCCTGTGTGGGTCGTGGTCAATCTTAACCCAATCTCGTGACATTCTTGGACGCTCCCTAACGAGACTTAGGGGGCAGCCCATGGCGGCCCTGTAGCTGTAGTTGCAGCTCTCCTGGATCCATTCAAAAAGTAGCCGCGAAACATTCTTCAAATCATTGGCGTCATGACAGCTAACCGATTCCATTGTCTCACGTTGTTTCATTCCCCTCATTTGAACCGATCTTGCAGCTCAGCCTGTGTTGTTGTTGTTGTTTGTTGTTGTTGTGATTGTTGTTGTAGATGTGGAGCAGTCTACAGTCTGTAGTAGTAATTTAGATGAGTGTACACACTACACCACTGTACATCCACCCACTGGACGTGGTCGTGTGCGGGCGGATCTCGATGGGTCTTCCTTCTTTCAATCGCTGCAGGTGCCTCACTAAACGCCCCAAAAAAGTAACGCTCGCGTTAAAACCCCTAACAAAAAATATCTGTAAACTTTATTTTCTTGTGTTTTGCTTTGGTTAATCTGGACGACTTCTCCACTGCTCAGAGTAGTGCAGGGGTACAGGCTTTGGCTTAGCAGAGCGGACACCCAGCGTCAGCGTTAGATTTTATTAGTTTATAAAACGCCCCCCCCCCCATCTCCCCCTCGGGATGCAATCAAGGCCACACTATAGCAGCCCCACCTAATTGACTGAGTCAGGCAGAGGGAAGCGGAGTAAAGTTTAACGCCGGGAAGAAGAAGATTAAAAGGAGGAGATCTTTGCCGCGAAAAGGCCGACGGGGCCAGCCGATTAGATACAGAGTAGTTACTCTTAATGTTGTGATAACACAGACCGCCGTGTACACGATTATGCTCTCTAGTGTTCCTTGACGCCCGAGAATCTCTATACCCCCACTTTTTTGCTAAAGAACGTGTCCAACATCGCTGCTCCAAAAAAAGGGAAAAAAAGAACGAGCCCCGATACATACTTGCAAAAGAGACTTGGTTGTGGAAATGAGTTGATAAGAGAGACTCGGTTGTGGCGAGGTGGTCGAGAAGTATTCAGTCATTGAATGATTCCTATCTGAGTCTTCCTCGAAAGCCTCACTACGACAGAGAATTTTCTGAACTTCTCTCTACAACTGAAACGCTTTTTCATCCAGATATCGTGCCCTAGAAAATGCTGGTGCCTATAAAAGTTTCCCCTTATTTTATTGTTGTTTTTTGTGACGCCCCCGATGTTATCTAGACACTAAAGTTCTGTCTGTCTTACATTATGATGCGGTAAATGGTTCAGTCAAAGGATACAGTCCTCAGAAATTCTCTCATTTTCATCGGTAAAATCACTAAAATTAAGAAGGAGACCCACGGATCGAACCTCTGACACCACCACTCTGTGTAGAGGTCTGTGTGAGCCAGAGCACCACTTCGTTTCTTTTCTTTTTGTAGACAATCTCGGTGATCTGGTGTTTGAACCAGGGCTCTTGCTCTAAATTGGTGTGAAGCTCGCGGCGCACACGGACCCGCCAGGCATCCTGCCTGAGGCATGGCACTGCACTGCGAATGCCACGTGCATGTCTAGCTCACAGTGGTGGCAGCAAAGTCTTGGCGCCAAATTGGGGCGACGATGTTGTTGACGCGAATCGAGGAGTCAGGATTTCGGATTATTTCGATTCCTTCGCGTGGTCGAGTTTAATCGAGACCATCGATGCGCTGATCTATCTTATAACCAGTTTCCAGTTTCGTTGGGCGTTGGAAATCTTGTGCCCTGCGACTTGTCAAAATTTTGCCTCGTTGACCACACGTTTTTCTCTTCACCCGAGCCTTGTGTCTTGTGAGTGTTTGCCTGTCACCCACAAGTCAGTTTGTTCTCGTGCCACGCTGGTCGAGCGGCTGAGAGACTCTGCATTTGTTTTGTTTCTCGAGTCTGTTCGCCCGGCATCAGCACGTCGCTTTTACTTCTGAATGACTCTTGCATGGTAAAAGGCCACTCAGAGAGCATAATACGTTGTCGGTCTAGTGAGTAGGACTAGTCTTAGTTGTCGAAAGTCTAGAAAGCCAAACTGTGTGAATGATACTGTGACGGGAAACCGAACGAGGGGAGGGATCCGGGGCTGTGGGGTGAGGGCTCTCAAGAGGCAGGGACTGGCGATACCCCGCGCTCTGACGGACCTCACTCACCCCGCGCGAGGTGTAGCCCCACTCCGGCCGGTCGATGGGTGTAAGTACAATGAAGCGTCAAATGGGCCGGCCCGGCCAGGCCCGCCAGGCCCGCCTTCCTCTGGCCTTTGGCCGCCTGACTTGTGATTTTCGCGCGCATCATTGCGGGACGTAAACTTACTTTGTTGCGGGCTGCTTCCACGCCGGCTCAGTTATTTGTTTGAGTCCACGGTCTTTGTGCGTTCGCGAGTCCGTGTGTGAGTGTCTGTCTGTCTGTCTGTCCTTTTGTCTCTCTTCTTTTCTGCCTACGTGTCTGTCTGTTTACTCTGAAGTGCACTTTCCTCAGAGCGTACTTTTGGAACAGCACGATAGTCAGAGTGCGTTCATCAAATACGCTCTGAGCAAAGTGTATCTCCTGTAGTGTGAGTGTTTGCCTGTTTCGAGTGTGTGTGTGGTTTTGTTTTTGTCTTTTTCGCGCGCCTTCCCTCTTTTTGTCCGTCTGTGCGCTTATTCTGGTTTTTGAGGGTGGGTGGGTTGGGAACATGCGTGCGTGTGTTGGTGCGTGTAATTGCCACTGCAATGTCTGGTTCGAAGGCAATAAATCCCGGCTGAGGGCGGGGCTGCATTTGAGGGCGAAGAAGAAGGAGCAGTGGAGAGAGAGGGGGGGGGCTGGGAGAGAGTCGAGCGGACAGTGTGACAGTGTGCGTGTGCTCTGCAGGCCCAATCCGACATCGAGTGGAAGTACGGGCTGGCCAAGCTGATCCGCAACATGCACCGCACCACGACCACGCCGTCGCCGCTCAACCTGGTGACGTCATGGCTGGTCTACCTCATCCGGGCCTGCAAGCAGAGGAGTAAGCGTCCGTCTGGCCCCCTGGACGGCGCACTGTAGGCCAGAAGACCGGCGCAGGCGGCCAAAACTCTGGACGCGTTTTAGGCCCCAGAGTCGCTAAACAGGACTCGAACCTAACATGTGATCCCACCAATGGATTCCTCGTTCCGAGAGCAATCTATTGGTGGGGTCACATGTTTGGTGCGAGTCCCATTTAGCGACTCTGGAGCCCAAAACGCGGCCGGGACTTTGACCGCCTCCAGCGGCTTTCTGGCCCGCTGTGCCACTGTGGAGTCAGGGGGTCGCTCACGGCCTGCTTGCTTACAGTGATGCAGAAGAAGAGGCCCAGCCTGGTGCAGCTCATGGGCATGCAGTCGCGGTCGCGAGTCAGCGCGCGCACCAAGATGGGCGCCAAGTGGCTGCAGAAGGTCAAGAAGGGGCAGGTCGCGCCCAAAGGTCAGTAGCCAATCAATCGGCGCGGCGCCTCGATCATGATGTCGAGGCCGATATCGTCGAGATATCGAACGGGGTTATTTTATTTGCCGAAGCCTCGGCCGAAGCGGATTGACTGTCAAGGGCGATACGTCTTGGTCGCCACATCACGATATCACCCATTCGATATCATGCGATATCCCTTGACATCATACGACTTCTTGATTTTTTTTTTTCGATATCATTTGATCGAAAAGCAGTACCTGGGTTTCCCGGCCCCACTCTGAATGGGTCTTTTTACCGGTAGCCATACCTAGAAATCCCAGGTGCTGCTTTCGCCTTGAAGGACAGTAGTTCCAATCGTTCGTGAAAGCAAGCGTTTCGTGGACGGCGGGAGTTGAATCCCATTCCATGAAGCAACTTTCATTAATCGATTGGTCGTCGCTCGGCCTCGTTTCCACATGCGTGCGTGCGTGCCGCCTCGCTTTGCATAACGCACGGCCGGGCGGCCCACAGTGGGCCAGAAGACCGGTGGAGGCGGTCAAAATCCCGGACGCGCTTTGAGCTCCTGAGTCGCTAAATGGGACTCGAACGGAACGTGTGACCCCACCATTGGATTGCTCTCCGAACGAGGAATCCATTGGTGCGGTCACACGTTCGATTCAAGTCGTGTTTAGCGACTCTGGAGCTCAAAGCGTGTCCGGAGTTTTGGCCGCCTCCGCCGGTCCTCTGGCCCACTGCGCGGCCGAGGCACGCGGATGGCCCATACGGCCCAAACGGCCGACGCGATGTAAAATGCATGTCTCTGCCGGCAGACTCGATGACGCTGAGCGTGGTGCGGCTGTCGCCGCTGGGCTCGCAGCTGTCCTTCAGCCACAGCCTGGCGCGCATCGAGTCCATCACGGACTGGGAGGCCATCGCCAGGAAGTACCGCGCCCTCATGGGCGAGCTGGACGACCACGGCGGCCGCTCCGAGACCGCCGAGCCGTCCACCCCCGCGGCCCCCACCACCCCCGGCGCCAACGCGGCCCCGCAAGGGACGGCCGGGTCGCCGAGTTGAAGGGCGCGTCAAGGCCGAGGCCTGCACGGAGGCCTGCACGGAGGCCTGCACGGAGGCCTGCACGGAGGAGAGGCAGCCTCAGCGTTAAGCCCGGAGTGACTGGTGGTTCCGTGTTGCTCCGAGCATAACGCGACGCAGCCGACCCTGACTCCGACCCCGCCCACGCCGTCCGCGCACGCCAGCGTGCCGGCAATCACCGACGGGGAGCTCCGGTGGATCAAAGCTCCACGCAGGACGCGGGGTCGGGTTGGCCGGTCGGGTCGGAGTCGGTGCGGCTCGGGTGCGCCGCCATCCAGCGACACTCGCTCCACTCGCCTCCGTCGGCCGATCGCCGGCATTCGAGAGTCTCGAAGCTCGAGTCGAATCGAGGCAGTTCGGGGGACCAAGTTGGCAAGGTGCGCGAAGACGCCAAGACGCCTCGTTTCTCGATTAGTTTTGTGCCAATGCTACCAGGCGCATCAGATACGGACGATGTTGGGAAGACTGGCTGTTTCGCCTGTTTCTCTTTAGCCTGTTAATGGAAAAAAAATATGGTTTAGTTAATATTGGGGTTCTGGTGATGATTGCGTGTATTTGCAGATTTACTTTTTTCATAACGCTTTTCTATTGACCATTTAAATCGTATTGTGGATGTCGTGTTCATGCGGTCCATTTCTTACTTGTCTTGTGACATTTCTTATATAAGTGTATATATTTATTTACTAAACGGAAACGACAGATTAGCCAATAGTCTATAATAAATGGTAGCAAAATTTCTATTATTGTATACGGATGAATTTTCAACTGATGTTTTGGGCTCACACATTATATACTATATTTCTATTGTACTGTAAACCGAAATTATATTAATCTGCTAAATTGTATCAGCTCGTTGTCAGTTCTTCAGATTTCCAACCCTTGACCTCCCCCCCCCCCCCCCACACACACACCGGAAATTCCAGTGAGAGAAGCGGCTTTGCCCTGTGCCCGTCCGTCTCTCTCTGAGGCACTTTGGCAAAATGATGGGATGTTTGCGCACCCCCGTAGGAGAGAGACATGGCCAGTAATTTAACTTGAGAGTACGCGGAGGGAACGGGAAGAGAGTGAGAGGGCACAACACGCATATCCCCCGACTCGACACAAAACCGTTTGGTCGGCTATTTTTGCTCTGGCCAGTTGAGGTATAAACTTGAAAGGCGGCGAGGCGTGGCTGCGTGGCCGCTGGGCTGTTTCTTGCCTCGTTCCATCCCGCTCTATTTAAGTTGGCATCCACATAGCGCGACGATGCGGCGACGCCGCGACGCTTCCCCCTCTCTCTCTCCCACACTCGGTCTCTTTCTCTCACTAACACACTGAAACCGCGTGCACGTCCATCTATTCGCCACTTTATTGCGTTGCCGATTGTCAGTCCTTGCTTCTGTACCCTTCTCCATTCTCCTCCCTCTCCCCCCCCCCTTCTCTCCCTCTCACTCCCCCCCACCCCCCTCACGCGCTTTGGCCGACTTGCGGCGGGAACAAAACATTGGCCTGCGTCTGCGAAAACAGAGTGACCGAGCCAAGAAGGCCGGCGCCATCTGTCTCCGTTGCTCCCGCACCACGCGACCCTCTATTTCGAGACGGAGTGACTGGCGGACAGCCGGGCAGGCAGACGGACCGGCGGACAGACGGAGCTGGCAGTCAGACGGCGCCTACCTGTTGGCCGGCGTCGCGCCGTGCCGGCCGTGCCCGCCACGCACGTGTGTCGCCGGGCTGCCTAGCCGCCGGGCGCGCTGCTCGGCGCGCTGCGACACCAACCGGCACAGCGCTCCGCTCGTCTCTCCTCGCCCCGCGACGGCGCGAGAGAGACAGAGCGCTACTCGGAACCAGCCCGCAGCCGCCGAGGGCGCCTCACGCGCATAAAAAGCGCCCAAGGACAGTGGCGTAGCGGGGAGGGGCGGGGAGGGGCGGGGACTCGGACGTGCTGGGACGTCCACAGGGTGGTGGCGAGTCCCCGGGCACTGCGCTGCACCCGGGACGGCCTACCCTAGCCAGACACCCACGTCACAGTGGGTCAGAAGACCGGTGGAGGGAGTCAAAACCCCGGACGCGTTTTGAGCTCTCTCTAGAATCGCTGAATGGGACTCGAACCGAACGTGTGACCCCACCAATGGATTTCTCTCTAAACGAGGAATCCATTGATGGGGTCACACGTTTGATTCGAGTCCCATTTAGCGACTCAGGAGCTCAAGACGCGTCTAGACTTTCGGCCGCCTCCACCGGTCTTCTGGCTAATCCACTGTGCATCGGAGCGTCCAGCAACACGCCGGACGAGCGGTGCGCACGCGGTCATGCTAATCTCTTCGGCATACGGCCGTTTTACGAGCGAGTCGCGCGCCATTTTCCGGGGAGGAAACCGCCTCGGTAATCTCCGGACAGGGAGAGAGAGAGAGAGAGAGAGAGAGAGAGAGAGAGAGAGAGAGAGAGAGAGAGAGAGAGAGAGAGAGAGAGATAAATAACCGAAGCCGTATAACCAGGGCTCCGCCCGCCCTGCCGGAGTACTTACTCATTCTTTACGATGAGGCGGAGGTACACTGCAGGTATACACAGCGCACCTCGGGTACGCCCCGCGCGGCGCCGCGGCCATTCAGTCCATTCGGGAAATTAGACCAGCCGCCCTGTCGCTCGATCGATAGCTTTTTCCTCGCTCCATCGCATTTCGCGCCCCGCCCGTCACCCCCGCACTCTGTTCATCCGTTTATCTTGTTGCGGCCACACGTAACCGCGTTGTCCTTCCCTCCCTCCCCTCCCCTTCCCTTCGCGCTGATCCGCCTCCTCCGCACGCTGGACCGACGGCCGCCCCGTCGGCCGCCCGGAAGGGCGCGGGTTGTGCGCATAAACTTTCCCGAATTCCGCGCGTGTTTAGAGTGGAGGGGCGGGGGGGAGGTTTGCGTGCGGTGCGGGGAACCGCGATGAACGTTATGAAGCCGTCGTAGCGCACAGTGGGCCAGAAGACCGGTGGAGGCGGTCAAAATCTCGGACACGTTTTGAGCTCCAGAGTCGCTAAATGTGACTTGAACCGAGCGTGTGACCCCACCAATGGATTGCTCTCCGAACGAGGAATCCGTTGGTGGGGTCACGCTTTCTGTTCGAATCCTGTTCAGAGACTCTGGAGCTCAAAACGCGTCTAGAGTTTTGACCGCCTCCACCGGTCTTCTGGCCCACTGTGCACTGGGTGTGATCACCGGTCAGGGCAGAGTAACTCAGATCAACGAATGTCATCAACGCCCAGGGAATTCCGTCTAAAGAACCCATCACGCCGACACGGCCGACACAGAACACTTTTTCGGGTCGTGGACGTCGTTACTCAAACAGGAGCAGAGCATCCGCCCCTCCCCTGCGCTTTTTGTCAGAACGGCCCCGCCGCGCGCGCCGCGGTTGTGTTGTTGCGAGCGTATTTGTTGGTGCAACGCTGCGGGAAATGGTAAATGCGCCCGGCGTGGTGCAACCCCACGCTTTCAGGTAGTTGTCGAGCGCTGGCGCGGCTAGCGAACCGGTACAGGGCAAAAGGTGGCGACTTGGACGCCGGAGTCGCGGGATCGACTCCCGGTCGGGCTGTCGCGGCTCCGGGCATGGGGCAAGGCGCGGAGCGCGTAGCTTTTTTGGCCCGGCCTGCCGCGCGCGAGGTCGCGGGCTCACTCCCGGTCTAGGCTGTCGGGCTGTGCCTTTTGCCGCATCAGGGTCGGAGACATTTTGGACTGGTGTGGTCAACCACTTAACGCCCCCTGTCTGCCACCCAAACTGGCTCGACGGACCACCCCGTGGTGCGGTCTAGACCGTTTGGCAGTGTAAGTCGCTTAGGCAGATGCGGCCATGCGACCGGCTCGGCTCGGCTCGGCTCGGCGCCGCGCCTGGCCGTGGCTCGGCTTGGCGGCGCGGCTCCGCTCGTACCGGGTCGCTGCACTGGGCTGTGTCGGTCCCATCGCATGGCAAGGCATCGCGCTGCCGACCAGCCCCCCTTAGCCCCCTCCCCTCCCCCTCCTCGAGCGTCGCGGGGCCGGGAGGGGGTCGCGGGGGCCTCCGCGCTCCGCGCAGCAAGCCCCGGCCGGCCGCGCGGCCGCGCCGAGTCTCGGTTCGCCCGTTCGGTTGTTCGGTAGCGAGCAGTTGGTTGTGGGAACCTCGCCGTCGTCCGTCGTCCGCCCCGCCGTCCGCCCCGCCGGCCTGCACGGCCTCCTGGGCAGTGGAGCGACGCCTTAGCAGGACAGTGTCTCCGTTCAGCACTGCCAGGACTCTCGAGTCTTGGGGAGTCTCAGCGAGTGTCGCCAGGACAGTGTCTCTTCCGGGACAGTCCCAACCGGTGTCACCAGGACAGTGTCTCTTCCGGGACAGTTCTAACGAGTGTCAACAGGACAGTGTCTATTCCGGGACAGTCCTAACGAGTGTCACCAGGACAGTGTCTCATCAGGGACAATCCCTGCGAGTGTCACCGGGACAGTGTCTCTTCCGGGACAGTCCTAACCAGTGCTACTAGGACAGTGTCGCATCCGGTATCGCCTGGACAGTCCCGTTCAGAAGGTCTCGCCAGGAGTGGGTTCGTTCGGTTCGTTCGTCTGCTTTCCCGAACGTGTCCTGGCCGACCCTGCCTAGTCTGTTTCGGCCTCGAGTTGCATCAGTGTCTGCCGCCTACTGTATGCACACTGTATCCACACTGGACCGGCGCCGCAGTGTATCACTCGTGTGGGAGTGATTGAGTGAGTGAGTGTTCGAGATACAGTCCTCGTGCCGCAGACGGAAATAAGTGCTTTAATCCAGAAGAATCAAGAGGAGAGATCGAATCCGCCATCTTCATCGGGTCAGTACTAAAGCAAAGCAGTACACAAACTCGTTCAGACTCTAAGACACACGCATTCAAAAACATATTGTTGCATTTGTAATGCTGCTATGTAGTTTGTAGTTTTAACAGTGGTTTAGTGATGTTCTCTGGGTTGTCTCAAAGTCTTCCGGGAAGTACACACTTACCTTGCCTGTCACCGATAGGCGCAGATAGGCACACCCGCATCACCACCACACTGCTCTGTATCAATCAGACAGATTGCTGATCAGTTCATTTCCTTTTAATTAACAGCCGCTGTTTCGTACAATCACACGAAACGCAAGCGTAAATCAAACTCAATAATCAAAACGAAATAAACTACCAAAGTGAAATCATTCGTCTTTTTGTTTTCAGTCGTTTTCGATTCGTTTCCCCTTTTGCAGTGTATGTTCGTGCTTTGTTTGATGAGTATCGCGTCATCGGGACAAATAGGACCCATTGAAGCGCCAGTTTGTGAGACAGCATAATTGTTTCATTGAAGAACCACATCGTAACAATAACAGGACGCGGACCTTTCAGGGCCTTTCGGCCCAGCGATCCCCAATTGTTTCGCCGCTGTCTCTCTCGCACCCAAGCGGGACGCCCCATGTAAGTGCGACAGAGCGCACGGTGGGCCACTGCAGGCGGCCAAAATTTCACACGGGTTTTGAGCTCCAGAGTCGTTAAATGGGACTCGAACCGAACGTGTGACCCCACCAATGGATTGGTGGGAGCTCAAAACGCGTCTAGGATTTTCTGGTCTTCAGGTCTTCTGGCAAGTCCACTGCGGAGCGCGGCGAAACGATACTCTTCGGGATCGTTCAGCGGACCGTGTTCGCATCAGCCAGGCAGATGGCACGTAAATTCCAGCCCTCCCGGAACCTCAGAGCAGCCCAGCAGCCGTTCCGCGAGGCAAGACAGCGAATGGCACTGCAGTGTCTCTGGTCTCTAGTTCCTTCCCGCCGTCCCAATCCAAAGTATAAGTCCGCGTCGTAGAGGCCCCGGTGCCGCCCTGCCGCACAGTGGGTCAGGAGACCGGTGGAGGCGGCCAAAACTCTGGACGCGTTTCGAGCTCCAGAGTCGCGAAATGGGACTCGAACCGAACGTGTGACCCCCCGAATGGATTCCTCGTTCGGGGTGACCCCACCAATGGATTGCTCTCCAAACGAGGAATCCATTGGTGGAGTCGCACGTTCGGTTCGAACCCATTTAGCGAATCTGGAGCTCAAAACGCGTCTAGAGTTTTGGCCGCCTCCACCGGTCTTCTGGCCCACTGTGCGCACCCTACCGCCCGCTCGCAGCGTCGCATCCACTTGCCTAAGTCCATACCGTTTATTTACCTTCTCTGTGCTGTTTTATTTCGCTTCCAAGTTGGATCTCCGGGGCGGCCTAGCCGGGCCGGAAGTCCCGGCCGGAAGCCCGGCCGTATGGAAATGGGAGGGCAAACACTCCCCGGCCCTTCCCACTCCCCCAGGAGTGCCGCAGCCATCCCTTAAGCGCTTTTCAACCTCAGCCATCTTCTCCGTGTACTTGGCGATGATGCCTTTCCGTAACCTTTACACCCAAAGGGCCCAAAGGGAAAGATAGATCCTGATTTAACAGTTTTTTTCCGCGAGTTTTCCCGTGTGCCTATCGGGCTGCGTGGATTTGAACAGGAGTGGCAAGGTTGGCAAACACTGTGATGGCTGGTCGGATGCTGCGTTAGACAAACGGGGTTTGCTTGACCACATCACTGTCAAAAAAATGAAGTTCAATCGACTAAAATTTAGTGGATTTTTCTAAGAAATTTAGTCGTTTTTTCGGGCGACTAAGAATAAGTTGAATTAAGAAGAACACGCCAATCGAGCATGAGTGGACAGTAAAAAACGACCAAATATTAGTCGTTAGACAAACGGGGTTTACTTGACCACATCACAGCGATGCGCCGAAGCGTCCAAACTCGCCAGAATGACTTGTCATTCCCTCTGTGTAATGCCCCCGTGGAGGGCTAACCCGCAACACTGCGGCGTCTTGCCCTGGCCGGCCCTGGCCGCGTCGCTCTGTCTCTCTCGCACCCCTGCGCCATGCCTGCGCCATGCCTGCGCCATGCCTGCGCAGACCCGTGAGTGCGAGGGAGAGGGAGCGACTGTGCGGCCGCAGCGTGCTGAGACCGGCTGAGCCGCCCGGAGCACTAACGACGCAGTCGGACTGCGAAAACGGCAGCTGTCTCTCTCGCACTCACGTCGGGGTGCGAGAGAGACACGGGATCAGCCTCCTGACCGCCTTCGCAGCTCCTAGTCCACGCCGTGAAGGGCCCCGCCTAGCCCAGCCTAGACAGCGCAGAGGGTTGAGCCAAGTACATTGTGCCAAGCCCAGGCCCCCGCCACGCCCCGCCACGCCCCGCCACGCCCCGCCACGCCCCGCCCTCGTAAACCGAGCCAGACAACAGAAAGCGTCAGACGTAAACCGGCCCCACTACGCCACGGCGGCCACACTAGGCTGCACTACGCCACTGGCCGCGTCGTCCTTCCCGCGGATGACCAGCAGACTGAACCTGTCTCTCTCGCACCCACACGAGACGCCCCGTGAGTGCGAGAGAGACAGGCGCAGGGAATGACAGCGCAGCGAGACCGGAAAGGGGAGTCTAGACCGGAAGTGCACCGGGACGCCGGCCATCCCACCGCGTGGTTCCGAAACGCGTCGCGGCGCTGCACTCTCGGAAACAGTGGACTTGCTTCGGCTGAAACCCGGTCAGTTTGCTCAGTAAAGTCCTTCCGGCCGCATTTAAGTCGAACTTTTTTTACTCTCTCATTTAAAAACATAATACCCAAAAAGAGTTTCAATTATTTTTTCTTTGAGTGTGTGAATCCAAACAGTGCTTTCGCTGCTCTGTCTCTCTTGCACTCCCGTGGCGTTCCGTAGTAAAGCAAGGCGCTGTGCGGGGCGCTGCGGCATATGTCTCTCTCTCTCTCGCACCCCGCTCGGGAGGCGCCATGGGTGCGAGAGAGACGGACACAGTCGCGCGTGTTATTAATTAACGCAATGCGAAATGCTGAAACGCCTCGTCTCTTATTCACGCGAATCGAATGGCGCAGCAAGGCCGACCGGCCCTGCGCTCTGTCTCTCTCGCACTCCCAGGGGACACGCCCAAGCGCCCTGTGAGTGCGAGAGAGAGAGAGAGAGAGAGAGAGAGAGAGAGAGAGAGAGAGAGAGAGAGAGAGAAAGAGCGACCAGAGCACTGTCGGAATCTCGCTGCTGGGCCTTTGGGCGCTTTGGGCCTTCCGGGGCGTCGACCGCCGGTCGGGTTCATGATTAATTGCAGATGGGGAACCGCGGTCGGTGTGAAGCAGTGAAGCGTGAAGCGGTGAAGCGGCCGAAGTGGCGAGAAGCACACCGCGAAAAGGGGAAGGGTTGTTCGGAGGCGGGGTGGCTTTTCCGCATTTCCCGCTAGGCAACTGTTGCTGTACAGTGCCGTGGTTCCACCCCAGGCCTCTGGATCCGCCACTGAGAGGAGCACCTTAAAACCTTACGAAGTGGGACCTCTTTCTGCCAAGGATTGTCTCTGTCTCTCTCGCACCCCTGCGGCACGCCCTCGGGTGGGGGGTGCGAGAGAGGCGGGGCCACTCGGAGTGAGGCGGCTGAGACCGCGCAGGCCCGTCTCGGCCCGTCACAGTGGGCCAGAAGACCGGTGGAGGCGGCCGAAATTCCAGAGGCGTTTTGAGCTCCAGAGTCGCTGAACAGGACTCGAACCGAACGTACCCCACCAATGGATTGCTCTCCGAACGAGGAATCTATTGATGGGGTCACAAGTTCGGTTCGAGTCCTGTTTAGCGGCTCTGGAGCTCAAAACGCGTCCGGGGTTTCGGCCGCCTCCACCGGTCTTCTGGCCCACTGTCCCCCTCGGCCCCTTGGCGCGATTTGCCGTCGAGTCTCATCGAAGGCAGCAAGGCGTTGCCTTGGCGTTGCCGCGCTGCAGTCGGGGTGGGGGCGGGGAAGGGGAAGCATTACGGAAGACGGGCTGCCCGCTGCCCTGACAGGGATTCGGAGGGGGTGTCTTTGTTGTGCCCCAAGACGATAAGCCCCCCTCCCCCTTCCGACGGGGGCACCAGGCCACCACGCCCGAGAAAAGCCCTTGACGGGGGCAACTGGGGGCGCACCCCCGTCGGCCCGGCCGGCCCCGTCCCGGGTGGCGGGCTGGCGGGTGCGCCCAGGTTGACGGGGAGGGGCTAGGGGGCTAGGTGGGGGTGACGGGGGTCGTATTGGGGCAACAGGAGGCCGCCACGCCGCCACGCCGCAAAGCCCCGGAGGGTGTGAGCTGACAAGTGGGGCATTGGCGGTGCTGGTTGCTGGTGGTGTTGCAGCCGGGGGATCGGGCCATTGGGATGCCCTGATACCCTGTGGCGTGGCGGGGCGGGGCGGGGCGCGTCTGGACCCGTTAGTTCGCCTGGGTCTATTTGGCCCTGACGTACACGGCTTGGACGTGCCCGCCCTGCCGCCCTGCGGACCGCGGCGCTCTGTCTCACTCCCTCCCTCGCGTTTCCGTAAGGCAGTGCGAAAGAGACAGCGCAGCAACGGAATCGGGCTGCCGGCCCACCCCCGTGCGCGACTGAATCCGAGAGATGCTTTCTGTCTCTGTCGCACCTGAGCGCGACGCCCCAAAGAGTGCGAGAGACACAGAGGCCGGCCCTCGTCTTCGTCCAAGCGGCCGATTCGTCAGCGTTATGTTCTGGCCCGGGGTGTCCGGGGAACGGGGAACAAGTTATGAAAACTTTATGTTGGAGCACTCCAAGTACTTACCCGAAACTCTTACGGCGCGGTGCGTGCTCAGGTTCAGTCAGGCGCGTTCCTGGAGCGTTCCTCGACCGCTCCTCGCAGAGCCGAGCGAGGCAGCAGCGCCAGACAGCGGGGGATGCTTTGGTCCGAGGGATGGCTTGGGCCGAGGGGATGCTTTGGTCCGAGGGGATGGCTTGGGCCGAGGGGGCGGCCGGCCCTGTACGGCCCATGGGGTTGCCTACCGGGTACTCAAGCGTGGCTGGACAAAAGGGTGGGCGAAAGGATTGTTCCTCCACTGCCATCTGAAAGGCAGTCAGGCACTCTCCCGCTGCAAGCTCCGAAGCAGGCAAAAGGGGCTGCTTTGGCTACCCACCTCGTTGTTTCTGCTGCTGGGTGGCAGCGGAAGGCGGCGGAAGGGGTACCCTGGCAACTTTCAGCCGGTGAGTAGGCGAACTGTGAGGCGTGTACTCCCCCCTTTCTCCCCCAATTAGTTTCCCAAGACCGCCTCCGGTGGTATCAGTGCCTGCCAGTTCGAAATGATTGCCCCCTCCCCCTCGGTGCTGGGATGTCTGGGACGCGGAACACGCCGAAGCTTGCCGAAGCGGGCCGAAGCCGAAGCCCTCTGCCTACCTCTGCCAGGTGCGGAGCGCGTCGTGAAAGGACTCACAGCGATGAAAATAAAGCACCGCCGCGTCCCTCTCCATTTTATTTTCATTTTTATTCCCTTTTTTCCCCGAGCCATGGCGCATCGGAAAACGCGGCACCCTCTCCTCCCCCTCGCTCGCCCTCCCTCTCTCTCGCCTTTTATGCAGTGCCATTTCCATGCCGGTCCATCAACATTTAATTCGTTGAATTTCAAACAGGCTGGCTGCGTTGCGGCGTGCGTACGTTGCGGTGGTGAGGGGGAAGTCAGAGTAGGTGTCCCGAAGGGGTGGTGCGTGGAGGGGAGGGGGCGAGAGTACGCTCGGAGTACCCCCTTCCCCCCTCCACCTTTTAACCCCCACTCAACCCCCGCCTGATGCGCGCGCGGTGCGCGGTCGAAGTTGGGGATGATACGAGGGTTCGAGTTCATGGGATGGGAGGGGGTGGGACGGAGAGGGATGGCGCCGGCGCCGAGCGGGAGAGGGAGACAGCGACAGGGCGGCAGGGTAGGGGGGGGGAGCCTCTGGTGGCTGAGGGGAGGGGCGGGAGGGGTTGCGGGCTCGAAGCAGACGACACTACCACTCAGGACTCAGCGTGCCACCCCCCGTGTGCAGAGGATACCGACACCGTGCATTTTTCAAGACTGGCATATCGCCCCTCAAAACCAGCAAGATCTGCGTTTCCTGGTGCGGTGCGGTCCAGACGGGCCGGGCACTCTCTGTTCACATCGTCGTGCTTGTAAACAAATTCGCGGCCAGACGCCGTCCTGGTGTCTTTTGTCTGCTTTCGAAATGGAATGTGACAACTGGCAATTATTTTGCCATTAATTGACCTGTTGCATGCCGCCGACTCGAATGTCGCTCGTTTCTAGCGAGTCTGTGGCATTTGCCACTCGCAAACTCATTATACAAGTGCACATTTCATCAAGTTGCATACAGTTGTTGGATAACCTTCGAGTCCACACTGCCTGCATATTGCACACGAGTGATAACACTGTACTAGACATGGGCACTTATACTCTCTGGACATTTTGAAAGTAATTTTACTATAACCTATTTAGGTTTTATTAGATACATCTATTATGATTATTTTTACTTTTGAACATTTGTTATTCCTTTGAACTCGCTAGTCAACCATTTACGCTGAATTTCAACAAACAAATTTTAAATGTGCCAATTTTTTCTGCATTTATTAATAGTTGTCCTGTTTTGTTTGTTTGTTCACAGGATATGGATGATCTTGTGTTCAGGTTTCTGTACCTTCTTCACGAAACATCTGAAATACTGAGATGATTTAATGGCCGAATCGAATGTGGACAGCTATGACTACTGAAAACTGACGGCAACGTACCCTCATCCCCTAAACCCTGTCCTGTCAAATGCCAAGCTAAACATGTCAGCCAAGAAACCTCTTGAAACAAGCAACCCGCAGGAACTCCTTGCCCTTTGCTCCAACCTTTATGACAGAAACGCCTCGGCTATTCAGATAAAAGTGAACAACTATGTAAGTGCATTAGCTCATTTGACAATTGAACAAGTTTTGGATCCATGTGGTTCATTAATTTATTTTTCATTCTGTAGCTGAAACAAAAATGTGGAGCCCAGCTAGTATTCCTTGTGCAATTGCTCAAGGAAAGAGAGGAAGCAGTGGTACAAGTTATTGGTGATAAGGTCCTAGAAAAAGAAATGAGATTTCCTGTGAGTAGCCAATGGAATTTTCAATCAATTTATTTTAAATAATCTTTTCCCAGGAACATTTTATTATGCTTCTGCATTTAGGTGACAAACAACTGTTTACATGCAGTTATGCAAAGAAGAACTTCCCTTTCTGCTGATGCCTGTGACTTGGATCCAGAACTCCACGCAAGTCTGAGACGGGTTATAAATCCTCTACCAGAACAGTTCCTGGTTGTTCCTGTGTGGCATCCCTCTGAGGACAGTATATGTTTGGTGGCCTGCCTCGTTGAGTATGAAAATTCAGAAGAATTCTGTTCACATGTTGTCACTGAATGCTTCAGGTACCACAGTTTTAAGTTTTGATTCAAATACAATTTAATACGGATTATCACAGATTTTTAACTTTACCTTTTGATATTCAATCAGGTATTGTATTGGCACTGTTCTGAACACATTAGCCTATGAGGGAGAAATGCGCTTGAAACTTCAATGCCAAAATCTTTTAATCATCGCCCGTAAACTTGTGTCACACTTAGGTAAATGTTTTGTGTCAAATCAGTAGTCACTCCTTGAATACTTAAAAATACATAATTCCAAGGAGACTAATTTTATTGATTTTCTTCAGGGGAATTCACGGACCTGTGTAGAGAGATTATGCTAGAAGCTAAGAAACTGACATTAGCAGAACGTTGCTCCATATTTCTGTTAGATCAAGAAAGTCAAGAACTGGTTGCAAAAGTATTTGATGGTATTCCTGCTGCAGAGGTAATAAATCCAGTTTTCCTCTTCTTCTTTTTTCTCCATTACATTGTACACTTTTCCTTTATTTTTTTTTATTAAATTATAAAAGTGCTTACAAGTTCTCATTCTCTACTTGTGGCCTGTTTCATATTCAGGAGGTGAGAATAGCAAAAGATAAGGGAATTGCTGGACATGTTATGTCTACTGGTCAAGTACTTAACATCAGAAATGCCTATGAGCATCCTTTGTTTTACAAGGGTGTAGATGAAGCCACTGGCTTTAAAACAAGGTAACTGTTTGCACGTTTCTTCATGTGGCATTTCAAAACACACAACTTCATAATCGTCCTTTTTCCGTTTAAGGTGTATTCTGAGCTTTCCCATCCGTGATGAAACAGGCATCATTGGAGTGGCTCAGCTTTGCAACAAGATTGGCGGGTTGTACTTTGATGTTTATGATGAGGAGGTATCTTGCTCTTATCAAACCAACCTTTGAAAACTAAGTTTTTTTAATTCAAGTTTGTTCTCTTTCACTGTCGGGATTGCATTTTCAGGCTGCTGTGGCTTTCAGCATTTATTGCGGGATCAGTATCATGCACAGTCTGGTGTACAAGAAAATTCAAGATGCCCAAGCTCGAAGTAAACTTGCAAATGAGATGATGATATACCACATGCAGGTAAATTTACTCATTTTAATGTGTATTTTCCTTCTAATTTAATTTATTTCTACAGTAAACAAGTGACACTTTCTGGTGTTTGACTGTTGCTTAGCAATGGCTTTGTTGATTGTTGTAGTGTCAGCAATTCATTTCAGGAGATTTATTGGATCAAATTTTAAATGATAACATGCAACATTTTCTTAATTCTCATCCTGGTCTTGGCAGGCTTAAATCTTTTTCTTACATTCTATTCCTACCTCTCAAAGATCTAAAGTTCTTTTTTCTCTCTTTATATGGTTAGGAAATAATTTTGTGATCAAACAAATCATATTGATTGTTTCTGTCTGGAATACCTTTTAGATAGGACCTCTTTTCATTTTGAATCATGGAAGTAAGGCAACACTCAAGATATCATCATATGATTGACTCTTAATTTGTGCCAACACTTTGTCTTTGTTTTTCAGGTTCATCCTGAGGATGTTTCTCGTGTCTTAAACTGTGAGCGTGCTCATGATCTCATGCCCGAAATTGATCTCTTTTATTTCTCACCCCGCAAAATTGAAGAGTCAGAATGTGTATGCTACTGCGTGGAAATGTTTGATGATCTTGGCCTCGTTCAACAGTGGCAGCTGAAGAGAGATACCCTGACGAGGTGAGTGGTCTTGTTCACAATTCATTTTTAGTGTCAGTAAAAGTCAAGTGAAGTTAAAAATCTATCATATTATAATTTTCAGGTTTCTTTTATTTGTTAAGAAGGGGTACCGAGATGCTCCGTATCACAACTGGTACCATGCATTTTCAGTATTTCATTTTTCTTATCTTGTTATTAAGAACCTCCGTCTTGTGGAGAGGGGATTTATATCGTAAGTGAAGTACATTTCAAAATATTTGCTGTTTGTGTTAGTTTTAAAATTTTGACTAGTTTAATAACTACTACCCTTTTCTTACATTTGTACAGTTCATTGGAAGCCTTGGCTTTCATGGTGTCTTGCCTGTGTCATGATCTTGATCATAGAGGAACTACCAATTCATTTCAAATGCAATCAGGCACAGAGTTAGCCAGTTTATACAGTTCAGAAGGATCTGTCATGGAGGTGTGTTCTCAGGGACTATTTCAACTCCTATACTATTTTTCATGAAGTTTTCTAACAACCTCAACAATTTTTTCAGAGACACCATCTAGCTCAGGCTTTGTGTATTCTCAACACAGACGGCTGTAACATATTTGATGGACTCACTGGTGAGCAGTATGGAAAATGTTTAGATCTGATTCGAGACCTCATTCTTGGTAAGAAAACTGAGTTTCTGTTCAATATCATGCTGCAGAATGTTCTGATCACACAAATCATATCTATGGACTGTGCTTTCCATATCTTTTACAGCAACAGACTTGGCTCATCATATTCGTCTAGTACAAGATCAAGAAAAGATGGCTTCAGAAGGATTTGATATGAATAGCACTCAACATCGTCAACTTCTTCTTTTCCTTTTAATGACTTGTGCTGATCTTAGTGATCAGACAAAAGATTGGAAGGTTTCTCGCACTACTGCAGTGAGTATTCTTGAGGTAGATCAATTATTGTCTCTGATTTAAAAAAAGTATTTCTCACATAATTTTACCACAATATTTCAGGACTTGGTTTACCAGGAGTTCTTTTCTCAAGGAGATCTTGAAAAGGCCATGGGTAATGCTCCTCTGGAAATGATGGATCGTGAAAAAGCTCGAATTCCAGATCTTCAAATCCAGTTCCTTTCCCACATAGTCTGTCCTGTTTTCAAGTAAGTTCTTTAAAAGTATTGAAATTCATCCTAATTTTGTGGTGTTTTTTTTTTTTTTTTTTTTGTTTTGGTAGCAATAGAATAGAAACTGATGAATTGTGTGTCTTTTTACTTCATAATAGAATCCTGGCACAACTTTTCCCAGAGGCTGACTGCCTTCTTCAATCCACTGTGAAAAATCGTCACTGCTGGGAACAAGCATCTGCTTTCTTTGCTCGTAAATGGGAGAGTGGACATTCTTCTTTGGATATTTTGAGGGACTTGGAGCTAGAATGTTTTGCTGATGGTGCTCCTCATTGATCTGATGTTCTGTTCATTGGTTTCTTTGTTTTTGATTTTGTGCCGTAGAGTAGAGAGTTTTGAGGATTGCCTTCAGAATTGTTTCTCAAAATTTGTTATGACTTGTGACATTTGATTAATTATATTTAAAGGCCTCATGAATCTGTGTTATTTAAATGTGATGTGGTTTTTGAAATGTATGTACTGGAATTTTATCATGTTCTGGTATCAGACACTTTTTTCTCTTCAAGAACTCAACTGAGCACTGGAAATCATTATTATAAAAGTTCAAAGTCCTTTTGTGTTCATATCGAAGATAGGTAACCTATTTTTCTGTGATCAAATTTGTGCTATCTACTGTGCCCTTTCTCAATTTAAAGAAATATTTCTAAGGTCAGATGCACTCTGTTTCCCCATCTGTTTTGGTCTTGCTGCCTTAGACATCACAAGGTAGTTTCATTGTGTTTTCATGTGATACTATGAGTACATTTTGAATCAATTTTTGACTATCATAATCCCAGGATGTTGGATACCCCCCTTTCTGTCTGCCTTGAGTTATCACTTTTGTAATTTGAATTCAAGGAAATGTCTTCTCTTATTTCCATTCTAACGTGTTAATGTTTGAGTTGTGAGTTGCATCTCTTTGGAATGATGGCCTAGTTTTGTTCAAGACAGTATTAGTGCTTTTTCTGATTAGTATATTTTAGAAATATTGCGGGTTTACCTGATTTTACTCGCCTAATGCACATTCACAATGTTTTCTGTGTAACAGCATTCTGCAGTTGATGCAGACACCTGCTTGAGCTGCGCTGGCTGCTGCTCAAATATGATGGAAATGTTTGTTGTTGGTGCTGTGCCATTTCCAGGTGTACACTTGTAGATTGTTGTTGTAGTTGCGTTTGGGCCTTTCTTGGCTGTGAAATATTTTGTGATATAGTATTGATTGTTGTAACTTGTTTTCTCTAGTTTGTGCCATTGTTAATTTGAGGAGTGAATGTTAATAATCGGTCAGTAGCTGCACTGAGCACCCTAACTGTGCATGTTCAAGACCCTGATTTGTTTGGGGCACAAATATCATTTGGACGGAGCATCAATTCTATATTTGAATCTTTTAAACATTGTCTTATGTATGGTAAATGGGGGTAGAATTTTCTCTCTTCTGACTTTTGGAAAATGGACGTGAAGGATATACTGATACAGTAGCTCATCTTTTTATGAAAGACAGTTTTCATTGAAAACTAAAAAAAATTAGCTACCTCCTTACGGTACTGCTTTACACGGCCTTCAATATGCTCATAATTAATGTTGGTGCTACAATTATTTCATGCGTTTAGATTCCTTTTTTCAATATAGAATGCCGTACTTATTGGCTTGCAAGGCGACTCTTTTCCCTCGTGCCCGTCGCTGAAAACGGTACTTGTCCCATATGCCATGTTTTCTCACGTGCTCGTAATTAAGATTTGAATTTGTTAGACTTTAGTACATTTTTGCGTGCATTATAATTTTGAGCGTTGTGGATTTTGTCACAAATATTGTGTGTACTCTAGTCTAGCTGGGGTGGTATGTTAGTTGATGCTAATATGTGTGATGCTTATTTTTCACTACCTGAGAATAGAGACCCCACAATGGACATTAATTTGATTTTCTATTGGCTGAGACCCTGAGGATATAGTTTCTCGTACACTATATTTGACAGTGAGTGAGCCAGCCTATCACATTGTGTTCTTTTAGTTTTCTGTTAGACTAGATTCTACCCGTTCTTCTCTCTCTTGTTGTTCCTCAAGTGAGGAAAGGATCTTTAATGTTGTGACAAAAGAAGAAGCACTTGACAAACTTGGTTGTTTTGTAAAGTCCTGAAATTTTAAAAGGATTGCCCAAGATGCACGTTATGTAAGAAACATAATGCACAATGGTATTTGTGTTTTCATTTAAAGTTGTTTTTGGCCAGGTCCCCAAAATAGTTCTCAATTTTTGTGTAGTGTTTGAATATGTAGATGTTTTAGGCATCAATGGAAAGTTACAGTATGCTTTTAGCTTTTTCTATAAAAGCCATAAGTTACCGGCTTAAAGTGTACTTATCTTGTGTCCTATGTACCAAATTCACTCCATATAAGGTAGTGTGACTTATCTTTCAGTAACAACATTTTCTTTAGTGGTCATATTCCCAATTGTATCTCCTCTGATATAAAATGGGAAAGTCAAAACAACTAACTTCCAATTCCTTAAAGTAAGCAGCGTGAATCATTGTTAGAGCAGTAAGCAGTACTTTAAGAGGCAGGAGTAGGGTCAGTGCGGGGAAAACCTGGACAGGGGAAGAACTGAACACCCCACATTTTGCTTCAAATGCCTTATGCTCTGGCTTTACAACTATCATGTAATGAACCGCTGATGCCACGGAACAACTTGCCTAACATACGGTATTTGAAGTAAATTATGGGGTGTTCAGTTCTTTCCCTGTCTAATTTTTCCCCACCCTGACCCTAGGTAATATTTTGATGGGCTTTATAAATTTTGCATTATGATGGCTTTGCTGGGTATTGAAAGTCTAACATATGCTTGGGAATTTATCTATTTGAAGCCCTATATGCTATGTTTCATGTGCAAAATTACATCTATAAAATTTAACAATAGGGCGATCTCCTATGAAATTTAACATATCACATGCTGCAGATGTGCATAGCAAGAAAATGCTTCAAATCATGGTTGCACAGCCATCAATACAATACTGTATCAATGCAGATGTGCTATTTATCTGCTTTTTGGTTTTGTGGTACTAAAGATAAAATTGTAAAGGATCTAAGTGCATGGAAATGATTGACTGCTGCATCTTTGGTTATTTCTTCTTGTCTTGTGCTAGTAGCGTTGTATTGATTTCAGTAAGACTATTATAAAGAGGAAAATTTAGGAGCCTTATGCTTTTTACTGTTTATCTCAATCAGATTCCATAAGTCAAAGACTTCATGCTGTGGCCTATTGTTTATTATGATAATGTCATTAAAAGTGAATGTGTACATTTGGTGTTAAAAGTAAACTTCTCATGGAAGTTAAAATTTTATTTTACTATGACTTTTGTCTGTAAATTTGTTTACAGTAGATGCTAGTGTGTTGGATCTCTGCATGTTGCTTCTGCATTTTAGATCAAGTACACAAAATTTGCTCAAATTCAACTATTGTATATGTATGATTTCATTGTTTGTTGGTACATCCCTGGTGTCTATCTGGCAAGCAAGTGAGGGTGCTGAGGTCTTTAAAGGTTCCTTGACCACCAAAAAGTACAGTAACATGATTTTAATTTGTAGGTAGCTGTATTGATTTTACAACCATTGCGCTTTGTGCAAGTTTGTTTTGTACATCATGTAGCTAGGTCCCACCAAACAGGTAGTGCATTGCCTCTTCCCGTGATTGAGGTTGAGTCCTGGGGACCTAGTTATGTCCGATGTGGTGCATTAGGTACTGGTTTCCTAGGTGAATAAAAGCTAGTTTTCAAAATAGTTTTCATAGAACCAGAACCTAGAAAATATTGTGAATTGATTAGTTTCTTCTTCACAGTTCATTTATACATTTATTAATATGTTTGTTATTTATTTTTTATTGTTTCACATCTTTTTTTAAAATGCAATAGTGTTATTGACACCTTTCTGTCAGTTTTATTGTTTGCAAGGTGTTTGGATGTGTGTGTGTGTGTCAAACTGAGCAGTTGTTTTAATTTAGCTCACCCCTAGTTTACAAATGAAGCAGTACAAAAAAGAAAAAATTGTCTCTACTTGTGATAATTATCAAATATGTTTTAATATGTGCTTGCCAAAGGGTGCGCTTCGTTTAAAGAAAACATAATCCATGTGGTAATTTTTTAAAAAAATCTAATGATCTTTGCTTTTGCTTAACAAACTGCTCTTTTTAGCCTGCCTTTTCATGTGCTTTTTGCTATTTGCAGATAAACATATCATTGTAAGACTGGTAATGAGTAGATTTGTTTTGATCAGTAACAGAATCACAGAAATTTTGGTTTCATATTATTGTATGAAACTGACTTTGCCTGGAACACAGTCTTTGCAGAGTTATCTTCAAGTCGGTTAGCTTTGTTGAATAACCAGTCCATTCCTATTTGTTTAGGTGAATTTATGGTTCAAGATGTGTTGGCATCTAATTCTGTGTTGCAAGCCTGCATATGCATCAATTATTAGAAATTTGGACTGGAATTATCTGACAATCAGACTTCAGACTAGCCAGGCCTTGACTTTGTGCAAAGCTATCCAATATTCAAGCTTCATCCGAAGCACCAACTGAAATACACTAAATGTTTATCTTGCTTACCTGAGCTTTTGTCTAAAATTTACATTTGTCTGGCTGAAAAGAGCACGTTAAACAGCATTTAAGCTGACAAACTAAGCACACTCAAAACCATGGCTCAGCAAAGCTGATCAGCCTTAAAATTGACTTAAAGCAATACTGATATTTGTGATGAAAGTGTGTTGTCAAGTGTCTGTAACAATTTGCTCAAATTGTGTCGGTTCCGAGTACATAATAGCCACTCCAAAACAGTGTGTTGGTTTATGACACTTGTTTTTGTAATCCCACCTCGAGATGCTGAATTAATAAAAAAAAAGTTAATGTGGTAGGTTTGTTGTTCGTCTGGTACTTCCCTCTGCTGAAAGCCACCCGCCCGAAAACTGGAATCGGCCCGGTTCTCAAACTTAAATCGCTAGGCTAGGCGTTGTCTGCCCGCCTGTCTGTTGAACAGGGAATGCCGTGCAGGCGCGGTCAAAAATATTTAAAGTGCCATGAGCAGTAGTTAGTCTGAGTTAAGCCGAAAACAAGGCTCCTGTTCAGCACCGGTTGCACTTTGTCCACGTAAGAGGTAAACAGGTCTACATTCTAGGGTGGGGCGGGGCTGCTTTTCGGTATGAAATAGGTACATGTCAGGGTCGGTATGTGTTACGTGTTTAGTGCATGGCCGCGAGCCCTGCACCTGTCGCGTGCGTACCCACCGTACACGCGGTGTAAAGGGGGGGGGGGCACCCTGAGCCAAGCGGAGCGCGCCAAAACGACGGGTACGGAGGGACTGGAAAAGACCCTGGGGAAGCGGAGGGGCGCTCTCCAGAAAATGTGGCAAAGGTCCTGGGCTAACGAGCCGAGCGCAGGGAAGGCAGGGAAGCACCGCTGAGTTCGGCCAAAATACACGCAGGCGTGACGTGCCGCTCGGGTGCCCCATCCGAACGCGGCCCGAAGCCGAAGGTGACCCGAAGGCGGCTCGAAGGCAGCCCGAAGGCGTGCCGAGCCGAGAGGCAGGCAGCGTAGCGGCAGCGGCGTAGCGCGCGCCCGGGAATCGATTATTCGACGAGTCCCTCGGCGCAGGGCAGCGCAGGGCAGCGCATGACGTCCAAGGGGAGGGTCCCGTTGGACTCGGACTCCCTCAGCAGCGCATGGCTGCCTGGCAGCGTAGCAGCGCCCAGCCACGGCCTAGCAGCGCCGGCGCCACCAAGGGACGAGGAACCCGCTGCACAGTGGGCCAGAAGACCGGTGCAGGCGGCCAAAACTCAACGCGTTTTGAGCTCCAGAGTCGCTAAATGGGACTCGAACCGAACGTGGATTGCTCTTCGAACAAGGAATCCATTGGTATGGTCACACTTTGTCCTCGTCGCCGCACTCCCGCTGCAGGACGATTCCGAAGAGTCGCTCTGTCTCCCTCGAACCCCTGCGGGGCGTGCCATGAGTGCGACAGAGACACAGCGACGAACTTCATCTCCGGAAAGAGCCCGTTGGGGCGGCGGGCCGATCGCGAACAGCGTCTTTTTGTCTCCCTCGCACTCGTGGGGCGCCCCGAAGGGCTGCGCGAGAGAGGCAGAGTGCCTGGTGGCGGTGGCGGCTTCCCCCGCTGCCCTGCTTGCCCTGCTTGCCCTGCTTGCCCTGCGGCCGGAGGCTCGCTTCCGCGGCGCAGCGCGGCGCAGCGCGCAGCCTCCCGATACGTCTTCTGGCGGGTATCGAACACAGCGTGCTGCCGCGCCGCCGCGCCGCCGCGCCGAGTGACGTCACCAGCGCCGTCATATGGTATCCACGCTGGCCGGGCGTTGCTAGCCCTGGCTTTCCTCATCGCCCGCCACAAAAAAACGACGTCCCCGACGCAGCGTGCGAGCACCGAATTGAATTGCTTAGTTAGGCTTGAGACACTTGGATCGTGTTCCCATGACTGGGTACGCCCCGCTCATTGGTTTCGTGAAACGGTGTGCGGCGCTTTGCAGCTCTTTAAGAGCACTCTCTGTGAATGAGACCCACAGTCCTGTTCTGCCTAACGGGGCGTGACACGCCGCAAATTTTTCGAACACTTTCAGCGCGCCTTCCGAACGGCTGGTTGGGGGAAAAAGGAAGCTAGACCACTCCATCCAGGTTGCAAGCGCACAGTGGGTCAGAAGAACGGTGGAGGCGGCCAGAATTCTAGACCCGTTTTGAGTTCCAGAGTCGCTAAATGGGACACGAACGGAACGTGACCCCACCAATGCGGACACCTCGTTCGGAGAGCAATCCATTGTTGGGGTCACACGTTCGGTTCGAGTCCTGTTTAGCGACCCTGGAGCTCAAAACGCGTCTGGAGTTTTGGCCGCCTTCGCCGGTCAGAGGGTCTCCCTTACGTGCCACGACTGCAAGCTCGAGCACACCCGATGCACGGCGCACGGCCTCAGCAAGCCATGTTCAAGATGCCCGAAAACGCAAGGCACGCGCACCGCTGAGGCTGCACCGCGGTTTAACTATGGTCTAAGCGGTCCAAAGCCGCTCCTAGTCAGGTATTTTTAAAATGGCAGTGGTAATGCTGTGTGTGCTATGTGTGCTGTGTGTCGCGGGGCGGGGTGGGGCGGGGGCCGGGGCGTACGTGCGCTGGTGGTGGAGGGGGAGGGCGCTCAGCCGCAGGGGCGGGGCGGGGTGGGTGGGACGCGGGCGTCGGGGCGCCGAGGGGCGGGGCGGGGTGGGGGTGGCGAGGCGAGGCGTACGAGCCGAGGCGAGCCGAGCCGTGCCGAGGCTCAGGGCCGTGGGGTCACAGCGCGGAGCGTGGGGCGGGGCGGGCGGGGCGGGGCGGGGCGGGGCGCTCGCGGGGCGCAGCAGGCGCGGAGTGGAGCAGTCCGCTAGTGGGGTTGGGGCGTGCCAGGGCGTGGCGTGCGCTGGCTCCGCTAGCTGCGCGTTGTGGCGTGCGTTCGGCACAGGCCGCACAGGCACAGCGCCAACGCCGAGCCGAGCACCGCCGAGCTCGGTGTGAAAGTGCGTGAGTGGCTGCGAGGCTGGGAGTTGGCCGAGGCGCGAGTGCACCCAGCGGAGTGGAGTAGCGTGTGGATAGCGGGGCTCAGCCTCTCAGGTGAGTGGTGCTGGCGGTGCTGGCGACGGCCGAGACCTGCCGAGGGCGCTCGCTCGGGCCGCTCGTCGCCCAGCTCGCCCAGCTGGACGGCGTACTTGACTGTGTTGTGCCGCGGCTCGGCTCGGCCTTTCGTCGCGGCTCGGCTGCACCGCCTCTGTGCGAGGCAGTGTGCCCGCAATGGTCCGCACGTGCGGACTGCAATTGCTTTACCGCTGTCCTGTCAGCTGGCCCGAGCGGCCCTAGCGGAGTGGGGGAAGACGACGTTGAGGTTAGGTTTGTGTACCGCGGCCTTGCCAGGCCTGGCGCTGCGCTGCCTCGCGCGCCTTGCGGGGGTGGAGGCAACGGCCTGGGGGAGGCAAGCCCTCGGGCAAGCCCGCCCCAGGCCGCCTGGCTCACTACACAACTAGCAACGAAAACGCGTGAACGCCCATCCCACCCCGACATCATTCGGAAACGCATTGTTAGTTGAAGGCTGAGGCTCAAATCCACTCTAAGCCCGCTTTATTTTCCCGCGATTTTTATCTCACGATTGGCGGTTGTATCAACTTTTCGAGCGAAGGGAGTAATACGCTCGATATGATAGTGGCAAAGAAAGATGTACCCACTAAAGGAATTAAAAACGACATAAGACAGCGTGCTGGTGTTATTTTATATTGAAAAACGACAATACACCGGTGGAGTGTCTGAAGTCTTTCCTTCACTTTTCATAAACTTGACCCTTAATGAATCCTAGCTGTGAGGAATAAACATGGCCATACTATCGAACGTACGTTAGAGTAATTTTATTTATTTTCGTTAGGTTCTGTGTAAATTTTCAAGTTTTACTGTCAGCGTTTTGGCGAAAATATAGCAGTTTAATTGACCCGTGTAGTTGCCCAAGCTTCCCCCTCCCCTCCCCTCTTTTGAGTGTGGCTGTTGACCTCTTTGCTTGAAGTACGACGAGAGTGCAAGAAAAGTAGATCGAACACACAGGCTCGAAACTCCCAAGAAGAAAAAAAAAACCTTTCGGACAGTTGGAAAGTGTTGAGCACAGTAACTGACAACAAATTTTTTTGCCGTCCCCTCCGGATTTTTCCGTTTGTATCGAACGTCGGTGCCTGAGGCTCAGACGCTTACGGGACTTCCACGAATGTGTCGATTTTCATTCGTACTACCAGCGGGTGCACGCAGGCAAAGGCACCTATGCTCTGGACGCGTACCAAGACGGATTCAATGATGAATGTTTTTTACCAAGCCGCTTTGACAGTTGGCGGGTCAATACTAGGCGGTTGACTTACGAAGTATTTGTTTAAAGTCTCCTTAAGACAGAAGGACGATTTGTTTTTCAAATAGCCGGCCTGACGGACGGACGGATGAACGGACATGGCACGCACCTTGGCATGCAGCGTTCCGAATTATTCATCGAGGACCTCGTCTCGAGGTGCGCCGAGCTGCTTCCTGTAGACTCATTCCGAGAGTCGCTTTCGTCGCTCTGTCTCTCTCGCACTCACGCGGTGTTCCGTGTAGGAGCGAGAGAGACGGAGCGACGAAAGCGACTCTCGGAATGAGTCTACTGGCTCGGACAAGTTTAGAGTTTTTCCCCCTCCAGCCACGATCCTGCCTTCTTTTTCCTGGTCTGCAGGGCAATCATGGCAAGGAAGCATGGTCCTGACCGAGGGGGTAACCACTCGCGTAATACCCTGTACACAAAAGCCGTGTATTACGCGTAATACACGGGGTCGTAATACCTTTTTCGGGTCAAATGTGCCAAATTTTTGCATTTTAAGGCCGTAATACACGTGTAATACCTCAGTAATACAGCGTAATACCGAGTAGTCTGTACACGATTTCTTGAAGTGTTTACCCCCTCGGTCCTGACAAAAATAAAGGCTCTGTCATCATCGTGGCAATGATAATGTCACAACGATGATGCTCTTCTCCTTCCCCACGATGATCTCATCTCGGCTGCAAGGCACTTGCAAGGCACTGCACTGCAAGGTATTGAGGCCGCCGAGGAGGAATGGCCGAGCATTAACCAGCCCAGTGTAGTCGCGGTACAGTCGCCACACTGCCGCGAAGCACTGGACACTTGTTTTCGGTTCAGAAATGCGCTTAGCGGAAGCGTTTCTCCCCACTACTGCCCGGTAGTCGGTTCCCTCTTGTTGGAAGATTTTCTTGCAGTTAAGCGTACCATCACTGCGACTGCGAGAGAGGTCCTCTGCAGCAGCCTATGTCTTCCATTTCATATGGATGATGATGATGATGCTGTTGGTGGTGATGATAATGTATGTGCCACTGTCAAATACCTGACGTTCGTTCTGCTTTGCAGCCAGGATGCGGGCGGCGCGCGGCCCGGCGCGAGACTAGCGCCACCATGGGCAGCAGTTGCTCCTCGGGCCAGAAGCATAAGGACAACGCCTCCACACGATCTCAAGAGTGAGTACACTGTGGACGCGGACCATCACTGTCGCAATCCTCGTGTTGGGCGCGCCAACTCTCTGAATCAGTTTTGAGGACGAGAGTTGTTCCAACCGACAGATCCCGGAGAGGCCCCTGTGGCTCGGCGGGTAGGCAACAGGCAGTTCCGGGAGCAGGGCTGCGTGCGGGATGCCTACACGGCGGCACGACACCCCATCCAGTGTAGCTTCATGTCTTCGATGCACCGGTGTTTAAAGGGTTGCCAACCTCTAGGCTCTGGGCTGGCCTCTCGATACTGGTGCATCATGGTACTTTTGGTATTTTCGAGAACCGTCCCTACGTTCCCGCCCGAAAACATTGCAAACTCCAAACTAAGAGTAGTGGAGAGTGGAGCAAAAAAGAGAGGAAATCAAGATCATCAGTTCAGCGCCGGTTCGCCTGCCTTTCGGGCTCGTCGCTCGCGTGGACAGAAAACAAAGCAGAACTCTTTCTCACTCTCACACAGGAAATGGTGAAAATTTTTGTGGCGCCGGCGGCAACCCTAGTGGCTCCCCGCCACGCCCCTGGAACACCCCGCCAACCCGCCCCGCCCCCGCCACTCCAGAGGACAGACCAGGGTTAGCCCACGCGGGGGGCATCCAGGAATCGAGCGACACCCCCTCGACCCTCCGCGCCGGCCGCTCTCTCTCTCTCTCTCTCTCTCTCTCTCTCTCTCTCTCTCTCTCTCTCTCTCTCTCTCTCTCTCTCTCTCCCCCTCTCTCTCCCTCTCTCTCCCTCTCTCTCTCTCTCTCTCTCTCTCTCCTCCCGTTCGCCATCTCTCTCCCTCTCTCTCTCCTGTCCCGACACATGGTCAGTCACTTTGGCCACCCGCTGACAGAAATATACCGCACCGTCCTGCCGCGCGGCATGGCACGGCACGGCACGCCGCGCTGTGCAGACTCTCCGATCCATTGGCCAGTTTGATGTGTCAGGCCCGCTACGAGCCGCCGGCGCACCCAATACCGTGCAAATGACACTGCAAAAAAATGGTTAGAAATAGAATTTTGGAAAAAGTATCGCTTTTTATTCGGCGTGGGTGGATCGCAGTTGCGGGACTTTGAAGTATGTCTATGAAAAGCGGGAAATGAATGAATGAATGAATGAATGAATGAATGAATGAATGAATGAATGAATGAATGAATGAATGAATGAATGAATGAATGAATGAATGAATGAATGAATGAATGGACGAATGAATGATGCATGATGAATGAATGAACGAACGAACGAACGAGTAAATGAGCGAATGAGTAATCGGTCCGTGAGTCTGCGAAGTGGCGCGACATATTTGACGGAGTGCCGCGCGAGCCGCGCCGGCGTGGACGCGCCGCCAAGACGGACTTGACGATCTTGCCGGTCACCAAGCAAAACACACATCCGGCACATCCCCAAGCTTCGAAATAGCTTGGAAATAGCTTGGAATAGCTGCGCGGAATGGCGCGCCTAGAATAAGATGCGAAATGCACGGAAGGCGGTGGCGCGTCGCGCGGCCGCTATTTGGCTGAATCGGCGTCCTTCGCCGCGCGCGACTTCCTCGTTCACGGCAGACGACTGTTTCGCTTCTTTTTTCGGAGTGTCGGTGGTGGTGGTATTTTGGCAACCGGCCGCGCGGCTCACCCAAAACACAATTTTTAGACATTCCTCTACATTTTGACCAACTTTGCGGCGCCACTGCTCTCAAACGGTTAGGAAGTGCGATTTGCAACTAGCGTGGCAGACGCAGCCGCAGCCCAAAGTAAACCCCACACAAACGGCTCGAGAGGTGTGAGGGTTGTGGTCGATGCACCCGCTTCACTTTTCGCCTGCCTGCCACCCCTAGCGTGCATCAGCCAAGCGGTTTCGGAGGATCGCTTTATCGCTCTGTCCGGCTCCGTCTCTCTCGCTCTCATGGGCCGTTCCGTCCGGGTGCGACAGAGACGGAGCGACGAAGCTCTGTTCAGGAAGCAGCCTGCCGTCCCTGCCGGCCACAAAGCCCCCTCCCCCTCCCCCTTCTCCTCCCCGCCGCGCTGTCCGGCGGCACGGCCGGTACCTGGCGGCCAATAGCAAGGCAACGCTTTTTGCTTTTTGCCCGCAGGTCCCCGACCTATCAGGGCGGGCCGGGCGTCGGGGCTCACGGCGCGAACCACCACCATGCGCCGCCCCCGGCAACGGCGGCCCCCGCGGGGGCGGCTCAAGGCGGCACCCAGCCCGCCAAGCCGACCCCACCCGCCCCCGCCGCCGCCCCCGCGAAGCCGAGCGAGCCTGAGCGGGGCGTAGTGGCGTCCACCACCTCAGGTAAGCCCCCAGCATCCAGACGTCGCACAGTGGGCCAGAAGACCGGTGGAGGCGGTCGAAACCCCGAACGCGTTTTGAGCTCCAGAGTCGCTAAACGGGACTCGAACGGAAGCAATGACACATTCCGTTCGAGTCCTGCTTAACGACTCTTGAGCTCAAAACCACCTCCACCGGTGTGCTGGCCCACTGTGCGTCGCTCTGTCTCTCTCACGGGTGCGAGAGAGACAATGAGTGCTGTGGCTACGCAGAGTCGGTGGCCGCGGACGACGGGCGCGACGTGCTGCCGCCGCCGCTGGACAAGCTGGCCGACGACCTGGGCCGCCTGCTGCTGGGCAGGGCGACCACCGCCAACCGGCCGGCCGCCAGGACCAACAGGATCGCCATCTACGTGTGCGCGGCCGACGCCGAAGGTGGGCCCCCAGCCAGGCAGCGCCAGGCAGCGCAGACCAAGGCGCTCATCCAACAGTCTTTGAAATTTTCCAAATACGACCCAAGAAAATGAAGCCAATAATTTCAAGTTGTTTCTCCCCCCTCGGCGTTCCAGACTGCTGCGTGGAGAAGGGCGCGCTGCACCGCCACGTGTACCCGGAGCTGCGGGCAGCCTGCCGGGAGCGCGGCTACGAGCTGCACGTCGTGGACCTGCACTGGCGGACCGCGCTGGAGAAGCGGCAGGACCACGAGTTCCCGGAGCTGTGCCTCGGCGAGCTTGCACGTACGTATCCACCCTGCAGCACGCCGCCCGAACCGCCGGAAGACCGGTGGAGGCGGCAAATCTCTAGGCGCGTTTTGAGCTCCAGAGTCGTTGAATGGGACTCGAACCGAACGTGTGACCCCACCAATGAATTGCTTTCCGAACTAGGAATCCATTGTGGGGTCACACGTTCGGTTCGAGTCCTGTTTAGTGACTCTGAAGCTCAGAAAGCGTGTAGAGTTTTGGCCGCCGGCGCCGGTCTTCTGGTCCACTGCTGCGAGTGTTCGAACCCGTGTCGTTGCGGTTTGCAGGCCAGCAGGAGACGGCGTACGTGGTCCCGGTGCTGTTCCTCAACACGTCCCTGGGCACGCCACTGCTGCCCAACACCATCGAGTCGCAGGACTTCGAGAAGGCGCTCGCCAAGGCGGAGGACAAGGCGCTGCTCACCAAGTGGTACTCTCTGGACAACCATGCGCAGCCGCCCTGCTACCGCCTCAGCCCGCCCACGCGCTACATTCCGGGACTCAAGGTAGGCTACACAGTGGCTTTGGCAGAAGACCGGCGCAGGTGGCCAAAATTCTCGACGCTTTTTGAGCTGCACAGTCGCTAAACAGGACTCGAACCGAACCCCATTTAGCGCCTCTGGAGCTCAAAACGCATCTAGAAATTTGGCCGCCTCCACCGGACACTGTCAAGATCTGGTCCATTTTGGCGTTGTTCAATTGGTTCAGCCCCCTCATGCCTGGCGGTGTTCCATTTTCCAGGGGGACTGCCCGGCCGAGGGCCCGCTGTCCGAGTGGCGCCAGGAGGTCGAACGCACGCTGGCCGTGCTGCAGGCCGTCCTGCCCACCGAGCTGAGGGACACCTACCTCAGCACCGCCCTGGAGCAGGAGGTGCACAACACGGTGTGCATGTCGCAGGTGAGGCTCTGTCCTTGTTGCCCCTTGAGGACTACAATCGCATAGAGGGCCAGAAGACCGGTGGAGGTGGTCGAAATCCCGGACGGGTCCAGAATTTTGGCCGCCTGCACCGGTTTTCTGGCCCACTGTGCGTCCCGTAGAGCGAAGACGGGCTGCTTGGTGGCCTATCCTTGCCGCCGAGCAGAGGGACGATCAGACGACGGGCAGACTCAGACGGACAGATTGATTCTGATGGGCGGGCGGACGGACGGACGGACGGACGGTCAGACAGACCGGCCGAGTGTGGAGGGTGGCGCGAGGCTCGTTTATTGAATGAAGCATTGCCTGTTTGCTTCCCCTCCACCAGGAGATGGCGCGGCGTACGCTGTGGCTGCACCGCGTGTACACACACCAGCCCCCCGCGGACCCCGCCGCCCCCACCCCCACCCCGCAGGAGGTGGAGCTGCGGCGCCGCCTCGACGGCATCCACCAGCTGCTCAAGGTACGACACGGCGCTCAGTGGGCCACAAGACCGGTGGAGAAGTCAAAATCCCAGACGCGTTTTGAACTCCAGAGAACCGAACGTGTGACCCCACAAATGGATTCCTTGTTCGGCGAGCAATCCATTGGTAGGGTCACACGCTTGGTTCGAGTCCCATTTCGCGACCTGCAGCTCAAAACGCGTCTAGAGTTTCTGCCACCTCCACCGGTCCTCTGGCCCACTGTGCGTCCCTGTGTGCGCACGGAAGTTCGGCCGGCAAGTTTGCGTGCTCTAATCGAGTTGTTGTTCGGCAGGCCCAGCTCGTGGAGAAGCACATCCTCCGCATGTCCGTCAAGTACTGCGACGGCGGGCTGCCGCCGCCCGACCAGCCCGAGCACACCCAGTACGTGTCCGACGTGACGGCGCAGCTGTCCAGCTCGCTGCGGAACATCGTGGACGCCATCATCGACGAGGACCAGGCCCGGGTACGGCACCGCTTTGTCGGTTGAACTTGCACCTGTGAGGGAAGTTGGAATTGAAAGAGCGTTTCCCCCGCAGACGGTGGGCAAGCCCGGCCTCGGCCTGGACAACCGGTTAGTGCTGGAGCTGGGCCACCAGGCCGGCGTCTGCCAGCGCGCCTCGCAGTGCAGCGTGAACCGAGACGCCGTCATCGCGCAGGTCAAGAGCTACGTGGAGGGCAAGTGCCGCGCGCCGCTGGTGGTGACGGGCCCGCGCGGCTGCGGCAAGTCCACGCTTTTGGCCAGGGTGGCGGAGAGCAGCTCCACCTGGGCCTGCTCGGCGGCGGCGGGCACCGCTGCGCCACTGCTCGCGCTGCGCTTCTGCGGCGTCTCGGCCGAGTCCATGACCTTGGAGAGGGTCCTGGCCAGCATCGGGCAGCAGTGCCAGCTGCTGTGGAACGCCGGTCACGCCTGGGCCAGCCACGTAAGTTTCACGAAAGTGACTTCGCAGTTGGACAGAAGACCGGTGCTGGCGGTCAAACTCTAGACGCGTTTTGAGCTCCACAGTCGCTAAATGGGACTCTAACCAAACGTGTGACCCCACCAATTTGGTGATATTTGGGGAATGGGATTTTTACCGCCTTCACCGGTCTTCGGCCCACTGCTTTACTTTCCCAAGTTTTACCACCCAACCTACCCTTCCCTCTGGCCTGCCTGCAGACCGTGGACAGCTGGCGAGAGAAGCTGCCCGAGCTGCTGGCCGGCGCGGCCTCCAAGCGCACGCTGGTCGTCATGCTGGACGGCATGGACCTGCTCAAGGCCTACGGCACCGTCAGCGCCGACTGGGTCCCCGCCGAGCTCCCCGACAACGTGAAGCTCATCGTGACGCTGTGGGACGGCAGCGGCATGCTGGCCGCGCTCCGGGCGCGCCTGCCCGCCAGCGCCTTCATCTCGGTGAGGGACAAAACAACAACAAAACCAACAACAACAACTAGCCCGACTAACATTGCCGCGTCGCGCAGATGCCGAAGCTGGACCAGACGGAGGCGGCCGGCGTGCTCAACGCCTGGGTCATGCAATACAACCACAGCGTGCCGAAGCGCGTCCAGGACTGCGTCATGGCCTCGGACTGCACCTTGCCGTTGCACGCCAAGGTGCTGGCCTGGCAGACGTCCTGGGAGCAGAGCGTCACGCCGCGCGGCAACGTGGAGGACCAGCTGCAGCTGCTGCTGGACCAGCTGGAGGAGATCCTCGGCAAGAAGCAGGTGAGCGCGCGCTACGCGTGGCCGAGGGCGCAGCGAATTGCAGAGCTGAATTACGAGTAGCGGGTTCGAATACCGGTGGCCGGGTTTTTTTTTCGCAGGTGGCCCACGCCGCGGCGCTGGTCTCGGCCGCCAAGTACGGCGTCAGCGACTCCGAGATGCTGGACCTGCTCGCGCACGACGCCGCCTTCCACTCCACCGAGACCCACGGTAAGCACCGCCGCCCAAAACTCTAGACGCGTTTTGGGCTCCAGAGTCGCTAAACAGGACTCGATCCGACCGTGTGACCCCACCAATAAATTCTTCGTTCGGAGAGTAATCCATTGGTGGGGTCACACGTTCGATTCGAGTCCCAGTTAGCAACTCTGGAGCTCGAAACGCGTGTAGAATTTTGGCCGCCTGCACCGGTCTTCTGGCCCGCCGCGCGCCGGCACCACGATGACGCCCTCGTCTGCCTACAGTGCCCTGGGCGCCGGCCTGCATGTTCTGGGCGCGCTTCAACAAGCTGCTGGCCCCGTTCCTGCAGTGGGTGCTCTGCGACGGCGAGCTGGTCTTGCAGTGGCGGGACGCCGCCGTCCGGGACGCCGTGGACGCGCGCTACAAGGAGAAGGAGGGCGCGGCGGCGGCCAAGGCCCTGCTGGACTACTTCCAGGTAACCGAGGGCCCCTTTGACCACCTTCCCAGGCCCAGGCAACCGCCGGCGTCCCGAGTGGCCGCGTGGTGAACGGAGTGGCGACTCACCGGGATATTCGAGCTACTCTTAAAAAAAAAAAACTTTCATAAGCAATGGCAAGCGAAAGCGCCTTGTTCAATCGTCCATGGTCTTTTTCTTCGAGACCACGACCAACCACGGCGCTCCGGCTGGGTTGTCTGGGTCTGGGTGTCTCTCTCTCTGGCAGCCGTTCACACAGTGCGTTCTGCAAAGTCCTGTAAAAACGTGCCCATTTGACTCGGTCTGTGGTGTTTGGTGGTGCTTGCTAGGGGTCTTGGTGGGCGGAGCGGTCGCCGCCACTCCTGGGCAGGCTGCAGCCCATGTGCAACCTGGCCAACCCGGACAAGTGGTAAGGCCAAGGCCGACGGCCACCCTCGCCTCGTCTAGCCTCGTCTAGCCTGCATGCTGACCAGCGGTGCCACCCCTTCTCTACTCTTCTGTCTCTTCTTGTTGTTGTTTGTTAGCACTATGCCGTTTTTTCTTTCTTTTTGGGTGTGTTCTATGTTTGTTGTAGTTGCTTACGCCAAAGGCCTGCAGAGGCCCAAACAGCGCTGATGATGATGCGCGTGTGTCCGCTTTGTGGACGTCACGCAAACCCACCCCGTGGACGGGTCCCGTTGCGCAGCTTTTTATTTTGTTGTTTTATTTTACTGCGGACTTTGCATGCCGACTTTGTTGCAGACCTGCATGGGCGCGGTGTGTGCGCTTCAGTGCTTCTTGTGTTCTTCTTTCTGCTTGGTTTTGTCCGCGGTTTTTTTTTGTGTACCTGCATGTTTGCATGTTTTTAAATGGCGCGACTACTTCAGCCGGGGCTATGACTGTTTTTGTTCGCTTAGATAAAAAGAAATTTGCATTTTCTGTCTATTTGCAGTGTAACCTTGTTTTGAATTTGACAAACTGAAGCTACCTCAGCCAGTGTGGCGCCTCTGTCCTCACAGTGCGTCCTCGTTGTTGTAGCTACAACAGCCGGCGGCTGCAGGAGCTGCCGTTCCAGGCGCACGCCGTCAAGGGCTCCATCAAGAAGGACTTCCTGCTGGACCTGGGCTGGGTGTACGACAAGGTGTGCGGCACGGACGTGTTCCAGGTAGGCGTCAAAGTCAGCGAAATGAGCATATTCTGGCGTCGCACAGTGGGCGAGAAGACCGGTGGAGGCGGCCAAAATTCTAGACGCGTTTTGAGCTCGAGAGTCGCTAAATGGGACTCAAACCGAGCGTAAGACCCCACCAATGGATTTCTCGTTCGGAAAGCAATCCATTGGGGGGTCTACGCGTTCAGTACGAATCCTGTTTAGCGACTCTGGAGCTCAAAACGCGTCTAGAATTTTTGCTCCTTCGCCCACTGTGCGTCGTCAGTGCAATATCTCGAGCCATGTCCTGCTGCAGGTCCTGGAGGACATCGCGCTGGAGCGCTCCAGCGACGCGGACGTGCAGTGGCTGGAGGCGACCCTCCGGGACGCGGCGCCGGCGCTCGCGCTCGACGGCCGCCAGCTCCACTCGCAGTTGTTCCGGCGGCTGACGCTGGACTTCCCGGCGGCGACGCCGCCCCCGGCCACCGCCCCCGGCACGGCCCCCACCGCCCCCGAGCCCGCCGAGTGGGTGTCGGTGGCGGCGGGCCGCGCGCTGCCGCGGGACGCCCTGGCCGTGTGCGTCGCGCCCCCCGCGCCCGCGCTGCTCCCCATCCCCGCCAAGGTCCCCGACGACCTGCCTGACCGGCTGGACCTCGTGGTGCGCATCCGCGACTACCCGGACTACGTCGTCGCCGTGTCCACCGCCAAGGAGGAGATCGCCGTCTGGGACATCCTGAGGTACGGGCCCTACTACACCCTCACCGCACAGTGGGCCAGAAGCCCGGTGGAGGCGGTCTAAATCCCGGAGGCAATTTGAACTCCGAGTCGCTAAATGGGACTAGAACCAAAAGTGTGACCCCACCGGTCTACTATGCACCGTACCATGCCCCAGTGTCTGAAACAAAAACAAAACAATTCTAATGGGATTCGAATCCTCGCCTCCAGGTGCGAGCGAGTCCGCGTGCTGCGCGGCGTGCCGCAGCCGCTGAGCCTGCAGCCCGTGGACTCGACGCGCTGCATCGTGCTCTGCCAGCGCGAGCTGCGCATCTACGACCTGGACGCCTGCACGCTGCTGGCCAAGCTCAAGGGGGTCATGAACCAGAAGATGCCGTACTTCGGGCTGCACGACCAGTCGCACCTCGTCGCGCTGTCCAGGAACAGGTGAGCCCGTCGTCCACCGAGTGGCACACAGTGCGCCAGAAGACTGGTGTAGGCGGCTGAAATCCCGGACGCGATTTGAGCTCCAGAGTCGCTAAAAGAGACTCGAACCGAGCGTGTGACCCCACTAATGGATTGCTTTCCGAACGAGGAATCCATTAGTGGGGTCACACGTACGGTTCTAGTTTCATTAAGCGACTCTGTAGCTCAAAACGCGTCTAGAATTTTTGCCGCCACTATCGGTCTTCTCACCCACTGTGTGATAGTGCAAACGCTAGTCGATGCATCCTAAAGCTGGTGTCGCCCTGCAGGATGTACGTGAACCTCATGAACCTGGACTCCGGCGACTGCGTGACCACCTTCAAGGCGGGCGAAGACCGCTTCCTAAACTCGCTCCTCGTCTCCGGGGACGGCCGGTAAGTAAAATCTCAGAGCCTCACAGATGTTTCCGGTCACAGTGGAACGCCGGCTTCCTTCGTCGAGCGCCTGCGAAGTGCCGGGTAGGCTGTCCCGCACTGCACCCGTGTTCGGCGGGCTGGCCTACCCGGCGGTTCGCAGGCGCTGTCCAGGGTAGGCTGTCCCGCACTGCGCCGTGTTCGGCGGGCTGGCCTACCCGGCGGTTCGCAGGCGCTGTCCAGGGTAGGCTGTCCCGCACTGCGCCCGTGTTCGGCGGGCTGGCCTACCCGGCGGTTCGCAGGCGCTGTCCAGGGTAGGCTGTCCCGCACTGCGCCCGTGTTCGGCGGGCTGGCCTACCCGGCGGTTCGCAGGCGCTGTCCAGGGTAGGCTGTCCCGCACTGCACCCGTGTTCGGCGGGCTGGCCTACCCGGCGGTTCGCAGGCGCTGTGCCGATTGCGATTTTCTTCGAAAACGGTCGGCCTTTGCGATGAAATGTATGAGAGAGAGGTAGCACCTCGCCACGGTTTGACACGTGTTGTGGTGCCGCAGCGTGCTGGTGTGCGGTGACGAGACCCAGAAGCCGTTCCCGCTGCTCGTGTGGAACCTGGCGTCGCGCAAGCTGCTCTACGACCTGCGTATTCCTCACCACGACTTCGTGACGTCACTCGCCGCCATCACTCACGAGGGCCACTACGTGAGCTGCGTCGCGCAGGTACAATCAATCCCAAAAATAAGTGTGTCCTCTTCCTTCTGTTTTTTTGGACTTGACTGAAGTGTTCCTGCGGTTCGCGTTCGCAGGAAGTGGACGAGCCGAGCGCCAACTTCATCGTGGTGTACGACCTGCAGTCCGGCACGCTGTTCAAGAAGTGGAAGCCGGGCGTCAACACCGTGTCGCTCAACATCTCCTCGCGCGACGGCTGCGTCATCTCGGGGCTGCAGGACGGCCGCGTGCTCGTGTGGGACCTCATCACGGGTCCGTTCAAATCCAAAATTTTTTTTAAATTTTCTCTAAATTTTTTCAATGTTTTCCAAAGTTTTTCAAAATGTTCTCCAATTTGTCCAACATTTCTCCTTTTTCTTCAAAGTTTTCTTCAATTTAAAAAAAGGTTTTTTGAACTGTTTTTAAATATTTTTGAGACGGCATTTTAATATTAGTGTCGTGGTTGCAGGCAACTGCCGTTGGACGCTGTCGGGCCACACGGCCCCCGTGGACTACCTGCGGCTCGACGCGCAGGGCGGCACCTTCTTGTCGGCGGACTCCAAGTGCCGAGACAGATCACTCAGACTATGGGACCTGAACAAAGGTACCGTCCACTCCCTCGCTCAGTCTAAATTTCTATGCACATTTTTTGTACGAAGCCTCGCGGCACGAAGTCCTTACGTGGTTTCACGTGAAAATTTGGACGAAAAATTGCACAAGAATTCGTGCGACTTCGCTGGTTAACTAAATTTCGCGTGCTTACAAAGTTGCATGAAAAAATTTGACCGTGAGAGACCACTTCCAAAATTGTGGTAATGCCTTGGCGGTGTAGCCGCTCGTCCCGTCGAGACATGATGATTTGGTGCCGTTCCCCAGGGACGCTCGTGGCAGTGTACACGGCGCGGCAGCCAGTCACGGCGTGCGAGGTGACGCACGGCGGGGAGGTCCTGGTGCTGGCCGAGGAGGGCGCGGGCCACCCCACCACGCTGCGCCTGCGCGGCCGCGCCGCCACCACCCCGCCCGGCCTCGCCGGCCCCGGCCCCGCCCCGCCGCAGCCCGGACAGCCCGGCCAGCCCAGCCAGCCCAGCCGGTACTTCGGCCAGCCGCAACACCACGGCCGCATCGTCGACTTCAGGTGAGAAGAATGGGGCATTCGGGATTCGAACACAAGCACGTGGCGGCTAACTACTTACCCGCCTGAACCAGCACACAGTGGGCCAGAAGACCGGTGGAGGAGGCCAAAACTCTAGACGCGTTTTGAGCAACAGAGTCGCTTAATGAAACTCGAACCGAACGTCTGACCCCACCAATGGATTCGACGTCCGGAGAGCAAGTCAGTCACTGGTGGGGTCACACGTTCGGTTCGAGTCCTTTTTAGCGACTCCGGAGCTCAAAACGCGTTTAGAGTTTTGGCCGCCTCTACCGGCCTTCTAGACCACTGTGCACCGGAACAAAGCCTGTGGTTCAAACTTAGCGTCTGCGCTAACTCCTGCTAATCCAAGCCCGCTCCGGTCCCGTTCCGGGCGTCTGTTCCAGGTGACAGGAGACGCGGCGGCAGGATCCCCCGCTCTCCCTCCCCCTCCCCTCCCCCGCCGTCCGCACTGTCACTACTGCCACATCATTGTCGTTTGGTTGTTGAATTGAATTTCTTGTTCTTTCCATCTGTGAAAAATCTCTTAAAATAAAGTTATTGATTTCAAGGCGGCGCGTTGGTTCTTTCCGGGGCTTCAGCGCCGGAACTGGGAGGCTTGGCGGCGGGGCAGGACGGGCAGAGAGGACGACGTGGAGGACATGCTGCAGCAACAACAACAACAATTAGCATCCTGGAAAGGGGCAAAGGGAGGCAAAGTCTGTATTGTAGCGAGCAACCTTTCGGTCAGCCTTACCGGAACGTCCTGACGGCGCGGACGCAGTCCGGGGTGGGCGGTCTGGAGACGTCCTGCTCCTCGATCGTCTTGATGTGGTGGAAGACGGGGATCTGAAACGCGCCAGTCAGTCAAGTCGGCGGTGCCCCCGCGCTCGTCGTCACCGTGGTCACAGTGCATCGGCCAGAAGACCTGTGGGGGCGGCCAAAATTCTAGACGCGTTTTGAGCTCTAGAGTCGTTCCGAGCGTAGAATCTATTGGTGGGGTCACACGTTCGGTTTGAGTCCTGTTTAGCGACTCTGGAGCTCAAAACGCGTCTTTGGCCGCCTCCGCCGGCATCCTGGCCCACTGAGCGGCGCGCACGGTGCGCACCTTGGGCAGGTCGGTCTCGAGGGCGACGGTGGGCGTGCAGCCGATGGCCTTGTCGGGCAGCTCGTAGCAGTGGCCCATGAGCGGCTTGTAGAGGCGCTGGCCGTAGGTGCCGGGGAACAGGTCGTCGGCCGTGATGGGCCGCAGCGACTGCATCTTCTTGGCGCGCACCGCGCGGTCCAGCACCGTGGGCGTCAGCCACTCCACCTGGCCGCGCCGCATCACCTGCACGCCGAGGACGCCGAGACGCGGTACACTGTATTCGCCTGGACAGTTTCGAATAACAGAAAAAGTAGTGATACAAAGTGATACTCCGCACCTTGAAGCTCGTGGACGAGGACACCCTCTTGAGGTCGGCGGGGATGCGGGGTGGCTCATCCCCCGGGTCCCACTCCAGGTCCGGCGACAGCTGTGGCCACGGCAGCGCCGTCCCCAGCGTGGCGATGTACTCCCCCGACAGGGACCACAGCCGCACCGAGTAGTCTGCGCTCGAGCTGCGGGCCAGGGCCAAGCGAGCCAGTCCAGTTTGAGTGGAGATACAGTGGGTCAGAGGACCGGTGGAAGCGGCCCAAACTCTAGACGCGTTTTGAGCTCCAGAGTCGCTTAACAGCACTCGAACCGAACGTGTGACCCCACCAATGGATTCCTCGTCCTGAGGGGTCACACGTTCGGTTCGAGTCTTGTTTAGCGACTCTGGAGCTCAAAACGCGTCTAGAGTTTCGGCCGCCTCCACTGGTCTTCCGGCCCACTGTGCGACGCGACGGGAGACAACCGGCGAGTACCTGAACAGGATCTTGTTGTCGGGGCAGTACTGCAGGAAGGTGACGGGCTGCAGGTGCGCCCGCACGGAGGACAGCAGCATGGGCAGGGCCTGCGCCTTGACGGCGCGCTTGGCCCTGTCGCAGACGAGACACATTCACTCTCGAAAGAAGCGAACCGGGTGGTACTCTGCGCGTCCGCGCTTTGGCGCGAACCCACCTTCCCGGGATGCGGTCCCGGAACAGGAACGGAAACTGCTTCCTGAGGGCGGGCATGAAGAGGGGCTTGTTGCGGCCGTTGGGGTAGCAGTAGTTGGACATCAGCCAGATCTTGATGTAGCCGACAGAGTGCCCTGCAGGAAACAGTTGGAACCAGGACATAATGGAAGCTGGCAGTAGTATGCGAACTCTCGCCCGACCAAAAAACAAAAGTTAGACCAAACTATGCCAGTGGCCACAGCTGGATTGGACGTGGTGGCCGTTTTAAGTCAGCAAAAGCCTCTACTTTCAGAGATTCAGAGACTAGCTTTCCCCACCAGTGAAGAGGAAGTTGCATTCGGGGTCGGTCTCCATGCTCAGCACGTAGTCGGCCACGGTGTGCACGGCCAGGAAGTGGGTGAGGTAGCCGCCGACGGGGTGGTGCGACCACATCTGCACGTAGCCGGTGGACAGCGCCACCACCAGGGACGCCACGCCGCGGGTCACGGGCCGCGCGCGCAGGAACCGCAGCTGGTGCACGCGCGGCGGCCTGCCCTGGGCCCCTGCCGAGACGAGTCGCTCTGTCTCTCTCGCACTCGCGCGGTGCGCATGGTGAGTGCGAGAGAGGCAGACTGCCGACGGCAGGAACAGATTGGAGCCCACGGGACTCGAACCTGTGCCCTTCCGGTGATTGCTGACTCCTCAGCCCACTCAGCTACCAACTCGCTCAGATGAAATTGCTCCGAAACTAGCACTGATGCCTCGTTTACAAAGGCCTCCAGGACACGCCCCCGCCCACCTGTCGATCTGGGCATGTGGACTGGTGTCCAGTACCGCGGCGGCTTCACCTCCGTCTCGACGTAGTGGGACATCCCCGACCTGCGAACCAGGAGGCACAGGAGCAAATTCGAAAAGTCGGCTCGGGGCGGCGGCGAACCCGCGACGGCGAACTGACTTGTGCACGGGCTCGTCGACGCGGTAGCGGCCGTAGGGCTGGCCCGTCTCCAGGCGCCACATGATGAGCTCGCCGTTGTCCGTGGCCGTGGCCAGCGCGTCCGGCGGCCGGGTGTCCGCGCACAGCACGTGGCTGGTGTGCTTCAGGTCCCAGCTCTTGCCGCGCAGCGACGCGCCGCCGTCCGCCCACTCCACGACGCGCATGTTCCAGCCCACGGCCAGGATGCGCATCGGCACCCACATGACGGCCGTCACCTCCCTGCGGGCAGTGGGCCAGAAGACCGGTGGAGGCGGTCAAAGTCCCGAACGCGTTTTGGGCTCTAGAGTCGCTAAATGGGACTCGAACCGAACGTGCGACCCCACCTATGGATTGCTCCCCGGACGAAGAATCCATTGGTAAGGTCACGCGTTCTGTTCTAGTCCTGTTTAGTGACTCTGGAGCCCAAAACGCGTCTGGAGTGCCGCCTGCCGGTCTTCTGGCAAATCCACTGTGCGGCAGATGGCCACCCAGCCCCCAGCCACGGAGGAGCGAGACTGACCCGTTGCTGCCGATGGTCATGTTCCTCACGCAGATGCCCGTGTTGAAGTTCCAGACCTTGAGCGTGCCGTTGGCCGCCCCCGTTAGCAGCAGCTGCTGCGGCGGGTCGAAGCAGGCCGCCGTGATCTCGACCGGCTCGTCGCGCCCGTAGCGCACCAGCGAGTGGGCCTGCTTCACCAGGCGGGTGCGCGAGCCGCGCCACGGGTCCCACACCATGATGCACGAGTCCATGCCCGTCGTCACCACCTTGTACCGAGAGGACCGCACACTTCATCTCTCTCGCACCCCTTCGGAGCGCGCCGCACAGTGGGCCAGAAGACCGGTGGAGGTGGACGAAATTCTAGACGCGTTTGAGCTCAAGGATCGCTTGAACCGAGCGTAAGACCCCACCAATGGATTCCTTCGTTCGGAGAGCAATCCATTGGTGGGGTCACACGTTCGGTTCGAGTCGTATTTAGCGACTCTGGAGCTGGAGCTCAAAACACGTCCGGGGTTTTGACCGCCTCCACCGGTCTTCTAGCCCACTGTGCGCCGTGAGCGGCGAAAGGACAGTGTTCCTTACGCATTTGAAGAGAGTGTTGTAGATGACGCAGGTGACGGGTGCGGTGTGCGTGTGGCCGTCGGAGCGGTCCGGGTTGAGCTGGGCGCACAGCTGGATGAGCTGGATGTCGCGCCCCGCCACCATCCACACGCGTGACAGCGGGTGGTAGTACGTCGCGTAGGGCAGTCGGTTGTTGTCCATCATGGCCGAGTACGCCTTCAACAAGGACGTCACCAGCGCGGGCGGTCAAAACTCAAAAACTCGTTTTGAGCTCCTGAGTCGCTAAAGGACTCGAACAGAACGAGCAATCCATTGGTGGGGTCACACGCTCGGTTCTATAGTCCCATTTAGCAACTCTGGAGCTCAAAACGCGTCCGGGATTTTGCCCGCCTCCACCGGTCTTCTCAAGGGTCTTCCGGCCCACAGTGCCTCACCTGGATGCAGCTGTGGATGCGGCCGTCCCAGACGCGCACGCACTTGGCGGCGTCCAGGCTGAACATCTTGGTGCCCTGGATGACGATGGCCACGATGGCGGCGTGGTGCCCGATGAGCTGGGCCGAGGGCTTGTCGCACACGAAGGGGTTCCAGACGCGCAGCACGCTGTCGGGCCCGCCCGTCGCGATCATGTGCGTCTCTGCGGACCGAGGGCCGTCGCTGCTGTCTCTCTCGCACTCCCAACCAGACTAGGAGACTGACTCCGGGCGCGTCTCTCTCGCACCCCAACCGGACTAGGAGACGCTCGGCCTGCCGCCTCCACGCAGGACGCTCCGCGCTGTCTCTCTCGCACCCCCACGAAAGGCCCCATGAGTGCGAGAGAGACAGAGCCACCATACGCACCCTCCGAGGCGCAGAAGCAGTAGACGCCGCTGGGCACGTTGTATTCGTACTGGTTCTTGGTGCCCGCCGCGTCGCACATGAAGAGCGACGGCCTGGGGCAGGCGGCGCACGACAAGATGGACTGCAGCGAGGCGTAGTAGTACACCTGCCGCACCCAGTTGGAGTGCACGCGGGGGAAGTGCGCCACGCGCAGCCCCGGCAGCCCGTCCTGGGTTCAAATACTGGTTCACCCTATTCCTTTCGCCTTCGTATAACGTCCAGCCACGATGCACCAGTGTGGGAAGGGTTGCCAACCTCCGCCTCTGGGCCTTGCCCTCGAGCAGTTGCATGAGAGGCAAGTCAGACAGGCGCTAACAACCCACAGGCACTCAGTGGGCCAGAAGTCCGGTGGTGGGGTCACACGTTCGGTTCGAGTCCCATTTAGCCACTCTGGAGCTCAAAACGCGTCTAGAATTTTGGCCGCCTCCACCGGTCCTCTGGCTCACTGGTGGGAATGTTTTGCCTACTAGTGCGGCAACTTAACGCTGACTCGGCACCTTGCAGAGGTCCCTGAAGAGGACGTGGGTGGCCTCCTTGCCGACGTGCTGCCGGAACGGGCCGCACTGCACGCTGTTGAAGTTGAAGGTGCGCACGGAGCCCCCCGTGTCGCCCAGGATGAGGGTGGATTCGTCCTCGGCGCGCGCGCTCATCTGGTAGTACATCGTGACGACCGGCTTGTCCAGTCCGGAGACCTGCGGGGAAGAGGCACCGCTCTGTCTCTCTCGCACTCATGCGGCGTTCCGTGCAGGTGTGAGAGAGACAGGAGTGACAAGCTTACTAGCACCCGCAGCTCCCACTTGCCCGCCCTGGTGTCGTAGAAGCGCAGCTCTCGCTCGGTCGAGCTGGTGCACATCATGTTGACGTCGGGCATGCACACCAAGTCCGTCACCCACGTGGGCCGCACCTTGAGCAGCACTGCACCACAAATTGAACGAAATTCCTTTCAAAGCGCAGCCCTCAGGCGTGTCTAGGACCCGAACCAAACGTGTGACTTCATCAATAGATTGCTCTCCGAATGAGGAATCCATTGGTGGGGTCACGAGTCCCATTTTGCGACTCTGGAGCTCAAAACGCGTCAAGAGTTCAGGCCGCCCCCAACGGCCTTCTGGCAAATCCACTGGGTACCCGTCTTGGACTGCACGAGCCGCTCCCGCTTCAGGTCCATGGTCCAGTACTGCACCGCGCCGTCGTGGCTCGCGGAGACGAATCTGCCCTGCAGGTAGTTGAACGAACGGTCCTGGGGACGGAGAAGGGAAGGCCCTCGTCAAGCCCGGCGCTCTTTCTCTGTCACACTCATGGGGCTCTCCGTAAAGGTGCGAGAGAGACAGGCCGCTCTTCCGATTGCGGGGCGGGGTGGAAACACCGAGAGGAGGGGGTGCGGCCAGACACGATCCCGAAGGACGTGTGACCCCACCAACGGATTCCTCCTTCGGAAAGCAATCTATTCCTCCTTCGGAGAGCAAATCCATTGGTGGGGTCACATGCTCGGTTCGAGTGCTATTTGGCGACTCTGGGGCTGAAAACGCGCCGGTCTTCTGGCCCACTGCGCGGCGACGCGGACTGGCGCCACTGTGCCACGGCCCTACCGCGGACACTTCGGGCCAGTAGGTGATGCGGATGATGGGGTTCCGGTGCGGCGACCGGATGACCTCGGGCAGGCCGTTGATGGGGTCGGTGAGCAGCTCGGCGGTGGCGGACGGGCCAGCCTCGCCGCCGGCAGTGCCGGCCGTGCCCTCGGCCAGCTCCACCAGCAGGTGCGACACCACCTCGTCCCACGTGATGCTGCCGCTGCGGTTCGTGTCCATCTGACGACAGTAGGACCCTGTCGGTGACCGCACTGACCTCTGTTTGCACTGCAGGGGCAAAGGGGAGAGAGAAAAACCAATAATGCGGGGGATCGAGGGGCGGCGAGTCCTTCATGGGGCACTTGAGGACCTTGTGGGAGGACAGAACAGGATCAAAGGCAGGGTGCTCGTGCAGCTACTCGTGCAGGTACTCGTGCGCACAGTGCGCCAGAAGACCGGCGGAGGCGGCCAAAATCCCGGACGCGTTTTGAGCTCCGGTGTCGCTAAATGGGACTCAAACCGAACGTGTGACCACCAATGGATAGCTCTCCGAACGAGGAATCCATGAGTGGGGTCACGAGTTCGGTTCGAGTCCTATTTAGCGACTCAAAACGCGTGAAGAGTTTTGGCCGCCGGCGCCGGTCTTCTAGCCCACTGCGGTGCGGCCGGACGGCGGACGCTACAAGCAATACAAAGTCGGTGCAGTGTTGGGGCGCCACTGGCCCGGAGTGCGGTGTGTTCCAGGCCTGTCTCACCTTGAGGAAGATGACATGGAACTCGTCGTCGCCCATGGTGATGCCGAAGGCGTTGCAGAGCAGATCCCTCAGTTCGTTGTGGTGCAGCTTTGTGAGCTCGAACTCCTACGAATCAAGATGAACTTGTCGCACTTCTATTCACTACTGAACGTCAAAAAACATTTGGCAAATCCTCACCGATCCCATCAAACGGGGCCGGTCGGGGTCCAGGTGGAGCTTACCCTGCGCACAGAAAACACACGACATAAAGTTTGTGAAGTTCACTGAATTGCTATCTATGTTAGCTCCTACCTTGAACATGTCGTGGATCGCCTCGATCTGGTCCTTGTCCAGTCTGCTGGCGAGGGACACCCTCTCCTTCGTTTCCTTCATCAGTCGGGTGGATTTTTTGCGGCTTCGAGGGGACCGCTGCAAACCAAGGGAGTCGCAGTCATGATCAAGCTCCCCGCGGAACGCCTGGGAGGTAGGCAGCGCATTCGACGTCCACGTGTCTGGGTTGCCCGAGGCGCGTCGTACCGAAAAGAACGCGGTGCACGTGGGCCGAAAGACCGGCGCCGGCAGCCAAACCTCCAGACGCGGTTTGAGCTCTAGAGTCGCTAAATGGGACTCGAACCGAGCGTGTGGCCCCACCAATGGATTCCTCGTTCGGAGAGCAATCCATTGGTGGGATCACACGTTCGGTTTGAGTCCCATTTGGCGACTCTGGAGCTCCAAACGCGTCTAGAGTTTCGGCCGCCTCCACCGGTCTTCTGGCCCACTGTGGGTCGGGTTGTGTGTACCTTGTGTCCCGCGCTGCCTCCCGAGGACCCGTTGTCGGTGTGCGTCGGCACGCCCAGGAACGCGCCGTCCGTCGTGAAGGACATGTTGTCCGGGAGCCGCGGCTTCTCGGCGTCCTCTGGCCTGGCTTGTCAAGTGGAGACTGAACCCTCACCCTCCCACCACCCGCCCCGCCCCGCCGCCCCTGGGGCTCTCGCGGTGCCCCCACGCGTCAGCGCGTCGCAGACGTCTTCCCCGGTCCCGGCCTGGACCGCCAGCAACGCTTGCCGGGAAGCATGGACATGGAGGACAGTGTTTGTGTGGGTGAGAGTGAGAGGGAGGAGGATGGACAAGTGGCATCGTACACCGAGCTGGTCCTTACTGGCAGTCACGCCCAGGGCGAAGGCTTGCCGGGCTGTGCGCCCCACCGCCCCACCCTCCTGCACCGCCAACAATTCAACCACCTGTTCATGGCTCAGTGTTGCCATGGCACACTCTCTCTTTCTCACTTCGAAATTCCGGTGAGGCAGCCCACGCTGACAGGGTAGGAATTGATAGAAATACAAAGAAACTTAAATCAAGGAGATCAACATCTTTTAATAATTAGTCTCATTGCCAATCATGGAATGAGGTAATACTTTTGTGATGCGAAACCATGCATTAGGAAAATACAGGTACCTTAATAAACCTTATCAGCTCTAATGTCAAAGTAAACTAGAAATATCACATTCTTTAAAAAGTTTCATGATTGAACAAACAATGCCATAACACTAAATTTAAAATAACAAAAATCAAATAATACAAAAGCAATGGCTGATGACAAGAATTAAAGAATATTTAACAAAAGTTCCAACTTTTAATCACACAAAACCCAACGAGTAGTAGATGTTTAGGGAAATACCTGGTGTACTTGTTCTGCAAATCAGACAATTGGCACTTGCACACTGATTGAAACAACATCTACAAACATCATCCTCGTCTCTATCATAGAATGAACTGAAGATCAATGAACATCAAGGGAACTCACCAGTAGTTTCGTTAAACAATACTTAAGAGTTAGTTGGTCACAGATACAAAATTACAATGACTATAAAAATAAATAAGTTTAAACATTTAAAAGAAATTGCACTGATCAAGGTGGTCATTCATTTTAGTAGTTTCAATCATTCTCAGGCAACATGGACAAGGGTACAGCCGTTCACCTGTATCAGAGACACGTTTAGATGGGGAACCAACAGCAGCATCCTCCTCTTCATCACTCATTTCTTCATCAAACACATTGGACAAATCTTGAACACTGCAACTTGCGCAGTTGTCAAGATGTTTATCCATATCTGCTGCAAGTATACTTTCACAGCAAATGGGACACTTGGCCTTTGCATCTCTATTGGGAATAAATAGTACATCATCATCTACAGCTTCATCATCAAATGAATGGCTCAGGCATGAGGATAAATGGGAGTCAAGTTCACTCTCCAATATTTTCTTATTACAACCTGGGCACTCAACAAAATATTCTGTTTTGATAGACTTTGCCTCCTTGTCTTCCAAATCTTCATCATCACTTAAAACAATCACGTCATCAGTTTTAACATCAGCCTCAGGAGGGGGATTATTGAAGCACTCATCCAGATGAGAGTTTATCTCTGACTCATAAACTTCCTTGTTACACACAGGACAAGTCACTCGTACACGATCAGAAGTACTCGATTCTCCATCAAGCAACTTCTTTTTATTAGGAATGTCCCCACTGGACTTAGGAGAAAGTCTTTTGGAAGGCTCAGCAGTGATCTGAAAGTCATTCTCTTGTTTGGTGAAAGCAGGGTAACTACTTTTTGGAAACAGGCTGGGTTTCTTTGGCAAAGACCCTGGAGCAGTAGAAGAAGAGGTGACCGGCTTTTGAGGAGCCCCCTTACCAAGAACATAGCCACTTCCAGAAAATGCTTGTATTGGGGCAGATGATGGGCCAGGCTCTGATGTCGTGCTGTTTGATGGACCTGGCGAATCTCGAAATTTGTTGGAAGTCCCAGACACAACAAGGGTTCCACCCCCTTTGTTAGCCAACATTCCTCCATAAGCACCACCTCTCTGGTAAGGTGGTTTTCCACTCCCTCCAAGAGTGTAGCCTTTTCCACTAGGTTGACTTGATCCTGTTGGCTGCTTTCTTCCTTGACCCTGCATGTCTCCAAATCCGAAAACATTGTTCACAGCTGGGTTGGCAACAGGTTTGAAGGATGATGCATCACCTCCTCCAAAGCCATGCACATTGCTCATGGTGGGTTTCTTAAAAAGAGCACCTTGCGGAGTGCCACCAAAAACGTCCTTAGGGGGAGCAGCACCAACTTTGGGAAAATTATTAAAGTTGTTTGAGCCACTGGTGCCAGGCATGTTGTTTGATTTCCCCAGTCCACCCACCGGCATTGACGATGGCCCCTTAGTTGGGAAGAAAGAACGAATATCTCCGCTATTGCTTTGATCTGCAAGGGAAAAATAAAATTCTGAAAGATCTCTAAAAACAATATGTCAGACCACTTCTTAAATACATCCTGTATCTTTACCTGATTTACTTTTGGAGTCTGATGATTTCTTTTTAGTGTTTTCAGGCTCTCTTACTTTGACGAACCGGCCGCCACATGTATCTTGATGCTGCTTCCACCAATTGTCTGCAGGACCTGGGGCTCGATTCATTGTACGTCGAACCATGCCAAAAAAGGGTGGTCGCTTGTGGCATGGCCCACTGCACCGCCACCAGTGCTGTTGGTAAAGGCGCACTTCATCGTGGAATGAATGATAAACCTGAAATATAGCCATTGGATAGTTTTAAGAAAACAATTCAATTATAAATCTCTGAGGCGTTCCATCAGAAGGTTGGACCAGTATAGTCCACAGGAGTCCAAGTGTATACCAGTAAAACTGGGGCTGTGATGCATTATAAAACTTCAAATAAATGCTTACTGAAATATGAGTGCCAGCCTCTTGATTGATGCGGTTCATATGTTTATGGAATTCTGGGCCATGTCCGTCTCTGTCTCTGTTGTTCTTGGTGATAAATAAAAAGGCGTGAATCATCTCATGCTGGAACCAAGTCAAAGTGACAGTTTAGTGCTGCTAATAACTTCAAGTTAAAATGAAGTATCTATGGCCAAACAATGGATAATTTTTCCTTTGACCTACTAGAAGAGTTTCCACCAAGTCTTTCCGGGGGCGTAGTTTCAGAAGGGGAAGGCTAAGTCGCACGGAGCAGAATCCTGACCGCCCTTGATAGACACAGACTCCAGCACAGCTGTAAAACAATCATTGGTGAAGTGATGAAATCAAGGAGTTAAGAAGTATGAAACAAAGAAGTCGACTTACGAAGTCATTCGGTTACTCCATTTAACTTCAACTGTGTGCAATTTGCCCCAGAAAAATCGATCATTGAACTGAAGAAACAACACATGAATGTCTGGTGTCGGATCGATGAACTCCCATTGAGGGTCCACGAGTGATTCAGTCTTCTTATCGTTGTTTCTCTTCTGGACTTCTTTGCTATTCCATTGTTCCTGCAAAACAATGTCAATTGTGTCAAGCACAAGGAGTTTTTGGTTCAATACCAAGAGAGACCAGAGAAATTGATGAAACACCAATCACACACCTGTATCATTTCCGGACGATCCTCATCATTAAATTCATTTTGAAGGAGAAGTGCTAGCTGGTAATCTTCATCCATTTTCGTGAAGTTTTCTTTGTTCAGTACGAAATTGACAGCAGACTTGTGGGTAGCCGTATCAAAGCTTACATCGGAAATAATGAGGAACAGTCTACGTAACAACAATGAATTGTGAAATTAATTGACACAATTGATTGCAAACCTCAACCTTTAACCTCACCTTAACTCAAATCCAAACAAATCAGCGCCGTTTGTAGAAGGATATGAGAAATAAAGTCATGTACTGCCACTATTTGCAGGGAAATTGTCCTGCCAGTAACTGCCCCCTCCCCTTGCGTGTTGTCGAGCCGCCGCTTCCCGCCGCTTCCCGCGCAACTCCACTTTCTGTAGCGTCTGCGCTGCGGTCCACGCTTCACTTCACACCCGCCGCTTCATCAGTTTCTGATTTCGTTGACCCCTTGTGTTGTTACCTGTCAAAATTGGAAACATGTCGGGTGAAGACGAAAAGGCTCAAGTCGAATCCCCCGAGGTGAGTACTTGGGCTCAGAAGCCGGGAAGCTTAATTCGTTTGCGCGAATCGTGTCTGTCAGTGCCTAACTTTGAACCTAGATCAACCGGTACGAGTGGTCTGCCGCCCTACATTGTTAAAAAGGCGGGAATTCACTCTAGAGAGGCATTTTACATCTTATCTGGACTTTATAATAAATAGTTCTATTCCATTTATGTGTACTTTAGGCTGGATACATTCTTAGCTTATCACTGTACCCTTTTTCTTAACATTTCTTGTCTTAAATCTGTGGTACACCCGTCCTCGGTAACCTTCATTCATTGCCTCCATTCATGTCTTCACTCACTCGGCTGTGGCGGATATTCCGTCTCTGGTCAGGAAATGTCAGTGTTTCCTTAAAAAAAAATATATTTTTCCTCCCAAACTAGTTGCTGCATTTCATTTGTACTTCTATTTGTTCAACCAATTGATAAAAGTGCAAGAACTCACTCCGCAGTTGTTGCGCCGCTTTGCCAAGCGAGTTAAAGGCGTCTTCTCTGAGTTTCGACTGTAATCATAATTTTTGTTTACAGGTTGAGGCAAGCAAAGAAAAACCAAAGTCTGATTCCAAAATGGACAGTGACAAAGAAAAGGTGGTGAATGGTGAAGAACAGAAAGATACCAAGAAGGCACCGAAAAGAAAAGCTGCTGTGATCAAGAAAGTTGATGATAGTGAAGATGCTGAAGCTGAAACTGATGGTATGTATTCTTGCACATAAATAAAATTACCAATTTGAGCATTTATTTTTCAAATTAATTTGGTTTTAGAGGTGAAGAAGAGTCCCAGGAAAAAAAAGGCACCGTTGCCCAAGAAGTCCCCTGCCAAAAAATCAAAGAAGAAAGAGTCCAGTGATGAGGAGGAGGAGGAAGATGAAGAGTCTAAGGAAGAAACTGCCGTCGCTAAACCTACTAAAAAACAGGATAACTCCAAGAAGGGGAAAAAAAATGCCAAGGATGACGATGATGATAAGGAAGGAAGTGAAGTTGATGATGAGGAGAAGGAGGAGTCAAAGAAAGAAGATGTTCCCAAGAAAGCCAATAAGAAACAGGATTCTCCTAAGAAAGGGAAGAAAGATGTCAAGGATGATGTTGATGAAAATGGAGAAAGTGAAGAGGAAGATGAGGTGCCAGAGCCTAAGCCCAAGAAAGGTGGTAAGTACTTGTGTTCCTCAAATCTCTTATCATTTTAGCTTGTTAAAAACTTATTAACTTATTATCTGCTGACATTTTGTGCATGTAGTACCTCTTCTTGACCAACCTCTGGAAATTACCGGTTCTCGTGAAAGGAAGAAAGTTGCGAGATTTGTATATGTTGCACCAGAAGAAAACAAGAAGCCCTTTACAGTTCCTGAAGGAAAAGGAACCAAACTTGGAGATATCCCAAGAATAGAGTACCAAATCAATGTAAGCAAATTAATTGTTTATTATTTTTGCATTTGTTTGTCTTTTACATGGGTTTGGAGTGTAATTTATCTGGTTTGTTTGGTTCCTTTCAGAAAGTAAAGACCGATGAGTTAGTAGGTTTGAGCAAAGTACTCTTCGGAAGTCGAAGACCTGTAAGGACTCTTCTCAAGAGGTCTTGGCGTAACTTCAATGGCTATGATTTTGATGACTCCTCAGATCAGTGGGAGAATAAGAAGCAATCATTAGTCAAGTATGGGCACTGGCTTTTAATGGACTTCAATTGATGTCTCTTCCTTGGTTCTTACCTTTTGCCCTGTTTCAGGCTGGGTTCAAAGTCACTGAAGAAAGTTTGTGAGGTGTTGGATTTAGAAAGGTCAGGTACTGTGGCAGTTATCATTGACCGTATTATGGAGTTTTGCAAGGAACCCAAAGACAGTGGAAAGAAACCACCTGCACCAAAATCAAAACGAAAGTCCATCAAAGGCAAGAAAGGGAAAACTGTTGCTGAGTAAGTTTCAGGCCTGCATGCTAAGAGTTAGTCACCTGAAAGATGTTTCATCTCTCATGTCTGTTTAACAGCTCTGAAGACAGTGATGCTAAACCTGCACGCTCAAAGCGAGGAAAAGGTAAACGTGTTACACTGAAAGATGTCTCAGGCTCTGAGTCTGAAGAGAAGCCCAAACGCTCAACCGGAAGAACAGTAAAGAAATCTACCTACAAAGACGAGTCTTCGGAGGATGAAAGGAAGTCTGAAAGTGAAGATGAAGAGAAAGAAAAGGTTGAGCAGGAGAAGAAGTCTACCAAGAGTGAGTCTGGGGATGAAGTGGAAAAGAGTGAAGATGGTGACAAAAAAAATGAAAAGGATGAAAAAGAAGATGACGATGACAAAGAGGAAGAAAAGGATGATGATGTAGAGGAAGAGAAGGTATGTTAGTGTGGCTTCATTTATACTTATTGATAATATGGTCAACCCAAGTGTACTTCAAATTCTTAATTCTTTCAGACAAAGGGCAAGAAGGGCAAAAAGGCGGCTCCAAAGAAAGCACCTTCTAAGGCTGCCAAGAAAGCTTCACCTAAGAAGGCACCAGCCAAGAGGAAGAAGGAAGAATCTGAAAGTGAGGCAGAGGCGAATGAGGCTGCGTCGTCTGATGATGATGAGCCACTAGTGAAAAAAGCCAAGGCTCAGGCCCCTCCTACGGTATGCTCACCTAATTGTTAAGGAAAATCATTGTGATAAGGGACATTTGATTCCACTTTCTTGTTAAGTAGTGCTAATGAATGTGTTCTGTTCCAGGATGAAGAAATAAAGACCTATGTAACAAAGATTCTGGAAGGAGCTAACTTAGAAGAAATCACCATGAAGACAGTGTGTAAGCAGGTCTATGAAAACTACCCAGATCATGATCTTGCTCACAAGAAAGATCTCATTAAAGAGACAGTTCGATCGGTAGGTTGATGAGCCACATTGCTTATTTGATTTCTGTCTTCAATATTTGATATTTACAATTTGTTTGCCTTCTTTACAGCTCATTTCAAATTAAGTGAAGTTTAAAAACTTTTTGGTTCATCTGTATCATAAGAAATTTCTAGTTCAAGCTTATCTATTTTCCATCTATTCATCTCAAAGAATTGTGGATTCTTTAGGGATATCACTTCTTGTAAATATTGTTAAGAATTTTAATTTTAACGTCCATATACCTGGTTGGAAACTTAAGGTTCTTTACTGAGTAGTGCTGACTGATTTATTTTATTTGTATGACAAGTCCTTTCTTTTATATTTATAGCTATGTCAAATCCTTTCTTTTATATTTATAGCTAATGCTACTGCAGGCATGTAATATTGTTTGCTTCACATTTTAAGATGGACTTCTTATGGTGTTCTACAGGCTCTTGTTGTATCTAATTATTTCATGTAATGGAAGCCTTTTGAAACATCCTTTTAACCTGATTCTGTTCTTTATATTATGTGTAATTTTCACTAAATATGAACAACCTTTTTTATACTTAATAAAGGGTTTACTTTTAATTCTTATTTATTTTACATTTCATCCAAAACAAACTACCACTACTTTGCAACAATCTTGTCTGATGTACAAAAATCTGGCAAACCCTAATATTTAATTTTTAAAGACTTAACTAGCTACTGACAGAAGAAGTCTTGCTGACAAGCTCAGGCTTTTCACTAGAATCGCTGGAAGAATCTGAGGACTCCTCTTCTGTAGCAAGGTGTTTCTTGGCAGGACTAGGCTCATCAGAGTCTGATGGTGCTTTTCTCTTCAGTGAATTTTCTTCTGTTTCTGATTGATCATCTGAGCTGTCCACTGAATCATCACTAAACTCCTCCTCTTCAAACATAAATCCCTTCCTTGTGGTGGGTTTCTTCACTGCACCACTACTGCTGGGATTAGAGGTAGATGCCTGGAAGCCTTTTTCCACAGCGTCATGAACAACATCGGTTAGTTTAGATCTTTCTTCTTCATATTTCTTGTCAGAAAATTCAATTTTGGGCTCTGAGCGCAGTTTGTCCAACTTCTTTTGTTTACGTTCCAGAGCTTCACGTTCACGATCTGCCTTTTTGCTTATCCAGTTTTTCAATCGTTTTTCTTCATTTATATCTCGCAACCTACGACCACTCAAATCGCGACAAGCCTCCCGGTTGGTTGTTTTTTCAATCTGGGCACCAATGGCTCGCAACATGGAACCAAAACCACCTTTCCCACCCAGTAGCCGAGGAACAACCCTGACAACACCATCTGATATGTGGGCATCATCTTGTATTCTCTTGCCATTGTGGATGAAGTAAATTTCGCCTTCAGAGAAGGGGAGACTTTCCTGAGCCCAACTAAACAAGCCGCTCAAGCTAGCACCACCATGGACGTATGTTGGATTTTTGAAAGCAGGAGACAGAGCTCTTTCGACGTAAATGGTCAGCATTGTAATGAAGGGCAAGTTGTAAATGCCGAGAAAAGTAAATGTTCTTCTGGTCCTTGAGGTTACTGTGGCTCTGTGCAGTCAAAATACCAACAATCAGCGGGTTACAAGAAATTGAATACAGTTCAGACCTTCAGTTTTATAACCAAATACTTACCTAATCAAAAGATCGAGAGATTAGACTTTTGAATTATGACAGCAAATTCGCACACAGCTTCTGATTCTAGACCAAAACAAAACGGTCCGTTGTTGACGTTCCTTGACGAACAGACGACGAGCCACGGATAACGGTGACGTCACACTAGCCCAACGAACGTCATGCCAACTACAAACATTCAAGAAGAGGAGCAATACGACGAATCCAAACAACAAACAAAAGTTGAAGCTGAATACATTGAATTTAATGGAAAAAATTATTTGAAGTAGCCGAGGTAAATTTAAGATTTTTTGATGAATCAAAATGACTGGACTTTAATTTCATGTCGGGTGGTCATGCTGGTGAGTGGAGAACCAATCACAGATAAGAGCGGTGAGCGTGCAGTCGGCTCTAGGCCCAGTCCATTCTGTACCGCCGCTGAGACAGGAGGTAAGCAGCAGCACAGTCAGTCAGTGAGGGCCTCAACTAACTACTGTACCGAGAGTCTCTGTCTCTGGACGGGCGTTTACTCTGTAGTTGCGCTCGCAGCGTGCCTCCACTTTCTGACGTAAGCACTCGAAGCGGAGCCACTGCATTGGCTGTGGTGGCATCATCACATGCAGCGGCCAGCCAATCAGAGAGATGCCGAGCGCGAAGCGGGACTTCTCTTTCAGATACGACTTTGTTTGCCGAGGGATTTCCCTGACAGGACCTACTAGACGATAAGATATCCAGCAGGCTTGTGGCATACGTGGATCATTGTGTTGCAGACCAGCTGGAGGGACAACCATGGCAGCTTCTTGGAAAACTCACACCAAAGACAGGAAGTTCATCTTCTTCAATGAAGGTATCTTGGGCTAGAGTCCTAGGACTCTATGTTGCGCATGTTGCGTGTTTTTTGATGGTGTGGGTCAAGGTGGCCAAAACTAAAACATTTCACTTTCCTTCTCTTTAGCAAGCGAGCGTGTGGCATCAGATCCATTCTTCTTCATTCAAGGTGCTGATTGCCAACTAGGATTGAAAGACATGTATATTGCTGAGAAAAAAGGATTGCCACCTCCAACTGGTCATTACTGGGAAGATGAAATAAAACTGGCTAAAAAAGCAGTGGAGTGCATTAACAATATGCAGCCTCCTCCCAGTTTTGTGGTGATTTGTGGTGACCTTATCAACGCATTTCCAGGTAAGATTTTCAACTCTGGCACCTTGCTTTTCCTTCCGTAGAACTGTTTCTTAGTGTAATTTAATTTACAGATGCAGATAAAGAAATGCGTGCACAGCAAGAAAAAGACTTCAAGGAGATAATGTCAAAACTGAATCCTTCCATTCCCTTAGTTTGTGTGTGTGGGAACCATGATGTTGGTAATCAGCCAACACCAGAGAGTGTTGCTGTGTGAGTAAATGTACATCTCCATAAATCATTCTAAAAAATTATTTTTTTCATATTTTTTGTTTTGTTTAGGTACCGCTCTTCCTTTGGAGACGATTACTTCTCATTCTGGCAAGGAGGAGTCCTTTTCTTAGTGCTGAATTCTCAGTATTATTTTGATTCAACAAAAATACATCAGATACAAGCTGAACAGGAGGCTTGGCTGGATACCATGCTTGAGGAAGGAAAGAAAAAGGAAGCAAGGATTGTGGCATTTCAACATATTCCAATGTTCATCAAAGATGTTGATGAGCCTGATCAATATTTCAACATACCAAAAAATATAAGGAAGCCTCTATTGGCAAAATTAGAATCAGCAGGTATTTGTTCATACCCTCTCTTCTCCTTGCTTTGTTTTGTTTGGGCATTACTAATTTTAGTTTATCCTTACTTTTTAAGGTGTCACTCACATTTTTTGTGGTCATCTGCACTATAATGCGTATGGATTATATAAATCTATGGAAATTGTTACTACATCTGCAATTGGCTATCAGCTGGGGAAGGACACACATGGTATGCGTGTGGTCAAAGTTAAGGGAGGCAGTCTGGAGCACTCTTATCATTCACTGGAAAATTTTCCCAAGGAGATAACACTGTAAAGAGGTGCATTGACTAAGCTCTAACTCTTAATATATTTGATGATTTATTTTCATCATAAGAATATTTGCCCTTTTTTTACACCACATTTACTGTTTTTAAAAGTATAAATGGCATGCAATTTAATAAAATAAATTATAAATGCAAATGGAATGAAAACAATTGACACCATTTGCCTGCCACATTCTATATGTAGACAAACTCTAAGTAGGCAACACATGGTGGGTTACATCTTGTCAGTCTTTCTTCAATTTCAATTTTTTTTTTTTAATTTTTACCTGCCATCTTTCACAAGTCAATGTCATATCTAGGCTTTAGGCTAGGAACACCTCACAATAAGTTAACACTTAAGTCCTACTTGAGATCTAGATATTTTTGATTTGGTATGTAGCAGTATTCACAAAATGCATTAGCATTACGTATACACATTAGCACAAAAGCAGTTACAAAAGAGCATATACAAAAGCGGAAAGTCTCTGCTTTAGTTATCTGTAGGAATATACACCTACACTTTACACAAGAACCTAAGAGTAAAACATAGATAAAAGATTTGGCCACAGACTAGACAAGTTACTTTCCTCTGTAAGCCTCTCAGAGCTCAAGTGCTGAGCCAACTGAAATGCCCGAGTTAACACACTTGAACATAATCAATATTGAAAACTTTTGACATAATGTACATTTACTAATATTTAAAAAGAATCACAGCACAGAATTTGCTTTTGAAAATATAACATTTAAAATGGAGTAAACATAGAAAAGGTGGCACATAATAACCCTTGGCGAGCAAAGAAACACTGCAGAGAAAAATGAGTCTTCAAAGATAACCATTCTAACATTTACATTCATAATTTTTCTGATTTAAAACAAAGTTACTGAAATAAGCTCACAAATAAATCAGCCAAATGATGTGACACTTTTCACTTAGTGGAAGCTCTATTCACTGGGAGGAAGATGGATTAACAGCAATAGGTATTTCCTCTGCTTTTGGTACATCCTTCTTGGGACTCCACACATCTCTTGCTTCCCTAGAAAACAATTAAATTTAACAAGTGAAGAAAATGTTTTCTGAATAATGCATTTAAAATGTAATTACCACTGATGAATATTTACCTCAAACAGTAATCAGGAAGAAAGACCGCTTGATACCACAAGAAAGCACTGAGTAAAGTTGACCAGGTTCTCAGAGGACCAAGGAAGAAGGCCATGGTTCCATATGCAAGCCAAAAGAAGTAAGCGAACATCATCTGAAGGGCTATGAGGACTCCAAAGGCAGTCTGGCTTGGCCAACTGTCCTTAAAACACACTTTTTTGCCTTTGATTCTCCACATTAATCTGGAAACAGGATTATGGATAATAATATGAGAAAATAAGGTTTCATTTGAATGCATCGATAGAAGAACTCCTTTCGGTCTTACCTCTTGTGCAAGTAACAAGAAAGAATCAGTGTTAGAGGTACTTGTACCACAAGCAACTGGAAAATAAACCAAATGTTATTAATCGTATTTTGAGGACAGCCAGCAAACAATGACTTATTTATTTACACATTACCTGAAGAAAGCCATAGGCATAAGTAAATGATCCTGGCAAATAAGATCCATTCACAATAATACCCCATGCAAAAATTGCACCAACATGACCCTCTATGACAGCCCCAATGGACCAAGGGCCTACTGTTATATAGACAGCATAGAGAGTAAGCGGATAAAATATACGGTCAATGCTGGACAGAACCCATAATCGTCTAAGCCAAAGGTTTAAGTATCGTGGTCGAAGATGAGGTCTCTCTCTTTTTTTGGCTGGAAAAAAGTAAGGAAGCTTACATTAGAGGAAGATCATGGACAGAGGAGAGATGTTCTTGGCTGTCATAATATCTTACCAGTAACTTGAGAATGCAGATACTTAACAAAACACAGTGGAACAACACAAACAAATAATGTTGCACCGAAAAATACCTGAAACTAAGAGACCAAGCTTCAAATGTAACATAGAAGCTCCAAAATTTATGAGCAACAGAAGCTACACTAAATTAAAATTATTCATAGAGGACTCACCACAGTGCTTATGTTGGACATTAGAATGAAACGAGGAAGAAACCTGAAAGTCAAGCGGGTTCCATCAACAGAAAATGGATGAGTGATTGTCTGATTTCTTCCTGTTGAATCAACAGCTTTGACCTAGACAAAAAGTTGTCACATTTTAAAAAAATAAAACAGGAAACAACTACAATACAGCTTTTATACTCATATGTAAGATATTTTTTTATGAAAGAGTTTCAGTTTCTTACCTGCATGTAGTGCACTCCAGTTGCATACAACTCGGGCATCCAAGGAACAGTGAACAGGGGCCCTCCTTCATGATTAGCCTTGACCCAGCTGCCTTCATTGAATCGTACTTGAACCAGTTTTATTTTGTCCAGAGAAAAAACTAAAATACTGTCAAAATAAAGCATTGGTTGTTAACCAGATCTAGTTCTCTGTGGCTAAGTTTTATCTTTTACATTCAGTACTGACCGCACATGCGTAGAAGTAGCAATGAGGTTTCGAGGTTCCCTGCCAACAATGTGGTACAAAGCATGTTTTGGATTCGTTACCAGAATAGCTGGCCACTCTCCATGTTTCAAGTCAACAAATGAAAGAAGACCATGGTCAACAGCCAAGAGACGGATCCTACAATGAAGAGTTAAAATTTAAATAAGTTTCTGGAGAAAAAAAAAGTTATTTCAGGGTGTAGACAATTTTGACTTACAATCGATTGTCCATCCAATCACCAAGTTCTAGTTCAAGGAATCCTTTCTTTTGGAGAGTGTACATGTTGGGTACAGTCCCACCAAATGTATGGAAGTGGCCACACAAGTACACAAGGGAACCATTGTGTTTGCCAATAAGGTCTCTAATATCTTCAGGCCCACTAGACAAAATACAGGAAGTGGGATAGTGTCCAAACCATATGGTGTAATTGCTCCCTTTTGAAAAATCAACATTATCATCAAATATTGCTTTCCTCCTATATGTCAAACAAAAGTTAATTACATTAGGAAGTAAATTTTTTGCTTACCTGAAGATTCAACCTGCTGAATTAGTGAATTCACATGGTTGCCCTCTTGAACATTTAACATCCCAACAAAGTTGAAAGGTCGACGAGGCCCTGGTTCAAGGCAAGCATCAACACCAAGAAAGGAATACAGCACATTTCCTTTGGAAAGTTGGTACAAGTATGAGCGAGGGTTTTTCTTGCCCTGTTGAGAATATTGACGATAGTAATTCCAAGAAGACTTGGCGTCAGGTATATTAAAATTGTCTGAAACAAAACAGTAAGTCAGCTGAGACTTCAACAGGTTTCATCTTTGGCAGGTTGGAAAAAGAGGCAATTCTTACCATGGTTTCCTCGTATGTCAAGCCAGGTAGTGTGATTGCCAAGGTTACATTTGTTGAGGAGATCTCTGTAGTTCTTCCATTCTTGCTCGTACTGGGCAGAACCCATGTTATCCTCAGCTTTGGCATCAGTTAGATCTCCTATTAACAAAAATATTGATATTTAAGAGCAATCCTGCAGAAGATTGACAGCTCAATATTTCTAAGTAAGAAGACATCAGTCTTCAGGGTAGGAACTTTAATACCTGAGACCAGAACAACTGAAGGTTTTATGGCTGGAATAGTCAGTTTACAAAAACTGTGCAGATCTGACAGGCGTGAAGGGTCTCGGAAAATGCTGATGTGGGTGTCCGATACCTGGAAGAATTGTCGATAAATAATGACAATTTCTACTTGACAAAAAAATGAATTGGGTTTAACATAGTAATGATTGATTAGAGCATCTGTTTCAAAATCAATTGGAGTGTCTTAAGCTCATACCACTCCTAACCTGATTTGAGGGTGCTCTGACACACAAAATACGGATTAGCCATCGTTCAAGTGACAAAACTATAAGACCAATCACTTACCTGTAAAAACCAAAGAAGGTTGTCGGCGTTGTTCGACATGATAGTCCCTCGGTCTCCAGAAATGTGTGACATTTTGTTGCTGCTGTCGACGGCCCTAGCTTCCATTGCCTCAATATTGACAGATATTATATCAGATATGCTGGCGATAAATATTGAGAACGAAGATATGAGAATCAGCAACACGAGGGTGTTCTTTCGCAGAGCCATAGTCTTCACATAAAGGAGAGCAAACGCTCCGCATTAAGATGTCAAGTCAGTTCCAGAGTGCGTCGTGTCTTGTTTTCGAGTTGACCATCGGTCAGCTGAGCGTCGTCTGCACACCACCAACCGAGCACCGCCACCCTCACAGATGACAACAACCACAACAACAAAATCAGCTTGTCTTTTGTTTTTGTTTGTTCAGGGCTGTGAGTGTTTTGGGCGCGACAGGTTCACCTATGGGTTCACGTTGTTTTCTGGTTCTGGTAATTGCTGTTGTGCCTGTTACATATTCTTGGATTCTTGAACGCTGATGAATATTTCCATCGAGTATTTCCTGCTGCCTCAGGTAGATTTCGAGAACTTGATACCATGAGTATTCCTTCTGATTCGGTCCCTCCTTGACTCCGGCTTGTTTCAGCTTGAGCATGCCTAAGCCGGCACCAATGGAAGTTTATCCATTGAGGATTCCTCCTGGCGGGGAAGTCACTTCCTTGCTCCAACAGACTGTATCTAATCTTGGCCTCAAAGCACCTTTCATCGTGTCCTGTGTTGGCAGTGTAAAAAGTGTCATCTTACGCTTTGCGACTGATAAGGAAGACAACCATGCTGTATGTTCTCAGCATTCGCAAGTTTTTGCACTATCTTTTCTTTGACGAATGTTTAATACAATTTCGCCCTCAGGTTTCAGATAGACATGAAAATTTGGAGATTTGTTCTCTTGTAGGAACATTGTCGAAGGATGGGTACCATCTCCATGGAACATTTGGCAATGCTAAAGGAGTGACAGTGTCAGGCCACATAATGGGAAACATGGTGGTTCAGACAACAGCAGAGATTGTTATAGGGAATGCACTTGGTTATGAGTTCTGTAGAGAGTTCGACAATAGAACTGGTTTCAATGAACTTGTTGTAAATGATGCAAAGGAGGAGGAACGGAGCAACAAAAAAAGTGATTCTGAGGACGATGACGATATAGATGTAGAGGGAGATGGAGATAATACTGCACCACTTGTGAAGAATGCAGAGCCAGACAAGTACAGTGAGGAGAAAGATAAAAACTGTGGGGAGCCACCTGTGAAGAGAGCTAAGACCCAGGCTTTTCCAAAGGTATGCTAACTTGTAGATGGGTTGCTGTTGATTTTTGCATACTATTGGTGCCTCTTCAATTTATCCCTTTCAGGATGAAGAAATTAAGACCTATGTAACAAAGATTCTGGAAGGAGCTAACTTAGAAGAAATCACCATGAAGACAGTGTGTAAGCAGGTCTATGAAAACTACCCAAATCATGACCTTGCTCTCAAGAAAGATCTCATTAAAGACACAGTTCGATCGGTAAGGATGATCAGCCAAGTGACATATCTAATCTGTTTCTTTATTGTGGACTTGTCATCAGTTAACCCTCTTTTGTTTCAGCTTATCTCATGAGCTCAGCTTGAGGTACTGGTTTGCCTATGTCATAAGAAAGTTGTACCACATGCTATTCTGTCGAAGAATTGTGCATTCTTCCAAAACCCCTCCAATTTAAAATTTATTTTTTAAATAAAGTGCTTGTAATATTTTTTTTTTGTGAGTTTGTGAGTTTTTCTTTGGTGGTCCAGCAAAGGGTCTCAGCAGTTTGCCTACTCGCGTCCGCTTGGGGTGGTCGCGGTCGCACTTCTTGCAGACTGACAGGTTTCCCGGACTACGTGCGGGTAGCGGCGTATTCTTGTCGACTGGGGGAACGGTCGTGTTTTCATTTTCTTCGTTTCGTCGGACGCGTTGTGGGTGAGTGTGGGTGGACCTTGGAGGAAAAGGGTGGACGGAGCGGATTTCCCTCCGCCGCGACTGGAACGCGTCCTGGTGGCAGGCAGTGCTAGTGGCAGCTCCGGGCAACCAACGTAGAGCCTTACAGCCGGAGGGTCTCATACGTCACGGGGAAGGCACCGCACCCGTGTTGTAACTCCAGATATTGCTTATACTAGTTTGTGCATTGGTTAAGATGCAATATCTGCGATTTATTTTGTCGATTATTCAAATTGAAAATTTTGAAAACCACCTTTTTACACAGTGCGCTACCAACCACCACATCCCGGAGAATCTGTCCAAAACAGTTTGTTAGGTCTCAAATAAACACTCAGAAAATAAATTAAATGTTTTAGACTAAGACTTTGTTAATGTTACGACTGTTATGAATAATTTCAGGAATTCCAGAATGTTTTTAATAAGTCGGTTGATAGTAGTAGTTGCCAGTCTGCGAGAACCGGTAGTCACATCCGCATTCGTTTGTCTTGAGCGCGAAAGGGCTTTAGCGCAGCGCGGGAGAAACGGTTTAGAAACGGGAAACGGTCGACGAGTGAGTCGGTGCTTTATCTCAAGAATAGTCTGTAAAAGTTTTGTAGGTGTGGTTGATTTACCCCAGTTAAAGGAGATAAAGGGCGGTTCGGAATGCCGAATCAATCGCAATCATCGTCTCAGAGAAAGGAAATTACGGGCCAAATGAAAACTGCCCACAAATCATCCAGATTGAAACAGGTGAGCACCAGTCTTGTTCATTTGAAGGCACTTAATGGCATCTTAACGTCAAAATGGTCCCACAATTATGATGAAGATTGAATTTGAGCTTCACATTGATGTCATTTTGACACCTAAATTACTTTCCTCCCTCCCTGGGTGTGGGACAACTTGTAGTGTAGTTCAGTCTAACCACTTCACTTAGCTTGCAGCTTGAACTGCTAATGCACCTCTTCATCTTGCTTTCTCACCAACAGCAAATGGAATCCCTCAGTCAAATGGAAAGTTCACAATTCTCTCAGTCTTGGCAAACAATGGTAACCAGAATGCAAGCCTCAGAAGCTGCCCGTGAGATGGAGGAAAGTCAAGTCATGGAATTTTCGGAAATTTGTGAGCGACAGCAGCAAAACCAGTCTGAGCTCCTATGTCAAAATGATCGGTTGGAATTACGCTATGATACTGAAATGAAACATCAAGATGCTATCCTGACCAAGTAAGAATGGATTAGAGTTTTCCTAAGAAACTGTGAGCAAACAATTTGTTATCTGGTTTTTATTTTGTAGGTATAATAAGGTCATACAAATGTTTAACATACTAGGGGCCAGAGTTAATACTGTTACGGACTGCCTGCAAAAGACAGCCGATATACAGACTGCTTACGGAAAGACTCTTGCCAGTCACAAAGCAGTATTACATCACTTGCATCGCTCCTATGAGACAATGTGCAATGTTTCCATACCTCGCATTTCAGAATTGTATCGTGAGCACTGTGAGTGCATTTTATATTTTGTGTGCAGTATTGTGAGAGCAACCTTTTCTTATTTGCATGTCTCATGTGTTCTAGTGAATCAAAGGATGAAATCTGACTGCAGTGTAGAAAAGGAGAAGGAATTGAATGACAACTGCAAACAAAATGAGTTTGAAGAAACTTTAAAAGAGGAGAATTTATCCCAGCTGAAGGCTCGCCCTTGTGACATTAATAATCAGGTATCAGCTGAGAATACGGAAATTGATAAGATGACAAACAATGAGGTTGCATTGTTGAAAGAGAAAAGGGAGGTGAGGAACAGTACCTTAAGAAGTCAATTGGCCTGCTGTTTCATCTTAATGTGATGTCAATCTGTTTTTTATTGCAGCTGAAACAATCTCTTAAATCTCAAGTTGAAAGCTTATCAGCGAAAGATAATCGTACAGAACATGATATACAAGTTGCCAGTACAGAAAAAGGGACATCCACTTTGAAAACAAAAAATCTGCAGATTGAACTCTTGCAGAGAAAGGAAAGGTAAGAAAAAATCGTGCTTTTTAGTTAGAGTCTGTTGTTTTCTGTAAACAAAACAAAACTTAATAATTTCTAAAATTTTGTTACAGGGAGGGAAGTCTTTGTGTGGCTTTACAACCAATAAAAACTAGTGTAGAAAACCTTTCTGGTTCCTTATCAAAGAAGCAAGCAAGCGTTACTGAACTCTCTAAATTACTGGATGTGGAAACAAAGAACAGCCTCTCTTTAAAGAAAGAACTAGATGGGATCAGGTATGTTACTTTTAAAAAATGTTTGCTCTTACTATTCCGTTTTTGTGTCATTTAATCGTCAACTGCATCTTCTCTCTGCTCCAAAGTCTGCAACTACAAGATATAGAAAGAAACTTCACTAGTCTCATTGATGATTTGTCTAAAGAGGTGTTGAAAATATCCGCTGATGCTGCAGAAACTGAATTATATTTGGAAAAAGAACTAAATAATGCAAAACAGGAAGAGGCTGATATTCTTAAGGAGGTAAGCTCTTGGACAGGTCAAAATTTTTTCATTGAAATTAGTTTATTAATTCCCATACACTTTTTCTTTGTCACTCATTTATGGTGCTTTTGACGCAGGATGAAAATGTTCTACAAAGCTTGGTCCATATGAAAACGCAATTAAAGGATATACAAGATGCCTATAGTCAGGCCTGCCAGTCGATTGCTGCTTGGGAAAGTGATTCTGTTAATGTGGCTAGAGAACTAACAAAATTAAAAGAGTATGTAAAACTTTGTCATATTTTAACTGAAAATTTGCCTGATACAAATAATTTTAAGTCCTACTTTGTTTTCCAGTGAAGAGAGAACTTTAAATGAGCATTTGGCAGCTGTGAGATATGCCACCCAAATCACAGAGCAATCCTTAATTCAGATAGAGGCAGTTCATGACAAGACTGTTTGTGAGTTTGAGAATCAACTTGTGTGCTCTGAGCAAGAAAACTCCCATGCAAGTGCAGAGCTTGAATCCTTAACTTCGATGGAAGAAAAATTAAACACCCAAATCGTAGAGGCCAAAAGAGTTAGTGCCTATTCAGATACTGAAATGAAAGAACACAATGAAAATATTGTGAAAGAAATGCAAGTTCAAATTGCAGCCTCTGAAAAAGAAATTGATTCCATAAATGCTGACTGGTTAAAGAAAATAGATGAGTTGCAGCAAAATTTGAAACATTTGATTGAAGCTGTCGAGAAGAGGAACACAGAATTGAATAATTACAAGGATTCTTTGCAGAAATGCAGGAAACAGTCAGAAGATCTCAAAAGTTTTATCAAGACGAAAATGGAGCAGAAGGAAAAACAAGAGAAAATCATCAATGATTTGACCTCAGAAATATCACAATACTCTGAGAGAGAAGAGCACCAAATTATAGAGGGTCAAACAGTAGCTTTGAAGTTGCAGCAAGTTAGCAGAGAAATCAATCAGACTGACAGTCTTATTTCATCCTTGGAAATTAAACTCCAACAAGTGTTGTCAGAAACTGAAAAGGCAGCCACAGATCACAAAGTTGAGAAACAGGTACTGTATTTCTTCCTTTCAAATTTTTTAAAAGAATTACCATATAATTAAATTGTTATTATGTAATTATGTATCAAATCATAAGTTTTTAAGTTTGTTCTCTTACAGATATTTATGAGGGATCTTGTTAACTTCCAACAAACTGCAGAGTGTCGCAGAGATGAAGAGAGAAGCTTATTGAAGCAGAGAACTGTCTGGAAAGCCAAATATGAGGAGAGTGAACAACAAGTACCTGAAATGTGCAGTGCGCTGGTGCTTAAGAAACAAGAGGCCAGTCAAGCTCATGAGACCCTCACAAAACTGAAGAGTGAAATGAAAAATGCCAAAGAAAGGCAGGTAAAAACAGAAAAGACACTAAAAAATTCTGAGAAAGAGGCACACCAAGCCAAGAAAAGAATGGACCACCTGAAAAACAAGATTCTTGCACACAAGGCTGCCAGAAAGAAAGAACAAGAGAGAGCTGCTGATGCCTTCAATCTACTATCGCAAGAAGTTAGGCCAACAAAACCAACTACACCTCAGCAGTTGGCTACTCTAAAGCCTGCGGAAAAAGAAATAACTCCACTCTCAATTCTTAAGCCTAATGAAAAAGAAATTACTCCACGCTCAATTCTTAAATCATCCTCAAAACCCCCCACCCCACTGAAGACAGTCAAATTTGTAGATGACTTAGATGAGTGTGCAAGTTCCTCAAGCTCTATAGTGATGGTGGTATGTCTAACACAATTCAGATTTATACACTATATTAAACTGAATACTTTCTTAATTTTTCTCTTATGAGATATTTTGATGTTGAAAGTGACTCCTTTTTATTTTTTTTATTTTTCAGCCTGAAGTTACTGATAGAATTGCATCGAATCCTGGAGCCTTGCGCGAGATTTTGGCTGAACATCGAGAGCGTAAACATTCAAAATGGATGCTTGTAAGTTTTCCTGATTTTGCTGCTGGACCATTAAACTGCTTTTCTCTATTTTTACAAATATTGGTCTTTGTTGGGGAAACTGGTCTTCTTCTGCCCCTTTCTTCCTTCTTTTAAATTTGTATTTTAAAGGCCTTATTCTTATTCCAAAGAAACAACAGGACAGCAACTGTAAGGTCTTCAAAGCTCCATCTCAAGAGTTAGCACCATCCAATAATACCACTCCAAAGTCAACGTCTTTGCAAAATAAGGAAAATGTTTTCGATCCCCAAACACAATTATCCAAGAAGTCACCAACAGCTGGATATGAATCTGACTTTGATGATGGTGCAAGCTCTTCGAGCTCCATAGTGATGGTGGTAAGTTAAACTGAAGTTGATTGCCCCACTAAAAACTTATGATGAAAAAGTATTACATGGAAGGCCCTATTTACCTTTTTATTTTCCAGCCTGAACTCACCGATAGAATTGCCTCCAATCCTGGAGCTTTTAGGCAGATCATGGCAGAACATCAAGAACGTCAACGTCTTGCTAAAGCAGAGAAAAGGAAGCTTGTAAGTTTGCATTTTGTGGTACTGGAGTGTTCTGAATTGTTGGCAAAAATAATTTTTTCTTAGTTATTTGTTCTAAGTGTCTGTTTTGTCCTTTGACAGAAACAACAAGAAATTGACAATGAGTTGTATCAATTTCCATCCAACGATACTGTACCCTCCAGGAATACAACACCTCAGTTTGTTTCTGGGCCTGATGGCAAGGAAATCACTCCACGCTCCATACTCAAATCAGCATCAAACCCTCCAACTCCACAAAAGAAGTCTGTTCAATTTGTGGATGACCTAGAAAATGCTAGCTCAACAAGCTCTTCAATGGTAGATGTAAGTTGTAAACAATTTTAACAATCAGTAAAAATCTTCATTGCATGATTAAAACTAACTTCTTCCCTACGTTATTTTTTAGCCTGAACATGCCAATAGACGTGAATTTACTCCAACACACATGGCAAAAAGAATGAAACTGGTAAGTCTGCACTCTAATATGCTCTTCACTTAAAATTTTATGACCATTTTACTGATGATTTATTATTATGTGTTGCAGAGTCATTGGGCTGACGATACCACTCATAATGAGATTTCATCTTCCACTCCTGAAAAATAGTGACATCCTACCTGCAATTTAATGTGACAATCGATTACTTAAATTTTTATTACTTCATATGATTATCAAATAAATTAACTAAACAAAGCCTTGTTGATTTTCTCTGATCCCATTGGTCAGACTTTATCTCTGACACGAGTCACAGAGCACCTCTAAATTTTGAAACATTAGTCCTTGTAATTTGTACCACCAAGATAATTTCAAGCCTGGTTTCGGTTGGATGTTGGAGGGCTTTGAAGAGAGTTTGAGGAGTGCACTTGTGTGATTAAGTGGATTATGGCGTTCAAATAACTTGCAGTCACCAGTGCAAGACCCAGTAGCTTTTGTGACCTGTGAAGGATAAAGATGGTTTAGAACAAAACAAGATGTCATAGCTCATAAAATTTGATATTATTTACATAGATCTTAAGTGCTTTATATGAGGACTAATTATTAAGTATTAACACATTCATCAGCACACAAATTACAGAAATTAATTTTCTCCAGGAACAAAACTTTATACACAAATTTACACAGACTTGTTCAGTTCTTAACATTAAGAAAACTGAATTGAGCTACAACCAGAAATATTTATAAGTCATTATAAATTCAAAAGATTTAAGTGCATGAGATGCATCAGTTAGGAGGAATGACAAAAATGAAAATGACATACATAAATAGCATGGAAATGTGGTAATCTCCAAAAGTACCTACAACTCATTACCACCATACCAAGGCCTATGAATTGTTATACAGCAGTAACTGTATGGCAATGGTTCTTCAACTTACTCAATGTTTGTACCTGACACCTAAACACGAGCAACAAAATAAGGAATAAAGGTCTAAATAAAATATAGAGAGCATTTATGCAAGGCAATATGATCTGCCTTCAGTAATTGGTTCATATATCTCCCAAATGCAGGTAACATGACAACAGAATATGTGGACAAAACTATGAACATAATATAACAAAACAAAGCACAACCTTGAAATCCTACAAATAGCTGCCACCCAATAAAAAGTGGTAAGAGACAACTTTGTCTGACAGCAGCCCATCAGGTGTGTATCTAGAATCTACTTTTCTACAATGGCCCATTAAACATACAACAGAACAGCAGTATTAATAAATGGAAATATCGAACGCAATAAAACTGTGGGTCTTGTAAAGAATCGTGGAGAAACTCAAAAATAACTATCTGGGATTAATTTGAATCAGTCTATTGGAATGAGAGTTTGCGAATTTCACATGCTTCTCAAAATATTTGTCTATATGTTATTGAAGCAACAACAAAGTAAAGTAGAGTAAGAGTTAGCAAAATGGATAAGAAAAAAATGTTTGTCATTTTTTGACAGTGACTGTTTTTTCAAACAAATTAAAATCTAAAGTATATTTTAAGATAGAGAACTTCGTCAATACCTTTAACAAATAAACTCATAAACGTGTCATGATTTTCAAAAAAAGACATTAATTCATTGAGCATATGTAACTTTGATTTAATGAAACATTAGAGAGAAAAAAAAATATTGTATGCAAAAGTCAGTACCAAAAATAACATATAAATGGGTCAATTGCTATAAAAATGAATCATCATACAGACTTATTTCATTTTGAAACATGACAATGTGATTAACTTGTGTTGGCCGGTACAACCAATAGACAACAGATACATTGGGCTGCCTTTAACTGGCAAGAGGTTTGAGATTTAAGACATTCAATAACTAGCACTTAAACCTGCAGATACAGACAAAATGTCACCACATTTATATGTAACACAATTATACACAGATATTTCTTTGTCCATGAGAAATACAGTATAAACATACAGAAACAGACTTCACACTGGGCACACACTTCCATTCATACAATTAATTAATTTGTCAGTTCATTAGCTTGGTACAAAATACAATATAAATGTACAATAATAAGCTAAACAAAAATGGAGTTTACTAACATAAGCATTTTTAAAGGCAGTGAAATGGCAAAGTACATTGACACCATGCAGAACACAAGGCTGAGTGAATAAGTCTACCCATAGTCATATGCTTAATGTATAACACATAGTCCGACACTCATCCCAAAAGGATTTTATCACTTGTATAATACTAACTTTGCACATTCAACTTCATAAACTGGTACAGAACGATACAAAAATTTTGCACATCACAAAAAATCATAGGATTAAATCTTGGTTGTCATTTGCTACAAGCTAAACTCTCAGAAATTATCTTGCTGGTTTTAACGCAATGGCAGATGAAATACTTCTTTCGCTAGTATCTTAAACATTGCAGAAGAATCTGACACCAGAGGGAAAAATCAGAATTTAAATTACACAAAGAAATGGAATATTACAATATTGGAAATTTTAATTGATCATGGCTGAATGCACTGATTTCCAGCACAGGTTTGAGACTGGATTCTCGACTTTATTTAAAACCCAGCAAAATTTGGAACAAATTTGGAAACAACTGGTTTTTGTTCCCAGAAATTAATCGGTCGGATTAGGATTTGCTATTCGAAACTTATTCGCGGACCAATATTGCGTTGATTTTATCGGGCCGGAAAGATTCGAAGTTTTTGCCCCTTGATGATTTGAGTTTCAGAACTTCGGAGCACAGTGCCACTACTTCAGCACATTCATCGGTGCCGAAAAACCTCAGGCCTTTATTAGGGGTGGTCATTATATTATGGGACATTCTACCTTGGACATTACATGCATGGACGAAAAATCGATGGACAAAAAGAGACCGGACATTTACCTGCGGACATTTCTTCACTGTACCGCAGAACACAAGGCTGAGTGAATAAGTCTACCCATAGTCATATGCTTAAATTTAAACATAGTCCGACACTCATCCCAAAAGGATTTTATCACTTGTATAATACTAACTTTGCACATTCAACTTCATAAACTGGTACAGAACATAACAAAAATTCTTCCACATCACTAGGAGAAAATCAAGAGATTCAAAATCTGGATTGCTTGCTACAAGTAAACTTCTATGAAATTTCTTGTAGGTCTTTTAAAACAGCATGGCAGTGAAATACTGTACAGGTAGTTTTAAACATTAGAAGTATCTACACCAAGGGAGAAATAGAATTTAAATACACAAAGAAATAATATTACAAAACTTGAGAAATTTTAATATCACCCTAAGTCACTGATATTGCAAGTTTGAGACCTGGAGTCTCCAACTTTATTATAAAACCCAGCAAAATGAACAAATCCCTGGAAACAACAGTTTTGTTCCCAGAAATTAATCCCCGGAAGAGAAACATGTCAAAACTTTCCCACAAAATATTGGCAGTTGATTTTATTGGCAAAAACAATAAGTATTTTCTGAAGGGTTTGTACTTGAGCAAATGGTGGCCTTTACCCTCCATGCATACTGATGCACTATTTGAATGCAAACCCTTTCTCAAAGAGAAACCAGTAAACTTTTCCTGGGCTACTGAGTTTCTAAAAAATACCTACATGAGGTACAATTTGGTATTAGACAATCTTACGCAAACCTGAGTGATGCTAACAGGAAAATGAGCTAATCATGGCAATGCCTGTACAAGGAGCTGATGCAGTCTTTAGATCACAGAGCTACTGTCTTTGTCACTGTTATTGGACAAGTTTCATACATTTAAATTCATACAGAACAGAGGAACTTTGATTCAATAAAATATGGAACATTATAAAAAGCAATGTGTATAACCTCAGCATTCAAATTCTGAGGCCGTTATTGCATTTAAGTCCTTCATCAATCCTTCCAAGTTAGCCATTTCTTGGTTCAACTCTTCAGTGCTGTAAGAAGGCTGCAGCACATGGACATAAAACACCATTAGCCACTTGAAAATGCTGCACTTCAATGTCTAAAGTAAATCATCCAAAACTTACCTGTAATCTTCCCGGATCGTGTAGCCCTGTTACAATTCCTGAATTCATGGGCCCCCTTGGGCCCCCGACTGGTACAGCTGTGACAGTTGCCACTAAATTAGGTTTTTTGTACGGACTGGATCCTTGAATTGGCCTAACACTGACACCAGTGACAGGGCCTGAATAATGCAAAAACAAGTCAGTTAATAACCCTCATTCCTTTCAGGATTCTGACACGTTTCCTAGGTATGGTAATCACCTATGTGCTTCTGTTGAGGCGTGCACGGCGCTGACTGAGGAGGTGGAGGAGGGGCAGGTACGCTGAAACTCTTGAGTGGATGTCCCTGAAGTCGCTTGGCTCCTGCATTGGCACTAGCACTAGGACCAATAGTGCTGCCCACTGAACTGCCAGCACTACTCGATGCTGACGAATTACATTCCTGGACGGTGGCCAGGCCTGCCAGTCCTGGCTGTGATGCAGGTGACTGACCCACAATTTGCAGGGGGGGCAGTGGCTGTGGCGGAGGAAGCCCAGCGCTGGGGAAAACAATTTGATAAGTAGTTAAAAAAGGTAAGATCAAAAGGTGAGACTATCACTTGAAAAGATGGTAAAAAGCTATAAAATACCTGTATGTAGTTGAATGGTTTGGGGTATGGTGTAGTATAGGCGGCCCAGGCGCACCCATGCCCCCTGGTATACTTGATACTGTGTCATATCCACCCTGCAATGAGTATGGACTTTCCATAGCAGGACCTAAAGATCAGAAAGTAATGATTAATTGGTATTGAAGTATCAAAAAGAAGTCTAATCTCATTTCTGGTTGATTTCTGGATACAAACCTGTTGGATCCATGGTAACATGAGCTCGAGCCATTGAATACTGAGTACGAGGGTATAAGGGTCTACCATCAGTTTGGGTCTGAGAAAGATTTCCATTTGAAATGGGAGTTGCTGTTGCTACAGCTGAAACAAAAAAAAAATTAAAATAAAAATATGTTTAATTATATTAACTAAGCTGTCAGACCGCTTATTGTTACTTTACAACTTTTAAACTGTGAACCCCATTGGATTAATGGGCAACACAGTCACAGTTGATAGACCATGAAGGAAAAAACAAAACACAATTTACTCACGTTCTCTCAATGGCTCGCTCTCCACAGGAAATGATATAATGGGTTTGGCTTTTATAATGTGGCGAGCAGTCGAGGGTTTTTCATCGGATTGGTTGAGTGAGTTGCCTACAGGTAGTGCAGGTCACGTGCAAAAAAAAAAAAAAAACAAGCAGTGCAACATATCCAAACATATTGTTTTAAGCATACTAAACTATTGATTAAAAGTTACTAGTGTGACACATGCTAAGTAACTTTGATTGTGTTAAATACTGATTCAAAGGTATTTAGTTCAGCATTGAATAAGAAAAGATGGAATGAGGGAAGCAAGAATGATTATAGGAATGAAATGAATGAATGGAAATCCAGAAAAAGCTACAAAATATTGGCAGACAAATGGATGGATCATGAATTTTATACAGAATGTGAGTTAAGAAGTTCAATCAGGATTGCATTCAGGCATGACCAAAATAAATCTACCCTCAATGAAAAAAAGGATGACATCTAATTTTTCTTAGTGATTTCATTCATTAAAGAAACAGCACTTACCAACATAAGAAGAAATGTAGTTCCTCTTGTCTAACGAATTAGTGTGATGTTGGTATTTAGGTGGACCATCTGATGAATAGTCTTGATGGGTGTTCGAACCACCAGACCTTGGTAAAGTTGTGGCCAAGGTGTGTGAAGATGAAGAGGTCTCACCATTAGGATTTCCATGGTTGTTTCCACATTTGTCCATATTTTTAAGTTCCATCTGATCGTGATGAATCCACAAGTCTGGTGGCTTTATATCTGGTTTGGATGTCTTAGTGTTACCTTTCATGTATCTGCGTAAAAGGAAACATACAATTAAAAGATGGAATCACTTTGATGAATGAAGAAAATAAAATGTTGAGACTGACCCTTTTTTGCTTCGTTCTTGTCCTTGCCCAGACCGCTTGCAGCACACAATAGCTACTCCAATTATGGCAACTAACACAATTAAACCAACAACACCTATTATAACGTAGATCAGCATAGTTCCATTCAGACCACGATTTTCTGTAAATAAAAATGAAAAAAATTAAGCTTTTTTTTTGTAATTTGTTAAACTTTTACTAATGGCTGAGTTGGAATAAATATTCATTTGTTAACAATTAATTATAAGAGGACAGATGACAACTATGAGAAGTTGAGGAAATACGTACCTTTACTCATAGCTCCAACATCATTAGTAACAAGAGAACCTAAAATGATAATTCACAGTCATGGTTAGCTTTCTACACAGACATTTCACAAATTAAGACTAGAACAGGGGAATGTTAAATAATGTTAGGAACTACAGAGAAACACAATTATTAAGGAAGGTTCTCAAACACAAATCTGATCAAAGAGCAAATTCATGTATTTGACCTGCAGGACATATCTTCTTTGCTTTGTAAAGGATATCTTATCCACAATTTAATTTTGTATGTTAGGTTTGATTAGGTTGGAGCTGGTGTCAAAAACACTGGAGGCTTACTTGAAGATGTGGTCAATGACACTGTTGAAGAAAATGGTCCAGGGCCCTTGATGTTCCTTGCTTGAATTTTAAAGAAATATGTTGTACTAGGAGTGAGTCCTTTGATGGTAGTGGTCATTTTATCCCCCATTACACTTTCTGCTATCCAGTCTCGGTCACGCTGAGTGCTGTCAGTAGTATAGTACACTGTGTATCCTGAAAGAAACATCCGCAAATTAAAATACAGGTAAAGGAAAATAAATTAGAGAAGCAGTTCTTGAAGATTATTTTTTCTCTCATACCTGTTATCTCCCCATTTGGCTGCCGAGGTGGTTGCCAGTTCAGGTTCACTGAGGATGGATGATTATCAACTCCCACAACTGTCAAATCTCTAGGGGCGGAAGCAGGTGCATACTCAAATGTTGTATTAAATACAACCATGCTCCAGGGGCTCTGTCTGCGACCCTAATTTAAGGAACAATATAAATATTACTCAAGGTTCCAGAACTAAGATAGATTAACCAATGAGATGGTGACATACCTTCACAACTTTCACTGTAAATTCATACTGTGTATGTGGTTTCAAGTCATCAATCATACAGTTCAAATCAGTAGAGTTAAAATACTTATACCGTTGGCTAAGATGAGACGATGTATATCGCACAATATAGTAACGATTGTCTGTCACAAACTGAAAGGTAACAACACAGTAAGCATTTTTGTATTTTTAAGTTAAGAATGTTCAAAATTATAGAGGCCCTCCAGCAATTTATACCTGACTCTGGGAAAGAGTTGTGTCTGTCCAATAGACCACCACACTAGTAGCTGATAACACTATTGCTTTCAGACCCACAGGGGGAATAAGTGGAGACAATGGCTCTGGTGTTGATTCTTCTCGAGTGCGATTTGACTCATATCTTGGTTGCCCATCACCAATTTCGTTAAAAGCTCTAACACTTATCACATACTCTGAATTTGGTTCTGAAACATGCATAAGGCAAAAATTAAAGAATTTCAAAAATTATCTATGATGTGAAAAAATCAAAATGGAGTAATAAGTGCTCACCAAGTCCTTCAATGGTGTATGTTCTGGCTTTATCATCTAAGAGCTGACTGTAGACATCTGGAACACCCTTGCCCCACCCAATTGTGTAGCCTCGAACTTTAATATTTTGATCTCGTGGGGACAGCCAGGACACTTGCATAGAATCAACCATTGGACGCACTGCAGAAACAATAATACATTACATTTCAGCAACTTGTGCAGGAAGAAAATGTGAAACATTATTTTAAAAATTGAGAACTTACATTTCAACATTGCTGGTATATCTGGAACACTGGTTTCGTCCAAGTCTTTCTGATAGGTTTCGATAGTGAACCATTCTGTTGGTGGACCAGTTCCATTCACATTGATTGCATAAAGCCTAACAAGGTAGATGGAACCTCTTTCTAAATCTGTCAGAGTGTACAGCCTGCGGTTGCCAGCTGCAGTCACTGTATCACCTTTTCCACTTCTCCTGTCCTTCTTTCGGTACCTCAGTTTATAGCCAGTGATGACACCATTTTGTCCTTCTTTGGGTGGTGGCTCCCACCTGACAGTCACACTGGTTGATCCAGCGGCTTCAAGCGTAACATTTTGAGGGGAGTCACTTGGGGGTGCTGACAGTGTGCGTGCTGTCACCTCTTCTGTGCTGGCGCCTTGGCCATTCTTATTGGCTGCTATGACCCACAGGCAGTATTCTGTGTATTCCTCTAAACCATTCAACTCATAGTGCGTTTCAGTTGTCTCAACATGGTGTTCCTCTGCTGACTCTCCCTAACACAGAGGCAACAAATAATTAATACCCATGACACCCTTAATTGTGTTCAAAAAGTTCTTCCATAAGGAAAAAAAACTTACCTCCATGTAGAACAGCTTGTAGTGCAGTATGGGGCCATCAGACGTGGTTGGGGGCCGCCACTGAATGAGGAGAGACTTTGGAGAGAGTGGAGTAGCAAGAAGGTCTAATGGCGGACTGGGGACATGAGCCTCAGTGTCAGTGGTGACAGTGATAGAAGGACTGCTCAGCCCTGCCCCAACTTGATTGTATGCTACAACTCGGAAGTGGTATTTGCGATCCGGCTGTAAACCAGGTATGTTCGCCTCCTCTAAACGAGATCTAGATGTGTTCATGACTCTTTCTCTGCAAAAGAAAATAGAAGCAATCAGTGGAAAGAAGAATCACAAGGAAATTTGTATCAATCGCTCTGCACACAGTACATACCTTTGAGACCCTTCTTGACGATAAAACACTGAGTAAGTATCAATGTCCCCATTCTTCTCTTCTGGTTCCTTCCACCGCAATGTGATGAACCTTGTTGTCACTATTACAGTCTCAAGGTCACGTGGTTCAGATGGCGTGCCAGGAGTTCTCATCGGTGATTCACTTCCTCTTACTTCGTCACCAAAATTGCTCGGCTGCGATTCTCCGCCAGCTGTATTTGTGCCATCCACGTCACCATCATATTCGTTGTTTTCATCACCGTCGTCATCGTCGTCGTCATCATCGTCAGCATCATCATCGTTGTTTTCATCGTCGTTGTCATCATCATCATCATAGACGTCATGGGAATCAGAGTGGAGAGGTGGAGGTGCATGGGATGGTCGAGGCAAGGCACGAGAGGCAAGAGTGTTATGAACTTTAAAATTACTACTGCTACTAGAGACAGTGAAGCGAGGAACATGCGTAGAGGATTTATTTTCAGCAGGAGGAAGCTCAGAGTCTACAAAATGTTAGTGAGGAAAAAACAGGAAGGAGAGGGAGAACGAAATTGGGACAAAGTAAAGGTTCAAAGAAAGAAAAAAAAAAGAAAAAAAAGGAAAACAAAAATTAAAACAAATTAAAACAAGAACAAAAAAAACAATACCTTAAAATAAAATGTTTCAAGGGTAACAAATTTAAAAAACAAAACAAATTAAATTATAAACTAAACCGCTGAGCTAATTTTGGACCAAAGGAAAAATATGCACTTTATCTCATAGGCACATTGAATCATACCTGAGCTGACCACAGTCAATCTAGCAGCTGCCTGGATGTTTCCAGCAGGATTTGAAGCGAGGCATTGGAAAATTCCGGAATCCATACTCATGAGACCCAGAATTCTTAAATTATATCTGAGTAGAAAAATAAAACAAGAAAAACTCATGAATTGATAAAGTTGCTTTGTCCGAGTGACATAAGGGTGTGTTATGCTTACCCTCCGACTACTTGAAGGTACTCATTCTGGGTGATGTTGTCTCCATTTTTCACCCAGTATACTTTGGGCTCAGGTTTTCCATATACCTCACATTCCAATTCCAAGTCTTCTTTTTCAACAGCAACTTTGTTTTGAGGTTGTTTGATAAATCTCGGTGGCACTGAAATAAGCAATTAAAATAATATGAATAAACAGTGGAAAGACTCAAGAAATTTGTGCATCCTGCCTGCTACCAACCTTGAACTTCCAGCGTCGCACTTGCATCCACAGAGTCTTCTCGGTTTTCGGCTCGGCACTGGTAGTCCCCAGCATCTGACTCCTCAACGTTAAGAACTTGCAAGCTGCCAGTGCCGACTTTCCTAAACCGGCTGTCCAGGTGTCTGCAGCAAGCAAGTAAACGCGCCGTTAGCACCAACAGGGAAGGACTGGCCAGCCACTGCACAGTGAGCCAGAAGACCGGCGGAGGCGGCCAAAATGCTGGACGCCTTTTGAGCTCCAGAGTTGCTGAATGGTACTCGAACCGAGCTTGTGACCCCACCAATGGATTCCTCGTTCGGAGAGCAATCCAGTGGTAGGGTCACACGTTCGGTTCTAGTCCTGGAGCTCAAAACGCGTCTGGAATTTTGGCCGCCTCCACCGGTCTTGTGGCTGATCCACTGTGCGCTGCTCCACTGTGCGACACTCACGACATGTCGATGGTGACGCCGTCCTTGAGCCAGCTGATCTCGGGCCGAGGGTGGCCGTTGGCCGCGCAGTCCAGCGTCACGTTCTCCCCCGCCATGACCACCGTCGGCCTCGGCGTCGCGATGAACACCGGCGCCATGATGCTCTCCCCGGATTCTACACCCAAATGCAAAAACAAAATGAGGACACTCACATCAGGACACAAATTCAAGTACACACCATGCACCACACTGACCGATGTCCATGTCGATGGCGAGGGTGGCTTTGTTGCTGAGCGTGGCCGTGGCCGAGGCCGAGGCGTTGCACTGGTAGGCGCCCTGGTCCGAGACCTGCACCTCGTCGATCTCCAGCGCGCCCGTCGGCATCACCAGCATGCGCGCGCGGTCCAGCACCAGCGGCCGGTCGTTCTTGAGCCACGCCACCCGGGCCAGCGGCACCGACTGCGTCACGCACGCGAAGTGCGCCGTCTGGCCCGGGAACACGCGCAGGTCAGCCGGCTGCTGCACGATCTTGGTGTCGGCTGCGGACGGAGAGGCAAGGGTCAGCAGGCATGCTCGACGCGACGCACTAGATTACGGCGAACGACAACTTGGCCCGGAAAATGGACGGGACTGGGAGGGACTCTACAGGCTGGCACATTGTGGAGTCCCTCCCGGCGCCGGCGGCCAAAGCTCTAGACGCGTTTTGAGCTCCTGAGTCGCTAAATGGGACTCGAACCGAACGTGTGACCCCACCAATGGATTGCTCTTCGAACGAGGAATCCATTGATAGGGTCACACTTCGGTTAGCGACACCGGAGCTGAAAACGCGCCCGGGATTTTGGCCGCCTCCCACCGGTCTTCTGGCCCACTGCGGCCATCAGCCTCCACTCACTGGCGAGCTGCAGGCGCGCCGTGCGGCTGACCAGCGACCCCACGGCCTCCAGCGAGGCGAGGCACTGGTACTCGCCGCTGGCGGGCAGGCCGCCGTGCACGCCGTCCTCCTCGCCCACGGCGCTGATGAAGAGCGAGCCGTTGGGCAGCTGGGAGCGGAACGAGTCGCCGATGAAGGTGAGCAGCTGGCCGTCGGCGCCCCTCCAGCTGACGGAGGGCCGCGCCTGCAGGTGCACGTCGCTGCGCGCCTCCGCCTCGCACTCCAGCAGCGCGGGCCGCCGCGGCAGCACCACCAGGTCCCGCGGCTCGGCCGTCAGCACCAGGTCGGCCACGCCCGCCGCGCCTGCAACACCAAAACAACAGCACCGTCAGTGCAAAAGCCCGTCAAAATGCAAGCAGGTTTGGCCGGTAGCGCCGTCCAGGCAGCCCGCGCGGACGCCGCCGCGCCGCGGGCCTGCCTACCCGCCAGGCGTTCCGTCGCTCTGTCTCTTTCTCCCATGGAGGGCATCGTAGGGGTGCGAGAGAGACAACGAATCAGGCTGCTGCAGGCCTGCATCCGCGCTGGCGGCAACAACTCAACTCGGCTCCAAAGTTGAATTCCTGACGTTCGTCACACGCTGTGGCTGCCGTGGCTGCCGCGGTAGGCGAGATAGGAGGCCAAAGTTGGGACTTTCGGCGAGGCTTGCCTGTCGGGGCTCAAAAGCACGATGCGCCACAACAACAACATCAACAACAACACCATCAACAACAAGGTACAAAGGGAGGGAAAACATTGTCACAGCTGTCAGGGGCAGGACGGGCAACGGGGCGCGGCGCTATGTGGGAGAAGCATTCTCATCTCTCTCTCTCTCTCTCTCTCTCTCTCTCTCTCTCTCTGAAAAATAAGCAAAACGGAAACAAAATCAAAGACTTTCTTTTTCCACGTTGGATTCCTTTAAGATTGACTTCCTGTATCGGCACTTTTTTTCTCCGCGAGTAAAGCCCCTTCTAAGGAGCAAAATGCGCCAAAAACTAAAAATCGTGCAACAGCAATTGCCAGGCTTGGGCCACGTTTATTATTTCCCCTATCTTTTCGGAAAGAAAGCCACAAAAGGAAAGGAAACACCTTTATTTCCCCCCACTTTCATCATTATTTTTTTCGCTTCAAAGGCAGTTGTTAGGCGTGCCCGGGCAAGCGAACCACACCACTCACCCAGACAGTCGGTCCTTGGCCCTTTGCCCTGTAGACCGAGAGTCGCTTTCGTCGCTCAGTCTCCCTCGCACTCATGGGTGCCCACCCCAGGTACGAGAGAGAGCGCGACGAAACCGACTCTCGGAATCAGTCTGCTGAACCAAATCCGCGGCAGGCGCGGCAGGCGAACCCACCTCGGGGGCAATGCCGGCTGAGGAGCCTCCCCCTCAAGAACAAGAACATGGAGATGAGGAGGACGGGGGCAGAAAGAACAGACAGACACACAAACAGACAGATAGACACGATCAAACGAAACCCATCGACGCCGCGGCTGGAATACTAATAACGAAAGGGCGTCCCGACTCGATTCAATCGGCCTCAACAGGCCGCGGCTGGAGGCGCGACTTTTGCACTTCCGTGTGCACGCCAAGAAAAAAAGAGGGCCAAGTCCAAGAAAACGAAAGGAAAAAAGTGTATTATTTTTGTTGATGTAAAAATGACAGTGCAGTGTGCCAAGCGGGGCGCGCACGCAAAAGAGTAGGCGGGGTGGTATAGGGCTGATCGAACAGGGACAATACGGTCGGACCCTTCGCCTTTATCTCGGGCTGTGCAATTAAAGGGCAGCAGCGACCTTTGAACGAGAGAGAGAGAGAGAGAGAGAGAGAGAGAGAGAGAGAGAGAGAGAGGGGGGAGGGGGGGGAGGGGGAGGGGGGGGTGTGGAGAGAGGAGAGAGAGAGACCCTTCGACTCGCTCCGGCTTAGGGGTGGCCTTGTGTGTGTATTCACGGTTTGGGGCGGGGCGGCCGCACGGCCCCTCGCTAGCCGTCCTCTTTACAACACAAAACAAAGCCGAAAAAAAGGGAAGGAAGGAAAAGGGACAAGTAGGATCAAAAGTCAAGCAGCCCCCCGCTGCTCCTTTGCGGGCATCGCTGGAGGCACCGCTGGAGCACGGATTACCGCTTCTCCAGCCACGCGTCAAAAGCCAGCAGGGAAATGACTCCGCTCCGCGCACGGCCACAGGAAAACAATCGCAACAAAGCTGCATTGTTAGACGTAGGTAAATCGATAGGAAAATTTCCAAAGGCGTTCGGTTTTTTTTTTTTAAAAAATCCAAAAAAAAATTAAAGGTTTTGGAATTTTCTAAAAATATTCGGAATTATTTTTCAAAACATTTTTTTTTTAGCTTTTTAGAGCTATTTTTCCCCACGGGGTCGACTGTTGCCAGCGTGGTCGCGTGGCGGATTGGGAAAGAGACGGGGCGACAGAAGGTCGGGCCAGACCGTGTGTTAGAGAGAGAGAGCGAGACAATGTGTCGGCGCGTGATTTATCGAGAGCGCGAGTCAAGGCCCCCTGGAGACGAAGCGAAGGGCGCGGTGGAGACGGACAGACAGCTGTGCGCAAAGAGGGCGAGCGACAGTCAGTCTTATTCGCACACACCGCCGCACCCTGTCACGCCGAAAAGCCATTCGGGCCCAAGCGGCACGCTCATTCCCAGAGTCGCTCTGTCTCTCTCGCACCTAATAGGGGACGCCCCATGAGAGCGAGAGAGACAGAGCGACGAGAAGGACTCTCGGAATCCGTGTGCAGCCGCCCTCGAGGTGAAAGCCGCCGCCCCCGCGAGCCGAGCGTCGCGTCAAAGCCGAAGTGGCGCTTCTACCCCGCGCGCCGCGTTCGGGCGTTTCCGCCATCGCCGTCGGCAGAGTCGGCATGCGAGGCACATCCGCCATCACGGCTGCGATCAGGCGCCACCGCGCGCCACCGCATCCTCCTCCTGGCGACCGAGGCCTTGCCGCAGGCCGAGGGCCCAGACTGCAATTAAGCCTTGCGCGGGGCGTCGTCGGGGCGGCGGAGGGGAGGGGAGGCTGCCGCGGGTGTTATCACCATCCATGTCCTCGTCCCGGACGCTCGCTGGCTCGCTAGCGCGCCAGTCCCCAGGACCCTCCCCGCCAAACACTTGACGTCCCATTGTGTGTCCCGCCCGCCCCGCCGGCCCCAACCCCCGAGGGTGTCCAGTTAAGTCCTTTTTAATTCCGCCCTTTTGCGCCACCCGGCGAGGGGAGAGACACAAGCTGGACAAAAACGTGGGCCTAGTCAGGAGCCTGGAGTCGGGCCTGCATCTCACTGGAGCTTCAGTCAGTTCTGGAGTCTGACTGGAGTCTGACTGGAGTCTCGCTGGAGTCTCGCTGGAGTCTCGCTGGAGTCTGACTGGAGTCTGCCTTGCCTGGCAGAGCAGCTCAATATACGGTCCCGGCCCCGCCGGGTCTGGCTTGATACTGAGCGAGTCTGGCCACTGGCGAGCCACTGGCTGGAGACCGAGACAGTCCGTGGCGGGGCGCCGGGGCGCTTCTGGAGCGAGCAAGCAAACAAGCCCCGGGGCGGGCGGCGGGCGGCTCGCTGGCCGGTCCAGGGTTCCCCTGGTTCGCCTCGCCCAGCCTCGCCTCGCTCCCCGGCCGGCCCGGCCCGGCCGCAGGGCAGCCCGACCCTTGGCACGGCGCTACACTCTCGGAAGCAGCGACAATCACTCCGCCATCAGGCCCTTGCGGCCCCTGCAGGCCCCTGCCCCGGAGGCCCCACTGGGGTGCAAAGTGGAGGGAGGGTGATAACAGGGCCCTACATACGGCAGAGATAAGAAACGCGTCTAATACGATAAGAAATTACAACGCATCCCTCGCTGGAGTCTGGCTGCAGCTAGCCGTGCCGTGTGCTGGGCCCAGCCTCCCCCTGGAGCACGCTGGAGCGGCCTGGAGGGAGCGCGAGAAAGTCCAGTCCCTCCCGTTGTCATAGCAACCCGGCGGGCCCAGCGCCACGGCGGAGGAGAATTTGCAAGTTTGGAAAAACAGAATAGGTTCGGCGGGGCGAGGGGCGCGCTGCAGCAGACTGATTCCGAGAGGGAGGGGGCGGTTCTCTCTCTCTCGCACTCGTGAAGCGTCCAGTGTAGGCGCGAGAGAGAACGGTAAGCGAGCCCAAACGGCTCCATTCCCTGCGGGTCCAGGCCATTTCGAAACACGCCCACCACGCGCGCGCCGAGCTGAGTTACACTCCGCCAGTGCGCCTCGCAGTTACAGCCCCTCCTCGGAAACCTGCACGCAGTCACACTTCGCATCGCGTCAAGTTTTTCTTTCGTCGCTATCCAATGCCGGCTAAAGACACGCCACTCCAACCATGGCACAGCCCGCATCAACCCCAACCATGTCACAGTCAATATTTTCAAACTGTACTCCGCTTCTTGGCCAAACCAACGATACTCGCCCGAAGAAAATAGTGTAAATTTTTGTCAATGCTATCCATTTTTTTGTCTGGTCGAAAAGGTGGTTAAGTTGGCGACGTCACCGACTTGGTTAACTCGGAGAAAGAACGTTGGCTGGTCTCCCTGAGGCGGGGCGAGGTAGGGTGGGGCGGGGTGGGGCGGGGTGGGGCGGGGCGCCCCTACCGGCCTACCAAACAACTTGCACCGACAGTATCAACGGCGAGTTGATTCGATACAAGGTGGGTCGGTCCGGTCGGGTCCGGTCCGAGGGCACTGCCTTGGCCGAGGCCTTCGCAACCTGGACCAAGCCTGCTGGACCGTCCAAGGAACGGGCGATCGGGGGGGGGGGGGGTGTAGGCGCGGAGCAAGGCGTCGCAGAATAGGGCCCCCGATTGGGGCTTCCACGGCGCGGGCTGGGGGAGCGAGGACTCGGCAAAAGCAAACTCGCAACTTTCTGCACGTTACCGTTCGCGGACTCGCCCTCGCCCTCGGCGACGAAGAAAGGGGCATGCACAGCGGAAGTCGGCCGGTCGGAAAAGCAGCCGGAAAACAGGAAAGAAAATGACACAGTGACGGCACTGAGGAAAGCGCCCCCGCGATGACCTTTCCAGCTTTCCCCGGGCGGCTGTGGGAAATCAGGGCGCGATGCGAAGGGGGGCCTTGGGGAGGGAACACCCCTCCTTTTTCCACTAGAGGGTCGCCGCATTGTCGCGCAAATGTCACCGAGGAGCGCGCACCTGCAGCCCTCTCCGTCTCTCTCGCACCCCCTGCGGGCTACGGGGCGCCCCAAGAGTGCGAAGGAGACGAAACTACTTTGCCGGCCAGACGGCGGCAAATATATGGGATAGCGCGTTCAACCGGTCGGCGTACAGTGGGCAACCCTAGACGCGTTTTGAGCTCCAGAGTCGCTAAAGGGGACTCGGACCGAGCGTGTGACCCCACCAATGGATTCCTCGTTCAGAGAGCAATCCACTGGTGGGGTCACACGTTCGGTTCGAGTCCCATTTAGCGACTCTGGAGCTCAAAACGCGTCTAGAATTCCGGCTGCCTCCACCGGTCTTCTGGCCCACTGTGCGGCGGACGCGAAGGGCTTCCACGTTCCACGTGACTGGCGCGGTTCCGCGGGCAGCCGTCCGCCAGACTCTCCGGCAACGTGGCCAGATGAATAAGAGATGGGTCCGAAGCGCGGTCGCGGCCCCGCCGAGCACGCCGCCGTCTCGGTTCGTCCTGGAGCGACCGGGCTGTCTGCCTCCACTCCAACGCCACCTCATACTCCGCCAATAAACCGCCACAACGTCCGACCGGCAGGGAACGGGCAGAACCCGGCAAAGCCTCCCCCAGCCCAACCCACTGTAAACCCCGGCCGCTCCAAAGCGACCTCCACTTCCAGTGGCCCGGCCCGGCTTGGGCCAGCTTCGGCCCGCTTCGGCCCGCTTCGGCCCGCCTCCACTTCAAGGCGCCCAATTGCGCGGAAGACGGACAACGATACAAAAGGAGTACACCGCACCAACAAAGCGGGGCGGGGTTTCGCTACCCCCTCCCGAGGGGCGGCAAAGGGCGCGGCGCTTATCTGCAGAATCGTCGCTCCGTCTCTCTCGCACTCATGAGGCGTCCGCAGTGCGTGCGAGAGAGAGAGAGACAGAGCGCCGAAAACGACTCTCGGAATCGGTCTGCTGGACCCGGCCGGCAATCTCAGAGACACTCCCTAAAGGGCGCGACCACAGCGGCCCGTTCAGAACAGAGCGCTCTCGTCGCTCCGTCTCCGTCGCGCTCATGCGGCGACGCGTGGGGGTGCGAGAGAGACGGAGCGAGGCAGCAGCAGCCCGCAGACTCACCATCCATGATTCACGTGGGCCGAACGGTGTGCACGCGGGGTGAGTCACCGCGGGGCTGTGTGTGTGTGTGTGTGCGTGTGCCACAGGCAGCAACTCCCCCAAAGCCGGTCCGGTACTGTACTGCAGTGCCCGGCAGTGGCGTCGTCAAGTTGAGGAAGCCAGTCTGCTGCTGCTCCTGTGATGCTGTTACCGAGCGCACCCTCTGCCCCCACCGGCCCCGCGGCTGTCCCGACTGTCCCGCCACGGAGCGGCTGGAGCGGCCTGGAGCGGCCTGGAGCGGCCTGGAGCGGCCACAACACAACTTGAGCACCGAGACGGGCAGGCGGACAGACGGACGGACAGCGGCGCCCCCTGGCGGAGAATTAATTGTATACAGGGCATATCGGGGCACCACTACCGCCTTGTTGTGGTGTGGGATCTCCAGCGGCATTATGGAGAGCACTGCTTTGTCTGTGTGTGTGTGCGCTTGCCTCTGTGAGGGCGACAGCACTCTGGGCGCGCGTGTGTGTGTACTACGTGTGAGTGTGTGTGTGAGTGGTGCTGTGAGCGCTCCAGGAGAGTGGCGGGACGAGGGCTTTGGGCGACTTTATACTTGGCCAAGTGAGTGCAAAGGCGCCCGGCGAGCAACTTTCGACGGCGGCGCCCCCCCCCTCCCCCCGCGACTCGCGAAACTAGCGGCGGCGGGGCGCGAGGCTGTTGATACGGTGTAGTGGCGCCGCCGACGCCTCGGCCGCCTTGGCTGCCTCGCGGCCCAACCCCTCCCCCTGTCCTGGCACGCTGCCTGGAACCTGCGGAACTCCAAGGGAGGTAATAGAATGCGATCAACAGGGCTGCTCGACCCAGGGCGAGCGAGAGAGAGAGAGAGAGAGAGAGAGAGAGAGAGAGAGAGAGAGAGAGAGAGAGAGAGCGCTCACCTGCCGCGAGTCCCCACCCATCCATCACACCCGCAGAGACCACCTTCACTTTCCTTCCCAGCCTCAGACAGACAAACAAAATAAACTTTTTTTTCGTTTGCTTTGCTCTTCCCTCTTCTTTCGCCACAGACGAGCAGAACACATCCACGCAATCGACACCCTCCCCGACGTGCCAGAGGTTCATTGACAAGCCCCCCCTCCCCAATTCCAATAAGACGCTGCCAATCCGCTATGCAAATCACGGCCTCAATTTCACTCTCTCTCTCTCTCTCTCTCTCTCTCTCACTCACACACACAGACACTCTCTCTGCTCCACACACACACACACAAAAACAGAGCATACATACGCATGGGTAGGACGCTATAAATATGAAAATGAAGGAAGGAGGAAAAACAACGAAAAAGTCCGTGTTTGAAGTGATAAGTACACGTCCGCGCCGTAACGCGGCCGTACCGCGCAAAATCAGTTGTCGCCGTGCTCGCCTCTCTCTCCTTCTCTCTCTCTCTCTCTCGCTGGCGGCAGGCTGGCGGGGAGCGCCTGCAGAAGGCGAGATAGCCCGGCCGCACGACGCCGCAGCGGGCGGGCTGCCCACCTCCAGGGGGACTAGCTGGCCGGACGCAGCCAGACGCAGCCAGCTGCGGCGGGGCGACTCCGAGGGAGAGTCGCTCTGTCTCTCTCGCACTTGCACGCGGGACGCCCCACCACGCCCCGCTACGCCCCGCGAGAGCATGAGAGTGACAGAGACGGAAGCGATGCAGTTCGGAGGCGCCCTGCTGTCACAGGCCTTGCCAGAGTCCCCCGCGCCGCCGCGTCCCCCGTTAAACGATCTTTTCACACAAGAAAGGCAAAAAGAAAAGCCAAGAAAGCCGAGGGGTGAATGGGCGGGCGGCAGTGACCGGTTGATCCGCGCTCCGCGTCGTCAGGCAGCGAAGGCCGCCCCGCCTCGTTACAGTGCAGGTGGCCGGGAGAGCGAAAGTGAAGCCAAAGTGAGGCGAAAGTGAATAAGGGGCAGAAACGCCCCCCCCCCCCCCCACCGGGCCGATAAAGGAGATATGATTAAGATAAGTTAGCACAGCGAAAGCGAGAGGGGAGGCGGGGGGAGCTACGGGGGCGGAACAAGGAGAGATAAGCCCCAAAGAAAGGGAGGGGCCGGCCCAGTAGGCCCGCTGGGCGGGTAGGCCCCACCGCTGGAAATTGTTCGAGCAGCAAGCATTGCCCCCGCCTCGCCTCGCCCTCTCCAGGGTGGGAAATGAAGCGAGAGGCGGGGCAGGGCGGGGCGGGGCGGGGGGCCGTCGTCGACAAATATCGGATTCCCGGAGCGTTTGGCGCACGCAGCGCCACGCAGCGCGGGGCCGCCGGACCGCGCCGTGGTTAGGTCGCTCTGGTGCGGATGGGCGCGAACCGCACTTTTCGCGCCCCGCCCCGCCCCGCCCCGCCCCGCCCCGCAACCCCCGACCGGCCGCCTGGCCCGAAGGCCCTCCAAGGCCCGGAGGGACGTCTCCGCGCACGGCGTACGCACGGCGACGCGCACTCGCAGTCCGATGCCCGGCAGCGCTTCCTAGCTCTGTCGCTCTAGCACCGCTTCCCTGCGCCGAGGGAGAGCGACTCGGAGTGCGAGCGAGGCGGGCGGAACGCCTCGGCAGCCACCGGCAGGAGAGGCAGATAGCGCGACCTAGGCCGCCCCATCGCTTCCCCTCATCCGAGGGCAGCGGAGTGCAGCAGACGACGCATGCCACGGCACATGCCTCCCGCCCTCCCCTCCCTCCCCTCGGTCTATATTAAAACTGCCCCGCGCCACACATGCACCGAGGATGACAGAGCACGGCTTTCCAATTCCTCGCCACGTTACTTTTTTCCCAACAGTGTGCGGGAGAGAGAGAGGGGGAGAGAGAAGAGGAGGAAGAGAGAGAGGAGAGAGAGAGAGAGAGAGAGAGAGAGAGAGAGAGAGAGAGAGAGAGAGAGAGAGAGAGAGAGAGCGTCGCCCGCTACGTCCAATGAGATTCGAAATAACTCAAGACCCTTGCGCGCTTCGCCGCTCTCTCTTCCCTTCTAGCCGCTGCCGCTACGCTGCCACCCGCTCGTCACACGCCACGCCACGCCCTGTCACGACACGCGTCACGGTCGTGACGAGTTCGGGATGTGCAACTGTAGCCGCCAAGTCGCCCGCACGCGTGACGCCCCCCCCCCCTCGTAATCATATACACGCTATTTAAGGGTGACGTAACGACCCAGTGGATTGCTTGTCGAACATAAGGGAAGGAGGGGGCGGACGCCGCAACGCCGATACGAAAAAATAATGAAAATAAATTAAACCGACAGCAAAAACAAGATCGAATAAATTGGAAAACAATGCGTTCCGTGGGCGCGGCGCGGAGCGCGGGCGTGCGTTTACTTTTTCGTGGCTTGGCTCTCCCCCGATGCGTCTGCTTCCTCGTTTTATTTCTCGCTCCCACTCAACAAATAAATATAAAAGATAAATAAAAAAGTCCGCGAGTTTGGCCGCGGCCCGTGGCGAGGTGTGGAAGGACACACCTAACCGAACGCGGCGGCGCCAAATCGCATTCATTGCACCCACCCTCAAACAACAACAACGCCACAATAAAAAATAAAAAACACAGCAAAAACAAAAGTTGGCATTGAGGCGCGCGGGCCTGAACGCCATTTCCCCCGAGGCGCCAAAATTCCCGAATTACATGTAATTACACACACAGGAACAACGAGTGCGCTTTTTCATTATTATTATGTTGTTTTTTTTTCGCACAAAGTTTTATCGTTTCATTCGCACGTGTCGCCCTGAGCGGAGCGAACCAGACTGGAATCGTCATTCGCATAGCTGTCATATTTTTTTTGGAGGGTCGATTTGTCTCTTTACCCTGCTAAAAGCAAAGCTACTTAGCAGAAACAAAAAGAAGGTTAGAATTAAAAGTGGCCGACGAGTACGTCAGCGCCATAGCGCTGCGAACTCGGTTCCATTTTTCTGGTGCAGCCCCGTGCAACGCCACGGCCCAAAGTCCATAAAGCGCAGAGCATATTAAAAGAGGAGGCGGAATGCGGGGAATGCGAGAGGCAGGCCTCCGTCTTTGTCTGCGCCGTCTTTGTCCCACTCGCCGCACCACCGAGCGCTCTGTCTCTGTCCCACTCGCCCCCACCTTGCGCGACGCTGCTGGCGATGCACTGTGAGAGTCCACCCTCGCTGCTCTTTCCTTCGGACTCACTCAAATTCCGACCCCCTCCCGCTGCAGGGTCACCCTGCCTCTCTCGCACCCCTGCGGAACACCCTATGATTTCGCGCGCGAGAGAGACACTGAAAATCAAATAGTGATACATCTCACTCTCTGAGGGATGAGACATAACTGTCTCACCGAAAAAATGGTGATACTAAAATGTATCACCGAAAAAATAGTCGTACACGCATGTATCACCGAAAAAATGGTCGTACCGCATGTATCACCGAAAAAAAGGTCGTACACAAATGTATCACCGAAAAAAGGGGGGATACTTCCCCAGGAAAACAAGGGCCAATCTCGCTCATGTCTCACCGTTTTTTCGGTGATACATTTCTGTACTACCCTTTTTTCGGTGATACATGCGTGTACGACCATTTTTTCGGTGATACATGCGTGTACGACCATTTTTTCGGTGATACGTTTTGTATCGCCGAAAATTGGTGAGATGTCTCACCCTTCGAATTTCAGTGGATAGAGACAGCGGAATTCACGACAATCCGGCCCCAAAATAAGTTTTTTCCCCCTTCACCTCGTGACAAAGAGGCCGTGTCCTTCCCCTCCTACACGGCGAATGTTGAACGAGTAAATAATGAGCGTAAAAAGTTTGCCGACAATGCCACACATCTGCAGCAGCACTGCAAAAAAAATAATAAAAAAACCAACAAAAATTAAAAACAAGTCGAAAACTCGTGCTCGACAAACTCCTTGCTTGTTCCCCGTGTGTAATTGGCCCCACCGAGGGCCCCGCTGTCGCCGCGTCCCCGCGCGCCCCCCGGCCCCGCCGTGGGGCCGCGAGTGCAAAATAATGCAATTTGAGGTGGTGTTGCAGAGGAGGAGGGGGAGAGAGACAGAGAATAAGAATGTT